GGGGGGGGTTTGGTTCAAGCCAACATCCCTTTCTGTAACCAAGTCCGAATTCGCGTGGTAGGTCTCCAGAGAAGAATTGTGGTACGTCGATCAATACTGCCATTGCTCTGCCGGGTTTTGGCAAGAAAGGCTGGGAAGCGGAAATCATCCTATATATGCAGGAGATGAATTCTGAGCAGACTAGCTAGGAGTTCCTTGCGTGCCGTAGCATTCGGGATACTCAGTAATTACGGGATTCAAAACTGCTGCTGGGAGGGATGGATGTAATCAGGGGGTTGGAGTAGGAGTTGGACTTGTGATTGTATGTACCTAGGTATGTATCTGTGATGGGCGTACCTGAAGGTGGAACCAGGCTGTGATGCTCACTTTTCCCGTGACTACTTCATCACGTGATGTAACAAGTCTTGACGCAGGGCTTTCTCGCCCATGGACTCATAGATGCACCGATATTCGAAGGATCACAGGAATGTCAAGACTCAAGAGGCACGAGGAAGGAGAGCACGGCAAAAAGAACTCAAAGCGCCTCGAAGCTGGACGCCCCGCAGCATAGCGCACGCGCATTGAGTCGGCAGGGGAGCCCCTCTAAGCGCCGTGATGGGGGATGCAGTCGTGTGCCAGGAGATGAGTGGATGGATACTTAGATCGAAGAACAGATGGATGGATCGAATAATTGACAGAATATTTTGAGGGATTTCCTATTGCACCTACCTAGATGATAGACACCTGCATTGGCTCGTGATCCCGCCCGTTGGAGGATGAGGATTGGGATTCGAGTGGTGGGGAGTCGTTGTGGAGGATGGGCGCGGAATTGGCTTTTACGGAGTTGCGTCGTCGTCGCTTTGCTCTGGAATAATGATAATCTGGTGTGAAAGAGTGATGATAAGATAGTCATTTATCGATGTGTACCTGGTAGTGGTCATGGTACGAGTAGCCGGATAGCTTCCTATTGTATCATATAGAGTGATCAGAGATTCAGAGGTGATGGTGAGGCCCGCATGGTTTGACGATACAGCGGCCGACAAGTGTATCGAGGGGCGACCACCCCGCAATCGTGCGTTAGAGAGACTTGGTTATGAGGCTGGGTAAACAGGGGGACTGCTGTTGTTGTCTTTGTGGTTGCTACTGATATTGTGACTTGGATTCATGTCGTTATTGTCGTTACTGTCGCTTTATTCTCTTGGTTCTTCTCGTCGTCTCCCATCACCATTATTAGACCTTGGCTGACATGAGAGGGGCAACCAAGGCCCTGAGGCGTGCATTATATACCAACTACACAACACTTATCCCGTAGATAGAGTTAATCGTAGTCGATATGATGAAGAGGATCGATCAGTTCCAGCCTCATGGAGAGAGAAAGCCTCGCACTCGTCCTACCCGCCTCGCCCATCGAACGGCTGGCTACATGATCGAGTCGAGGGTTGTCAAAAAGCCGGGTCTCTGGGGCGCGTCCGCGGTCCACGTGTATAACGACGTATATCGATCGACCCATATCTACCACTGGCTGATCAGGCTGGGTCTTCTCCAGTCAGCGCGGGCATCCAGTCGATTCCTTCGTGTGCGACATTGACGAAGGTACAACGCAGTACCATTCCTCCGTAGACATCCTCGACCTCGTTCTCTGTGAACCTATCATTATCAGAAGGCGACGCCAACGCCTCTGATCCCTCGATACTTTGATAGAGGGAAAAGGGCGTACGCCAGAGTATCATCCGGATTGGATCCATTGGGAATCCGCTGTGCGGCAGATCCAGGGTCCATCTGAATATCGACCTATCGACATTCGACCCCGCTGACCTATCGATGCCTGACAATGCGAATCCTGAGCGACCAGCATCTTGACGGACGATGGTTGACTTTGTTGGCCTTGTTGACCTTTGGCCCTGGGTATACAGTTGTAGTAGTAGTAGAAAGTAGTAGTTGCTGCTGTTGTTGGCCCGTACGAAGGAAGTATCTCGTCCACTCCTTCAGAGCCTTCTCTAGGCAGCTGAGTCTATAGTGTGCCTGTGTACCTGTGTACCTGAAGCTGCATCTCGGAGCAAATAGCATCTCACCGCCTCGTTCGCTGCGGACGGTGAAGATCCGACCCGAGGGGCGTGTCTTCTGTTTCATTCACAGCCAGCCGTGCGATATTCGAAGGCGACTTTTGCCCTTTGCCACCGGCCTACGCACGAGAGGACTTGGATCCAGGTAGGGACTGTACAGTAGGACTGCCGAGTGAAGATTCAGGATTCAAGATATTGCCCAGACTAAAAGGACTCAAGACTTACACTTCACATGCCCGGAGAAAACCACTGATCCATGCTGATCGAATCGACGGATGCGCCCCCCTCGTTGACCCTCTTTAACCCGGCGGGAAGCAATGGGAAGCGAGGCGACGGCCGTGGAGTCGCAGCCCCGTGACCTCACTCGCTTTGGCGGAATCCCCATTCACCTCTAAGGGAATCCAGGAACACGCCCATCCTTCCATCGCCATCGCCGACTCTCCTGGCAACAGAGCAAAACAAAACAAAAACAACACAAATCCCCCCCTTCGCACTGGCATTTACGCTCTGTCGCCTTGATCCTCCCATTCATTCCTTTGCATCGTCCACACCCTACATAATCACATACATACATCCAGACGCGCATCGACACCTAGCTAGCTGCCGCTGCCGCTTCCGCCCTCCGCTTTAGATCAAGACGACAGCAACATCCTCCCCTTGTTGCCTGCTACCATGCGATAGACCCTTCGGCTTCTCGCACGACGACGAGCAATACCCCATACCGACTACGAGCCCTCTGGCCACCGTACGTCAGCAGTTCAGTAATTAGTTAATCATGGCCGCCAACCTCCCTCCCGATCCCTACAAGATTCTCGGTGTATCAAAGGATGCCAATCTTCCAGCGATTCGAAGTGCCCATCGGAAGCTGGTCCTCAAGTGCCACCCAGACAAGGTGCAGGACGAAGCCCTCAAGGCCGCAAAGCAAGACGAGTTCCAGAAGGTCCAGCAAGCCTACGAGCTTCTCAGCGACGATAACCGCAGGTCACAGTACGATGCCCAGGTGAAGCTGTTCGAGCTGCGGAAGGAGATGGGGAGAGGGGCCTCGACGCCCAAGAGTAACCCCCCCGTCGATCCTTTCGTCTTTGAGGTCAGGACTGCCGAACCAAGACCCAACACATACACCCGGCCTTCTACAAATTCCTATCCGGGTCCGCCTCGCCCGAAATCATATGAAGATGTTTACGACATCCCTTTGAGGACTGCCAAGAAGTCGGCGAGTTACGAATCCGCGGAGCGGAAGCGGGACGAGGAGAAGCAACGGGAGTTGCGGAAGCGGGAGGAAGAGGAGCGGGAGCGCCAGAAGTGGGAGAAGGAGAGGAAACGAGCTGCGCATGTGGAGAGGAAGAAGACTCGGGATAAGGAGAAGAGGAGAGACACCGAAGAGAGGCGGACTCGAACCACCCGAGCTTTTGTTGAAGACGACTCCGACAGCCCACCCCCGCCCCGAGAAAAGAAGTCGAGCAGGGATAAGTATCGAGTCGACGAAGAGATCAATGTGCGAGGTGAGGACATTTGGAGCGAGGCTGCCAGACCATCAGCTTCTCCTAGGGTCCCCCCGTCAGCGCCCCTTACGCCGAAGTGGGATGGGCACAAGGAGTTCGCGGCGGAGTACATGCAAGCCGCGCGTCGAAAAGCAACGCCAGAAGAAGATTTTCACCATCCTGGCATGCGCAGGTCTGAGACCTTTGCTGGGCCAGACGTGAAGTACCATACAAGATATGCTACCCCTACAAAACCCACCACCTTCAGCCCGAGCGATGATGATACCCCCCGACGATCATCTGCCCGTCGAAGAACTTCAGAGACACCGCCGGTTCGAACCCGAGAACCACTGAAGAGGGAGAAGGAGACCAAACGATCGCCATCTGTGCGGAAAGTATACCCTGATATTGTCGAACCGCCTTCTCCCCCTCCGATACCGAAGGTGCCCAAGCTGAAGACGCATTCCTCAGCACCACCCATCGTGCCAGACTTCGTTAAACCTAGTCGATCCAAGTCCGAGTACGTTAAAAAGGAAAGGGAACCCGCTATCCCCTCGCTTTCTCGCTCGCACACCTTCCAGTCGGGAGACCGAGATCGAGGCCGAGAAAGCAGCAGGTTACGGAACCCAGTTCAGTACGATTCTGACGAGTCAGAGACCGACCCGCCAGTCTATTCTTCCCGTCGCGTCTCACGCAGCCCCCGACAGCGGCGGTTCATCATAAGAGAAGGCCGTACCTTTCCGGTCACCACTAGTCATCGCTCGGACATGCATAATGTCGATGACGAGGATTACTCTCCACGTGATCGCAGCGAATCGCCTCGAGGGGGACGGAAGGTTGAGCGACCACCTGTCAGCAATACATCGCGCCAAGCACCGCAACGTACCAATCCTCAGGCGTACTACCCACCAGAAGCTGCTGAACCAGTCACCATCAATGCTCGGCCCCAAATGCCCTCTCGAGATCATCGAGGCGGTACTAGCAGAGGATCATACTTCCCAGAGGGGGTGAAATATGCTCCAGCATACAGACATGAAGATATTCTCTACAGCCCACATCACAGCCCGGATGCGTATCGCAAGGGCAGTGACCCGAGCACTCGGGATTGGAGCTATCCTGCACCCCGCGTCTACGCTTCTTAATGGCTCTATGCCTCTCTCATCTTCTACCCCGTCGATGAAGGGGACACTTCCTTCCATTACAATTCTTGTAGCGTATTACGAAAACAATGACAGTAACGATGGTTCACGAAATTCCTTTATGGGTTCTTCTTTTGCACGAAGATTACGACAGATTGAGCGAGCGTCAGAGCGGAGCGTGACGGGGGAACAGGACCAGCCAATCGGGGGGAAGTTAGTTCTTTCCTTCTTGCTTTTTTACGCATTGCATTGCTGGTTTATACTATCCCGTCGTTACATATCATCGATATGGCTATCGTTCGTTCTTGTATTTTACATCACACTCCTTCTCAGACTTGATGAGGGGTAAAGGTGAAGAACATGCATGGTTTGGAGTGGATGGTGGGCCTGTCGGGAGATGGATGGGAAGATCGGAGTTGGGAGGGGAGCATTACAGTACCCTGGTTGATGAGTTATGCGATGCATACATGGCCCGCGAATCGAATTCATGGGTTTACTGCATTCTTGGTAATAGTCTTGAATGATATTCGATGATCTCCACCGCCTCCCTTCCTCTTGCTGCGTTTGAGCAATCCGCAAGCGCAAGTTACTTACTCGCAGCTCTCTTTGACTTTGGATCAGCATTGAAAACCAAATAGGAGAAGGGAAGGTTGGAGGAAGCTCATCGTCCTGCTCGCAGCGGTTGATGACAGAAATTTCCGCTGCTCTCGGACCTCGAGGCCTTTGGGCACATATTTGATTTGTTCTACAGGTGAACCTCTAAACCCTAGCTTTTCTTCAAGAGGGTGTGGTGGGTGTGTGCATACTTTCACACCCTCAGATAAAGTCTCGCTTAACCCCTTTCTCTCCTTTCACGTGATACATAAGGTACTTGAGGGAACCTACGGTAGTACCTGACTTAGGTACCTTACCTTACACAGGTAATGGATGTTCGCAAAGAAACATCTTTGCCCGTTCGAGAGAAGTCCTCGATTGACCCCTTTCCTATATTCATGTGGTCTCATAGTTTCCATTCGTCCTTTTCCCGGGATTCGTACCTAATAAGAGGCCTCGCTTCGCTCGTTTAACCCCTGAAAATGTTCATGTCAGCTTGGACGACGTCCTGCTTCGTATGTCATTACTACACATTGTTTATGTGTTGTAGATGTACATCATAGAACTTGACATCTTCCTAGATAAGGTATAGCTAATCCCTGAACTATATTAGACAGCTTCTCTTTATAAGCTATCCTCTTTTTCTCACAAGTCTTTCTTCCTGGACAAGTGCGTTTCATACTGTTTCTATTCAGAACTATGCTCCTCGAGAGCAATCCACAGCATCCTGAAAAGGTTTGACAGTCAACACAACGAAGGGCGGTACATTAACAATGTCATCGTCCCATCCTTCGTACTCTTCCGGGACGAACACATTTTGCCGCCGTTTAATCAATCTCCATGCCAACGCAGACTCGGTGCTCTATCTCCTCAAAGATCATTATCTCTCTTTTGGCCCTCCTCTTGCTTGTTCAACTATACAGGCTCGATCAGTACGACCGAGGAAAGGGAGTACCGTGCTATTGAATACCCAACATAGCCAGTGGTTATGGGAAAGGATAAGAGGCGAGCAGTCAAAGCTGAGGTTGAGAACGAGGCAGAGGGACAGGCCACACCGCGCAAGAAGCGCGTCGGGACAACAATAACACTCGAAGCGAGTCGCCGATCTACTCGCAAGATCACCTTGACCAAGAAAGCCCACATCAACAAGGAGCGTCTCAACAACGCAACCACCACCGCCACGATGAGCGACAACGAAGTCCCGTACATCCTGGCTCCCCAGCATCCACCTCCCAAACTGGAGTTGTCTGAACCCACCGTCGATCATCTCGAGCCTCCGATCAAGCAGTCCTGGAGTGACAGTCCAGACGTCGAGGCCACCGTCCAGGGAAGCCAGGTTGTCATCAAGAAGAAAGTCTGGCATGAGCCGACTCCCGTCCCTGAACCCCCTGTCACGGTCATGACAAGCGGTGCCCCAGATGAGATGCCCGAGTCTCGTGCCATCCTCTCCCCGTCTCTCTCTGCTGCAAATCCTGTTCCAACTGCCGCCAATCCGGTTCACACTGCTACCAACCCGATCCCCACTGCTAACAATCCGTCCCTCGCAGCTGTCCAGGTCTCTACTGCACAACGCGTCAATCGCAACCCCAACACCATCGACGTTGGCCCGATGTTCCACTACTTTGGCTACAGCAACGATCTCAGCCCCCTCTACATCGAGCACTTATGCCCTGGTTCCGTCTTCATCAGCGTCGCCAAGCTCCCGGGCTTCAAATGGACCATCGGCACTCGCGGCTACCCCATCATTGTCCCCTCCCCCGCCCCCGACGCCCTCGTCTACGGCATGCTCTACGCCATCCCCAACGAATTCATGGACACGCTGCACGCGCGCGCCCTCAAGCGCGGCGCCATCCCCACCAACATCACCGTCGACATTTACGTCAAGCCCCCTCCGAGCCCCTCCAATTTCGGCTGGGGATACGGCGCGCTCGGCCAGCAGCACCTGAGAGGTCAGCGCGTGGCGCGCGTCTGCGTCGGTGATCCGGATGATGCGGATGGTGTCCTGCTCTCGGGCGAGAAGGGCGATGCGCTTATCATGCGCCTGAATCGCGGCTTTGTGGAGGCTATCATGGAAGGGTTCCCGGACGAGTATGTCTTGGAGGTGTTTAGGAAGTGGATCCCGTACCCGAAGACCCCGGTGGGCATTATTTGGTAGATGGCTGGGTGCATGGCACTTGAAGCTTGTTTGGTCTTGGGCGCGGCTGAAATCGATGCTTGGGTTTTGTGGGAGGGAGTTCAGGGCGCTCTTGATGATTGTGTTGGGGATCATCACTCGGTCAGTCTTGAGAAAAATAGGCAGTAAAGGTACATGAGCGTTGGGAATGGTTTCACATGGATCGGTTCATTAGTGTGGAGCGAGAAGACCTCATTGTCGGATGGATGGTAGAAGCTCTTGATAGTACATTAAAAAAAATCGATCACTCACATTCAAGAAAAATCTATCTAATCTAAATCTGTAGGAGGAACATATATAAAGTGCGACTTTCTTTTAACAGAGAACGTAGAGGGAACAGATCATGCTGAGCCCAAGGATCATCGAGCACCAGAAACATACGTTGTTCAGGGTTCGCCTCCCCTTGACCCATCGCGTGCGCTGCAGCATCACGATCGGCAGCTGGCTCATCTGCGCCAGGAAGCCGTACCCGCGGATCTTCTTCGTGATGCAGGCCATCACGATCTCGTGCCCGATGGCGCTGATCAGGAACGTGATGAGCGTCGCCATCGGCCGGCCGATGTGCGGCCGGGACGCAGAGTAGACGTGTCGCCGGAAGAAGTGATGCACAGGGATGTTCCACTCGCGGGAGAACTCTAGCCAGTCCGTCGAGTTCCACCAGTCGGAGTAGAAGCGCCGGTCAGCAAAGCGGGTTATCTCGGCGAAGGCCCCGAGCACGTACTCGAAGATCACGAGGAAGACCAGCAGGAAGCTGACCATGAAGGGGAAGAGCAGCAGGGAGATGGATTCCGCGAGAATGAGAGCCATCTCGGAGAAGGATGATACGGTCTCAAGACGCAATGCGGACTCTGTCAACACGGGGAGGATAAATTCCTCAGACGTAATTGTCAGGAGGAAGATGACGCCAAAGACGGCGAGGATCTTGTACCCCAATTGTGTCCAGACTATGCCTTGAGTCCGAGGGTACTCGAGTTCGTAGCAAAGAGTTGGGCAGAGGATGAAGTCTACGTAATTGGACCAGGTAAGGTTCTTCGGGTACGTGACCGACCCCATGGGCGAGGTGAGCTCGAAGGCTAGATCCTCTCGGAGGCGTGCGACTTGCGATTTCTCGTCGGCATCGCGCCTCTCTCTCTCCTCAGTTGACGGCGTATGACCCGCGCTCGGGTATTGATAAGCAGGGGCTTTTGAAGCTGTGGAGGGGTTGTCAAGGGCTTGGAGTCTCCGTTCTGTCTCGCTGAGGTGGCCGTTGTAGAAGGCATATGAATGCATCTTCATGAGGAGAACCAAGGTATGGAGCGTGAGGAAGACCTGGGCCGTCCACGTCCAATGGCGGATGAATGGTACACTATACGTGTCAGCGAAAGGAGCACATGCCGATAGTCTCTGAACTCACGCAACCCAAAAGGCTAGCCAGACAGCCTGATAGACGCTCTGGATAGCCATTCCAGTGCCTGCCCACTGCAATCTACTCCGGAAGAGTCTGTGCATGGGAAGGCTGATAGCAGTACTAACAACCATAAAGCAATCTGCCACAGCCAATTCCCACACTTTTACGGTAAATAACTGCCAGATCTCGACCCTCATGGGATAACCGGTATCCTTTATATTCCGCAGCATAGTTGTGATAGCCATGATGGTCAGGGCAATCCAGAACAGAACGTAGAAGCCATGAAAGTCCCGATAATCACTGTTTGGATCGAAGTGGGAGACTCGAGAAGCATACTCGATAGTGGGGAACAGTCTTTGGCGCTGCTCTGCTCGGAGCTGCTTTCGCGCGGAAGAGATGGAATGGGCGGATGGAGGAGCGTCAGCGGGGACAGGAGTTGTCCGTCCACTGCAGCCGTTAGCTGAATCATGAAGAGGGGAGGGGAAGTATGCCTTGTTTGGGCTGTTGAGCCTCCATTCTCGGGCGTCTCTCTGGCTCCTATGTATCCCTCCTCGCCCATAGCACGTAGGAGCACCGCGTTTGAAGGCTTGACGGCGCGAGGACGGAGGATTTGGTCATGATTGGTGCTCCCGTTCCCATTTATATGGATATCTGCCGCGGAAGACATGGCGGTATACTGTAGGAGGTGTTTCGAGGGTCTTCGTAGAGATTACCAGACGACAAGCTCCAAAGCGAAGCTTGATGCCAGCTTGCGGGCAGGGGCAAATGCGAGGGACAGGATTGATTGTATATCACGTAAAAGTACACCACTTGTATGATCCTAACAGAGCACAGGGGATGCGCAGACACGGCATTGCAAACAAGCGGCAGGGCAGCCCTCTCAATTGTTTCTTGAAGTCCTGCTCGCATTGTCTCCAGCTTTAACCTTTGAGGCGCCACACGCAACCGCCGGAGCCGCGAAGACATTGACGCATTAGACGCCTCAGGCATCTCATGCACCTGGGGGCCTCGGCATAAATTAAGAATTTAAGCCTTGGTGGCTTAATGTCTTGGTGCCTTAATGTATGCCACATATTTACGGCCGCCAGGCTAGGCCCTCCCTGGTTCTAGCGCGCATTCCTACCACCGTTTAGGCCAGGTCAACGGTGGCTCCATCAACAGTATCGAAGACGAGGGTATTCAGGGTCAACCCACTTGGTCAACGAGCAGCGCTCTTTATCTCTTGTGAGAGAATCTATTGCATTCCTCCTAAACTGGTCAACTTTTAACGCTTGGCCCGTTGCGGGCCCTTAGACTGGCAAAATGAGTTCTTGTAAGGCCCCCCTCCACACCCCTCCACTCAAATCTACCTGAACTGACCCCTAGCAGTGAAGCAATTCATTCGCAATGTGCGGGCTTCAAAGACCATCGCCGATGAGCGCGCAGTTGTACAGAAGGAAAGCGCTGCAATAAGAGCAAGCTTCAGGGAAGAGAGCGGAGACTCTAATGTCAGGTAGGACACCGCCAGGGGGAACATTCAGGAGCACCAGCTGACCTGCTCTACAGACGGAACAATGTTGCGAAGCTCCTGTACCTCTTCACCCTTGGGGAACGAACCCACTTTGGCCAGATCGAATGTCTGAAGCTGCTGGCGTCGCCTCGATTTGCAGATAAAAGATTGGGATATTTGGGGACGATGCTTCTCCTGGATGAGAACCAGGAGGTCCTGACTTTGGTCACGAATTCATTGAAGAAGTATGTCAACCGAGGCACAATTGCGGCATATATCTAACCCTGTGTTAGTGACCTCAACCACTCCAACCAGTACATCGTCGGACTCGCCCTTTGTACCCTCGGAAACATTGCCTCCGTTGAAATGTCAAGAGATCTTTTCCCCGAGATCGAAACACTCCTCTCTACCGCCAACCCATACATTCGACGTAAAGCTGCTCTGTGCGCAATGCGGATATGCAGGAAGGTTCCGGATCTTCAGGAACACTTCCTTGAAAAGGCGGCGACGCTTCTTTCCGACCGAAATCATGGTGTCTTACTGTGCGGCTTGACATTGGTTACAAGTCTTTGCGAGGCTGATGAGGCTGAAGGAGGCGAAGAGGGCATTGTGGAAAAGTTTAGACCATTCACGGGAGCCCTCGTACGGACGTTAAAATCGCTAGCAAGCTCCGGATATGCACCAGAGCACGATGTCACTGGCGTGACAGACCCTTTTCTCCAAGTCAAAATCTTGCGATTACTACGGGTTCTAGGTCGTGGGGATGCGCAGACAAGTGAGCAGATCAATGATATCCTGGCCCAAGTCGCAACCAATACCGATTCCTCGAAGAACGTTGGAAACTCTATCCTCTACGAAGCCGTTCTCACTATTCTCGATATCGAGGCAGACTCTGGACTGCGTGTTCTCGGCGTCAACATCCTGGGCAAATTCCTCTCCAACAGAGATAACAACATCCGTTATGTTGCCTTGAATACGTTGATCAAGGTCGTTGCAGTCGAGCCCAACGCCGTGCAGCGACACCGAAATACCATCCTCGAATGTCTCCGCGATCCGGATATCAGCATTAGGAGGCGAGCTCTTGATTTAAGCTTTACTCTCATCAACGAAAGCAACGTGAGATTGCTAATCCGGGAATTACTGGCTTTCTTAGAGGTCGCGGATAACGAGTTCAAGCCGATAATGACTAGCCAGATTGGTATCGCAGCGGATAGGTTCTCTCCCAACAAACGATGGCACGTTGATACCATGCTACGGGTTTTGTCACTTGCTGGCAACTATGTCAAGGAGCAGATTTTGTCATCATTCATTCGACTCATCGCAACGACCCCTGAGCTGCAAACATATACCGTACAGAAACTGTATGCCAACCTGAAGAAGGATATCACTCAGGAGAGTCTTACCTTGGCTGGCGCATGGTGCATTGGAGAATTCGGTGATGCTCTTCTTCGAGGTGGTCAGTATGAGGAGGAGGAATTGGTTCAGGAAGTCAAAGAACATGAGATAGTTGATTTGTTCACGTCCATCTTGAACAGCAGCTATGCCACTCAAATCACAACTGAGTATATCATCACATCTCTGATGAAACTCACCACCCGGTTTTCGGATCCCTCACAGCTTGAAAGGATTCGACGGATACTACAAAGCAACTCGACCAGCCTTGATGTCGAGGTCCAACAACGAGCCGTCGAATATGGCAATCTGTTTGGGTATGACGCAATCCGAAAGGGGGTTCTCGAAAAGATGCCCCCGCCACAGATCAAAGAAGAGTCGAGAGTATTTGGTGAAGCTGCCAAGAAGCCGAACAAATCGGCCAATCGAAAATCGAAGAGCATCAAGCCAGCAGAGCAGGACCTCCTGTTTGACCTTATGGGTGACGGCGGCGTGGCAGCACCCGACATCAGTGGCACTTTGAATGGCTCTCAGAACAACACAGATCTTCTTGCAGATATACTGGGCGGCAGCACCTCAGCTCCCGCCACCTCCCCGGCTCCCCAGCAATCAAATGTGAGCTCGATTATGGATCTCTTTGATAACCCGGGACCCCAACAACCCAAGGCAAATGCGCCTCTCTCCTCGAATAGCCAATTTTCGGGCATGTCCTCGCCACCACCTCAGGCCGCCCCTGTCTCCACTCCCACACATACATGCTACGATAAGAATGATCTTAGCGTAGTACTACAGTTACAAAGAAATGCAGAAGGTACCGTGCAGGTCATGGCACGCTTCAGGAACAACTCGATAAATCAGTCACTGTCAAGTGTTTCTTTGCAGGCTGCTGTGCCCAAGACACAGAAACTTCAACTAAACGCTATGTCGAGCTCGGAATTAGCGCCGGGAGCTGAAGCAACCCAGTCAATGCGAATTATGGGTAGCAAGGGAGTAAGTCAACCCGTAGCACGCAGAGAACTCTACTGATTCCGTCTAGCCACCATTGCGATTACGATTGAAGATTTCTTATGCACATCCTTCTGCAGGTCAAATTACAGATCAAGTAGATTGGTCGGAACCCAGGTAATAGCGTGCACGAAACTATAAAAATCAGCCTCTTCAATTGAGTTCGAAGACATACTGTGAATTCATTGAATGTGTAATTATAAAGAGGTAGGTTAACCCTGACGGGTAGTAACTAGTCGTGCAAAATGGTATTCTTCTATGGTTCCCAAGTCGAGATGGTCAATTTAGGACGAAAAGCTTTTCGAACGTGATTTTTCTTTTCCTTTTGTGTTGTCTCATCTTTTTTTTTTGTCACCTTGGAGAGCACCATCTCCAGCCCCGGATAGCTCTTCTCTTCTGCTGCATCCCTTCAATTCTGCATGAGATCCTGAATTTGACATCTTTCAAATCTTGCACTTTTCAAGATGGCAAGCTATCGGTGGCTCTTCGCACGTGCCATTCTCCCTTTTGTTCTTCTATTTGCCCCCACGATGATGGCGCAGGAATCACCTCCAATCACAGACATATCCAGCATCATATCTATGGACGACTTGAGGTTGCCTACCTGGGGCGATGCTACTCTCGAGCCCGATATTAAAGATGAGGAATACTTTGCATTCGATACGAAAAACTTTGACGATTCCCTGGTCGTGGTGTGGTATTCTCTTTGGACCATGTTGCGACAAAATGAAACACAATGGAAGGAACTTGGAGAATGGAAGCTTTTTGCCCACGACTGGTATAACACCAAAAATTTTGAATGCGCGCTGAGCATGGCTGAGTGCTCGGGAGACCGGAGGCTGGAAGGTTTGCAAGCAATATATCCTGGGCTCGAGAACCGACCACTCGTGCGAAGAATTTATTTCGTCTCCATGATGTATATGATATTCCATAACTACGCAAACCTTATACAGGTCTGTCTGTCTTATTTGATCTTCCAAAAAGTCCTCACTAATAATGTCTCAGACATCCTTCGACAGAGTCAAAACCAATTTGGTCCCGATGGTCCCTGAGCTCGTTGCTGGTTTCACCCAACAAGGGAATGCACACGCCGATAGACTGTGTAGTATCGTCAAAACTGTTGGTGAGGCACTGATCGGACTCGCAATCGCCCTGACCTCCACAGCCGTTACAGTGGCATTGGCGCCAGTTCTCCTCGAGGCGGCGGAATTGGTACAACTTGTAGAGCTAGGAGCAAAGTTAGGCTTGCATACTGCACTGGTTATTGGACAGCCGGCCCTTGCTGTGGCTGTCAAAGAGGGAATGAGGAAAAATGTGGCAACGGGGATACCGGGATTTTTGTACAGACTATCACAAAAGCTTAAGCCACTACAGTGGAGCTCGAATGGTGTCCAATTCTCATACAACTGGTGGGGGACTATTCAGTCCCTGCCCCAAATGTATTATACTCAGGTTACATCGGTTGTTCAGGCGGCTCGTGAAGAGTACGGTGCACTGGATGTTGAGGGTGGATATGGAAATGGTGGCTGGGGCAGATTGTGCTCACAATTTGAAGGAGATTTCGCCAGCCGCAATGCCTTGAATATGGATAAGTTGCAAATTTGGATTCCTGGCCAATTCGAACTCATTCGAAGTCGGATTCAAAGACTGTACAAGGAGATTTATGAAGGCAGTATTCCCTTCCCGGGAGGACCAAGCCTGATGGCATTCATGATGTCTGCCAGCCCATGGACTGGCGAGGACTCATTCTTGTCTGATCTAAGAGACACAGGAAAGTGGCAGTAGTGAGTCTTTTCCTTCCATTTTCACATCAACCGCCAGAACAATTGCTAATAGCTGCGCAGTAATTTGGAACGGAACTTTGTCAAAGGCATCATATCCAAACTATTAGCAAAGAGCTACAACTACATGGTTTGCACCCACGACCCAAAAGCAAGAGCTATGTGTGACGCCGCCGACAAATATTCCAAACCCTCGAGTGAATGGGATGAGCGAATGACTACCCTGTCCAAATCCAGATTCTGCCCTCTTCCGGATACCGACCCGAACATGATATGCCAGGTAGAAAAATGGTATTTCGCAGTAACCAGTCAACATGACAGGGCAATGAATGGCCTTGATTCATTCGAGGGTTTTCAACTGAACAGATTTAAGTTCAAAAGGAAGGAATTGTTCAAGGAATCTTTTGATAACTACATAAGATGCGGGAACAACTGTACAAATCTGGATTGGCACAAAGGCCCCTTTTCAAGGGACATGACGTTTGCCGGTATCTTTCATATGCCTACTTGCAAGAGCGATAATTTGCGCCTCATGGATTTTACACAGTTTTGGGGATGGAAGGCCCATCCAGGTAAATCTTGGAATGGATACCAGACTGGAGAATGGACCACCTGGAACTTTCCAGCAGTTTGCGGAGATCATCATGCAAGCGAAACACAGGGTTTTTTGGAAGCTATGAATGCAGGAATCCACAGCGACGTTTATGCACACCATTATTACTATAGATCAACGGATCAACTCTGGAAAGATAGAATCCCAAGGGTAAGTGGTTCCATATCGTTCTATATTATAGAGTTGATGCTCACTCTTCCCCACAGCAACTTGAGGCAATGGGCCTCCAGCCTTATGATCACTTCGTTGCCATGTGTGGGGCAGGCATATATTTGCCTGGCCGACTATTCGTTGGCCAGAGTAACCGCAGAGTACCACGATCTCCTCAACAAGGTATTCATTACAGATGTAAGGACGTCTCCGAGGCAACTGCCATGATGAACCAATATGAAGCCAACAAATGGTTCTGCGTCGATTCTTACATTGGGAAAGATATCCAAGATGATACTCGGGCAGGGAGATATCATTTGCCAGAGCTCCCCGAGCGAAGATTGCTGAATTACAGGCAGCGGTGTAGAAAATGGAGAAGAAGATACCTCAAGCCTGTTGACAAAGAGGTCATCATAACCAAAGAGAAATCCGAGGAAAAACCCAATGGCACAGAGATCGTTATAACTAAGGAAAAGTCTGATGGCACGGAGATCACTATAACTAAGGACAAATCTGATGGCATCGAGATCGATATAAGTAAGGGTAAAGCTGAGAATGAACCTGAGGGTCAAGCTGAGCCTGAATCTGACGAAGACGCCGAGGAGAAAGCCGAAGATGAGTCTGAGAGCGAGGCTGAGGATCAAGCTGAGCCTGAATCTGACGAAAAGGCCGAGGGGAAAGCCGAAGATGAATCTAAGAATAAGGCTGAAGATCAAGCTGAAGAAGACCAAGAAGAAGCTGGGAAGACAGCTGAGGAGGAAAGCTCTGGCCAACAAAAATAAGTGAAGAGATTGTTTTTCAGTATAATTGTTTCTCGCGCCAAATGCGACACAGGACTTCAAATTGGAAGAGCTATACACGTCGTTGCTGGGTCATAGATAGGTAATTCGATAGTGAGCTGGAACCTGGATGGATTTCTTTCTTTTTTCTTTCCCTTGATTTGATTTTCTTTTATCCCCAATGGTCCGGAGGGATGGCTCAATGAATCATAGCTCTATAATATTTGCTATTTTGTCTTTCTTAGATCTAGGAACGGGTGGGATTTTTTAAGGACGATAATAAGCTCGCAGTCAAAAATTGATATTTTCTCGTCGTATACGCTGTACTACCTCCCTTTTATCCTCGAAAGAGCTTGTGCGCCAACATGATCAATCTTCCGTGATGACCGTAATAATCTTACCCTTTACTCGAGTATACCTGAGTTAGTTAAGAAATACAAGTTAACAACATTGTACACGGTACACCTGCTGTCTTCATTTCTCCTTCCATGTCTGGATTGTTGCTTGCCTATATATTTGGTGTTCTCCTAGAAAGTGTTGCTGTGGGAGACAAACCATTTATGTGGCTGATTTATTTACTGTTACATGGCAACCTCTAGCTACCTACCTGAGAATAAGTTGTGGTTATTATAATTCAAGGAGACATAAAATAGGGCTTGGTGACGTGGGTTAACATTAATACCTACCTAGTCAGCTATAGCTAGCTCATGTCTGGGGAGGAGACGTTACAATGCTTGAATTCATATTCTAGTGACAGTGGCAACCCTTTGCTAATACATGTAGACAGCCTCAAAGGAAATAACGAATAGGATTCGCAGTAAGGGTATCTTCAAGGAGAGCCACCCATTCACAGTCACCACTAGAGGGTTGGACGTGAACAAGCAGAACGTTGTGCTCCAATTCAAGGGGTTATTTACAGGTTGAACTGTAGGACTGTGATGGAGTATCCACTGAGAACATATCTTGTAAGCAGGGTGGTAATCAAGGGTTCACGAGAAACAACTTACGGTACATCCCAGTCCCTAATTCCATTCCGGCCAGGTCGTGTCTTCGTAAGGTTTAGTGGCTGAGGGGTAATCGCTGTTGCATTGTTCTTGTAGTTAAATCCATTGGGATCTTCGTTCGTAATTATTGTTCCATTGACAGAACTCCAAGGGCTTTCTAGTTCCACACTCAGAGGAACTGCTGTGGAATTCACGTTGCTGCAAGTGTTAGTAATGCGCACACTGATTTCGGACAAAAATCACTTACATGACCTTTAAGAACACGCTCTTATCTCCATCAACACTCGACGCCCAATACAATGGGCCAAAGTCACCACGGGGATTTGACACCTGGACAGATTCAGAGCCGCGATATGTGTTAAAGAGCTTTTGCAAATAATAGCTGACACTCAACACCGTGTGCATCGGATCAGCATCAAATGCAATCAAGTTTGGTGTCCAGTTATACCAATTCCAGTTCTGCAAACTAGGAGCATAGGATGTGAGTTTAACAACAAGCGGGTTCCGTTCGGCGCCCAGCAAGTACACCCCCTCGGCGATGGCCGATATAAGTCGCGGATAGAAGATGTGAATAGAAGGCGGATCGGAGAAATCGTCAACCTCAGATGGCGTATCGACTTGAAAAACAGAGTATTCACCGACAAAGACAGTAACGTCTGAATTGTTGGTTGCCTCTTGCCAATTGTCCCAGAAATCAAAGGCGTCGATGAAGAAAGCTGGCGGCTCGTAATGGTGGGTATCCCACATAGCCCCAGGAGGAATATCAACTGTATAGCCTGAATTTTCATCGTAAGCCGTACTGATGTAAGTGATATTCGGATATGCTGCCTTAAGTCCATCATAGAGATACTTGAATCGGAAAGGATAATTCTGTCCAAAGAAATCTTCATTCCCAATCTCAACGAACTGAATGTCAAAAGGCTCGGGATGTCCATATTCCGCTCGCTTACCACCCCAGTAGGTGTCGGTAGATCCCATACAAAATTCGAGCTCGTCAAGTGCCTCTTTGAGGACTGGGTACATAGCCTCAGGGGTAGCAGGGAACTCGTCAGCATTGCCTTCTCCGGCATCACCAAGAGAGTAACCGCTATATATTGCAAGAACGTTCTGCATTTCCATGGCCTCTGTCCATTCGAGAAATTCCATGAGACCGAGACCGTTGGTGTTGTAATATCCTATCCGGATGTCAGGACTGAACGCATCCATGATTCCATATAAAGTGACAATGTCTACGTACCCCAATTTCCAGGCCTTGCCCAACGATTCTCGAGTGGACCAATTGTCTCCCACCATTTCCATCTCCTTTGAATAGAATAACCTTCAATATTATTACCCCCTGGCCATCTCAAGAATTTGGGGCCAAGGTCGTAGATATTTTGAGCAAGGTCTTTTCGCAGACCGTTCTTGTAGCCTTTGAAAGTCTCCGCAAAAAGGCTTATCTGATCAAAGTAGTAGGTCTGTCCTGATGCAGCAATGGGGTCAAAGGTAATAGCCAGTGAGTTGTTTGAATCCGGAGCTGAGACGGTGTTGAAGATTTGAGCTTCAACGTAAGTCCAATTGACGACGTTCCATGACTGTGCTGGAATTACTGTCGATGCCCATATTTCTCCAGTAATGTTTGACTGAAGAGAGACCGTTATGCTTGTGTTGAGATTGAATTGATTTCGGACTTGATCAGGATAGATAAAGAATGAAACGTTATAGATTTGTGGGGAGACTGGAATGCCCCACCACCCCATGTTCTCCACACCAACAGGGCTAGTAGATTGGTTTGATGTTGTTGGGATATCAAGCTGAAGAACAGTAGAGTGAGAATGCGTCAAGGGATGAAGATTGTCGAGCCGTAAAGATGTATTACCAACCGGCTTGTATCCCGTGAGAACGGGACCTTCAATCGTTAGCTGAAGATTTGCGGAATTTGATCTTGACTTACCATAGGCTTGAACTGGGTTCTCCTGGTATACAATACTATCACCCACAAAATCAGGAATACCTCCCCAAGTAACGGTGGAGCCATCAAATGCTCGATTCGTTAAAAGCTCGCCGTATAATCCACCATCGCCAGAGTGATTAATATCCTCAAACATCCATCCATATAAATATGGCGCTGTGGCATTCCTTGTTCCAGTTTTAGTCAAAATCTTTAGTGAGACATCACTTTGAGGACCATTAAGTTGTTGGAGGAAATTAACTCCGGCACGAGGGCGTTTTGGACCAGCTGCGGCAAATCCAGTGAAGGCAATGATGCCAGCCAAAACTGCTACGCACTTGACAGCCATGGCGCAGGAGCGTTATTAAAGGCAGGCTTTTCAAGTTGAATTTAAAAATGAGAGGCATATTTATACTTATACTGCTTGAAAATTTCCCACAGTCGGGGAGGAATAATACATTCTGAATATCCGGCAAAACACGGATCTTGAAAGATTGAAATGCGGGGGAGAGTAGAGTATGGAGAGGGAAGAAAGGAGAGATGGGGGCACAAGAAAATGATCGGTGGGAATAATGTGAGGATCTCTGAATGGTTATGCGCGCCAATTATCGCTTGAGAATACGGCCTGTTCTGCTGTAAGAGAGGCGGGGTACGACGATCTGGGGAAGAATTGAAGATTTTGCAAGGGCTTCTTGATTTTCCGTCCATTCTTGCACCAAGCCGCGGGGGGCTGGATTGTAGAGTGGTTCAAGAGTCGGTGAGCGATCTTGACCATCGCATTCCAGCTTCGTTATCGTAGCCGCTAGGAGGGTAACGGCATCTCCTACCACTACGCAGTCTCAGATCGTCTTTCCAAATCCCAGAACCTAAGCTCGCACACTGCCGTAGATACCCATGATTCTCTGCAAGGCTTACGTTCCTCCCCGCCTCCGCTTTTCTGCTGTCGGGTGCAATACTTCCACGACTTCTCCACCTTGTTGCACGGCTGCTGCCTCTGTTGCCGGAAGCGTTTCCTTTGAGGTCCTACCTGTTAGCACCACAACAGTCCAAAGTAAAGTAGAATAGGGTTCCCCTGATAGCGATATTCAATGGCGTGTTTCGTAAGGTATAGGTACTCAAAGAACCGTTGATGTTGCACGCGGAACAGATCAGACTTCCCGAGGGGGCCGTTAAATTTAAAAGAATGTTATATTTACACACGGTGTGTGTTGATCAGCAGTTTATCGGTTATCTGAGAGGCTGGAAAAGAACTCTGATAGAAATCCTGAACAAAATGCATGAACTATCTGAAGTGTCAAAAGAAACCCACACAACCAGCTCATTGAAAAGAAAGGTAATGAGAAACTGTTGATGGAGAAAGTACCTTCAAAATATCTGTCCTGGTATTAGTTAGGTGGGCGCCAGGTCAAGTAGTCAGTGCGCATCTTCGAACACTGTTACACCGTGCAGTCTAAGATACTGTACACCCCATAATGAAAGAGTATTCATGTTATGAGGCTAGCTTTACCCAGGGTTCTGATTCCAACAAATCCAAGGAAACCTCTACTTGAAGAGACCGGAATGGAACAGATAGTCCCTACTCATATCCGGTCAAGCCGATTCGCGACGAATAATAGTAGCATGTGCCGCACTCCGAGGCTCTATGCAGATCTGGAAAATTGGGTATGCACTGATGTCAAAAGATTTTTTTCCCAGACTGCCAGTAACAGCACCCTTCGATTTGGAGGCTTTGAAGCCCCAAGTGATTTTGCGATAGGTCGCCACTGGTTGCGCTCTGGGAGATGGATACCGGGGCAAATTCGTGGACTTGAACCGTACGTATAGTGATCTACAAGCGGTTGATAATTTCTTCAAAATCGTAATATTCTGAGCAAATCACTACTACGTGCTTCTGAGTGGTGCTAAGGAGTAACGCAGTCATTGAGATCGAGTTGGCTGGTGTGTTGAGTTTCTCGAGTCAGTAGAATTGGAACTTATGCCACTGTTACCTTTGATAAATTACAAAGTAGACAATTTCTTCTGAAACTTTTATAAGAATTTTCCTTTTGGCCTGGACAATCTATCCCATTTCAAATACATTATCCGGTGGTAGTAAAGAATATACATAATTATATACGGCGCTCTCCTCTTTCCTTACTCAAGAACGCTTAGTTCACGGTTCAGGATTAAGATAAATCTACAACATATTGCCAGATAGTTAATTCCCCACCACGGGACTGATGACTTAATTGCTGCAGAAATAATTGCAAGCAAGTACAGGCCCCAGGTTTGCCTCCTTCTCAAAGGCCCCCAAATCATATCTCATGCGAGACCAATTGCCCAATTTCTTCCCGTCAGCCGGGGCATACTTCGCCCCATCAAAAGCCGGCGGTTGTGCATACAGCAAGAAGATGTAGCGGTGTGGGGAGCTACCCGGTGGCGGCGCTGGCCCGATGTAGTTTGCCACAAAGGGAGTGCCGGCTGCTGATAGTACCTTCGTGCTATTGTCGCCAGATGCCGTCTCTGGAGTGAGACCGGGCTGGATCCAGTGCAGAATTGGGCCTAGGACGTTAAAAGAGCGGAAGGGCGCGTCGATGTCAAGGCTAATGACGATGTAGGTGCCGTCTGATGGCACGTCAAAGGAGAGAATAGGCGCGGCTTGTGCGTCTGGATTTGTTTAGCAAAAAGATTTGCAAAATACCTTAAACATTATATTGTCTCTTCAAGGCATTTGGGTTCTACGGACCGGCCTTAGGAATGTATTGTCCCACTGTGATCTTGCTGTTCCCAACCGTCAAGCCTAAGACTTTTGACGGGTCATTCTGGATCAGGGACAGAGCAGTATCAACGCTCTTATTTTCCAGCATATTCAATGAGCGGTGAAGTATTGTATAATACTCAAATTGATAATCGTGAGACTGTAAGGTACCTAGGTGAGGGTTAATGAGACCAAATTCTTTATATTGCGTGAACCGGAGATAAGTTATTAATTCCGGTTTCTCGGTTCCTCGCTGATGTAATTCTGACTGCGCGCTAGAACTCCCATCTTACATGCAGATCACTTCCAGGGCAATATCATTGCTTTGACTGGACGATGCAATATCCTGGCTGAGAAACCTGGGTAACCTTACGCACCTACGTATCTTCGGTACCTAAGGTATTCATTCTTTTGAACAAGGATCGGCATTTAACGCTAAACGATCAAGTGATTACCTTACAGTTCAACTTACAGTACCTTACTTACCTTAGCTCACGCCAGGGCAAGTGGCCACAATAAAACGGATTAAACCCCATGCATTAGAGCTCTTCTTCCTCTTCCTCTTCCTCTTCCTCTTCGTCACTTGTATCTCCATAGGTCGGCCGACAGTGTTCAAGTTCTTCCTTCGTTCTCGCCCGTCCTGCAAGGGCCAACACTCTCCTGATAAACCACTGGATCTCTAACAATTCAAAGCTCGGCAAGGGTCTTCGTATAGGATCGTCGGTGACAATAATGAACTCTTGCCCTGATTCAATGCGTTTTCCTTTTGCATTCTCAAGCCACGCCTCGGCAGCGCCGTTTATATGCTGGGTGGACGGAGGAATGGTGAGAATGTTGATTTTATCGTAGTAGGCCAGAGGACGTTTGAAGGGGGGTTGCCAAAAGAATTGCATCGTCAGAGCCTTTTTATCTTTGGAAATAGAGACTGGTTTCAGAGCAAATATGCCTTTGACCCATAAAGCATGAGCCAGAGGGTTGAGACATAGAAAGTTGGCCGAGGTGGCTTCGCCCGTGCCGCCTATGTACGGGTTTTCTGAATCTAGAACTCTTTTCCAAGCTGCCACCTTTGCTTGAGTAAAGAATAGACAGAGTAGATCAAGAACAGGAGGCCGGTAGTCACCGAACTTTGCATCTGCCGATTCCGGGTCCATCATACAAGGTGGGTATATAAATGCCGTTTCAATCACACCCATACCCGTTAGTACACAATGCGATCCATCGCGTTCAGTAGCTGTAGACGTAGCTAACTCGAACCATTCGGGCTGCACCATGGACCTCGATTCATCCCAACCAGCTACCATGAAGTGCATCATGAGCGCCATTGCAAGGACAATATTCGAATCCCGCTCCACAGTATTTGTCAAGTGGGTCAGTATGTCTATGTCACAGAAATGACAGGCAGCCCAGAAATGTACGGGAACATCAGCATGGATAGCGTTATGTAGCCTTTCGAGCAACACCGTACGTTCTTGACTTGGATGGTTGAAGTTCTCGTCGGCTAACTCCGCGGACGGTGTAGCGGTACTGGTCATGTTTCCGCCTCCTGATAAATAAAAAATGAATATATATGTGGGCAATTAAATGATGGTGAAGCAAAGGACAGCTGATTGATTGTTTGGCAAAGCAATGTGTTCTTATCATTGTTCTTATCATTGTTGGAATTTACGCCGGGAAGATGCGCTAATTTGTGGTGACGAAACGATGATCAGCTTTCTTAGATACTAGAGCTATATTTCTACTATTTTTTTCATCTGATCTTTCTGCTTTTATCTGTTTGTTTTTTGACCTGCTATATGACTGTTGTTTTGGAATCCAGATTACACCTGCCAAACAGGCCCTTAAACTACACTTAAATATATTAACCATCAATGAGCAGGCTTGTTGTACTAGTATATCACAAGCTCACTTTAAGTAACCACACCATAATGCAAGCCAGCAATCGAGCAGTACCTTGGATAACTTTTCTATCAGATAACTCAGTGCAACCAGCAGTAAAAAAGTTCTTCTGAAAGATAAACAGACCAAGGCATCAACGCCAGAATTGTATGTACAGAATAGCAAGAGTTGCAAAATAACGCCATGCTTATAGGAATATATCCTATTAAATCACATGGTGGAAAAGCACGTATGATGCTATCTGCATCAAAGCCTAATCAATCTTCAAGCTTTGCCACGCCACTGAGACGGGAAAGTCGTGTCATAAACAGCTGCATTTCCAGAATCAAAAAAGAAGGAAGCTTCTCGGGATCATCACTGTGTATTGGGATCATTTGGCCGGACAGCAGGGGGGATCCACCTGCGTAGGGGGGTGTGTACCAGTTGTCCCCTTCCTCTTGTTCTGCGTAGGTCATTGGTAGACGTCTATTGTGTGGAAGAGTCGTCGCCGGTTCCGTAATGAGTGACATTAGTTGGCTTGAAGCAACATCAGGGCCGTCGCCAAGGAACCATATTCTTATGTTGAGCGTATGGCCCTCATCAACAATGTCAATGGGCTCTAGTACGAAGAGACCGGTATTCCACGCAGCATGGGGACTTGCAGCCAGAGTCAAGATATTACGGCAGTGATCTGCCTTTGGCGTAATGCCATCATTCTCGAACAATTCTTTCTTCCACGCCGATGCCACCTCGCGGAGCTGGAAGATCTCTATAATCCGCCAGAGAACCTCGCGAAGAGCAATAGTTTGCGGTGGAGCATCCGCAAAATGCATAGATCTAGGGTATATATGGGCTGCCTCGACTATTCCGTAGGTACCCGTCAACACACATCGGTGTCTGTCCCTTTTCTTCGCCTGGAAGCAAGGACATTAGAAAAGACTTCAACATAAGGATCTGAAATATATGTTACAGACCAAAGCTCATGTACGTATAGGGTAATCTTGAGCTGCATAGCAGAATACACATATCTAGTAAATATAAAATCACGTACTTGGTCCGACGCACTGGTCCTATAGGGCTCACTGCCCTCTGTTTTATGCTTCTTGGAAGGGGGCGGGCTCGCACTTCTCGATATGGGTGCGTTTGGAATCTGGACCCCTGATATACCGTCAGCTTTTAGGATCATCCAGATCTAACGCTATGAGAATGACTGAAGTCAAGAGTCTCGAGTATGTGAACTTACAGGCCATCACAGCTTCGGCGATACTAGAGCTAAACGCTCCGAAGATAGTTCGAAACATAGGGTCACAGTCACACTTTGCCCTTAAGATTTTGAGACGGCGCTCATCACAGGTCGTGAGAGCGGCCCAGATAGGGGGACGGTTGCTGCGCCCAATCTGGGCTACAAGAGCTCGAATCTGCTTCTTCCGTACATCAGAGGGCGCAAATCGTTCTCGAATAGCAGCTTCGGTAAGGGCGACAGCAGGTAGATTAGAAGGAGGGCCTGAGGAGGATGGTTCTGCCATCTTTCAAAACGGATTGGACAATGTGTAGGTGTAGTGCAATACGGTACGGTACGCAAAAGTACTTTTGAGAGTCTAGGTACCTTATACTAGAACATAGACCGAAGTTTTGCCGGAACCCCCCTATAAAACCCCTTATAAAACATAGGTATTTCTCTAAATTCTTATTATATCGCCCCAGAGAGCCATTGTTGCTGTTGTTGTTGCTGCGATGCTCAAGGATGAAAGTCGAACAGATTTCGGAGAAGCTCTGTACTTTCGTGATTCTTTCATGGAAGGAACACATACCTTAGCTTCATGCTTCTAATGCTTGCGTCACTTACAAATCCATGTCACGGAAGAAGCGATCTTGCCAATCCATTACCCCAACACTCAAGAAATACCAGCATACAATCGAGCATTGAGAATAGATCTTGTTAGGTCTCGTAAGCTATTGACAATCTATATCCGAAGAAGCGGCATACCAAAGTTTCTTGAACCTCAAAATATTGACTTCAACTGAATCGAGAAGTTGGCAATGGAATAGATTGAACTACTCTTGAGAAGTACGGGTAGATAAATTTATGTAATGTCTAAATAGTTTAAGGACGTCACGAGACGTGTCTTGAGCTCTCTTGAAGATGAATGAAAGACGACGATATGATAATTTGGTAAAAAGGCTGAATTGAGATCAGAAGGAAGCATGAGTGAGTCTTCAACGATGGGAATCATGGTGAACATGACAGGATAGTATCTGCGATGTCCACTGTCTTCCAGATCCAGCCATAACGATTAACAGAGATCAAAGAAAATCGCACGCCTCAAGTCTTTAGCCCGCAGAATGGGTAGGACCAGGGTAGCCTTGGCAATTGTTGAAATAGCCTTTCTGCTATCTCTAGAGGCAATATTGGATCAAGCCCAGATGATTCATCCTGTCCAAATGAATCTCGGATAGAGACAAAACTTGATCGGACTGGATCTCTATCAACTAGCCTTCTTCCATTGATACCGTCTACTTCCCTGAAAACATCAGAAGCAGTGTACCTGTTCGAAAGATGGCTGAACCATCTAGGATCCAGGATCGTCTGTCCTTCTCCAAGATCCATCCATTTTGTAATAATGGCCGCAACACCGAATCCCTCACACTCCTCTAGACGGAGTTCGTATTCCATCGGGCATGCAATACAAGGTACGATACCTGACTTCCTGACGCACCGCTCCAGAGCGTGCAGGTGGTTTATGGTACACCTGGCAGTCTCTGGCAGGTTTGCCTCGGTACCATGAACCACAAGCCTGATATGAGGACATATGTCGAAGGAACAGCGATCCCAGTTACGAACCGTCAGACTAAGTGGTATCAGAATAACGTGCTGTGAGCGGAACAGCAGAGAGCCATCGACGATCCTGGCATCTGCCTTGAACTCGGATGGAGAGTCCTGCATGATTCTACACGTTGTCGACTGGCGGTATAGACACTCCAGCCAAAGCTTGTAGTCAAGACCCAGTCGATGCTTCTTCATGACCATCTGGAAGGTTCTGAACTGGAAGTCTTTGTGCATGTATTTCGATACCTTGCCCAGCACCTCAGCCTTACGACATGGCGTCACGTCGTATTGGTAAAGAGGCTGAGTGGGTAAATGGCCAGAGCAACGCATTGTACATAAATGAAGGACTCGACAGTGATAGCATGGTACGTAGTCTGGGAGGTCTTTCGACAATTGTGATAGGAAGTCGATGTGTTGTTCGTGTTGGTCTTCTGCCCGCAGACTGGTCCAATAACTGGTCCCAAGAATAGCGCATGCGGCACGGCAACTTAAGGTAAACAATACTGTGGAAGAAAGTGGTAGGAATTGGGCCACGTATATTATAAGCTCGGGAGGAAGCATTTCCAAAATAGTGAGAGGTGTTGCTCCAGACGGGTTTTCAAGAACGTAGGCATCTTTCGGAACATCACTCTGACAGATTTTTGACTCATGCGTGCTCAACTGATGCCTGCTGCCATTCTTCGACAAAAGCTTTTGAACGAGCTTGATAATCGTTTTAAGGGACATGGTAGCAGAAGATCGTAATGACGTGGCAATAACAATTGAGCGTGAGCTGAGCAATTGATTTCGAGGGGGCAGAGAACGCCGATTGTCGATGACCGACAAATAAACAAACAAGATGAGGAGGGTTGTAAGCTTATTATGGACTTGGTGATGTGATGCTGCGATTCCCACAAAAATCCAAGTAGAATACTTAGAGAGGAACAGAGAATAGTTAAAGTTAGAAAAAGTAAAAAGAAATATAACCAGATTAGTTTTGAAAAGAGATACGTTTTGGCAAGGGAGCTCGGTTAATAGGTGTACTCCTAAGAATACCCTACCTTACCTTAGCTTAAGTACCTTAGGTAGATTTAGTTACTAGTCGAGTGGATTTAGTTCAGGCCCAAAATGTCGCGTCCGCTCATCGCGCATTCAACGCCCACTATCGCTCTCACCTGCAACTCACCCTTGGTCACTCACCCAAACCCGCCGATAAAGCAGCTCTGCTCACCTTTCCGAACAGAAACAGATTCCCTTCATGTCAGGATTGGCGTGTGATAATCATGTGATATTTCGATCACCATGTCTCTAAAACGGAGATCATCCAGGTTACCCTTTGTCACTAGGGGAATTACATTCTTCCTCGCCGCGTTTGGCGCCCTGAATCCAGCCGTAGCCTGCTCCGTTTCAGCGTCATCCACGCCGACTTTTCTATTACGGAATGCCGGTGCTCCCGTCCGCGCGAGGGCGATCAGAGTTATGGTCGTAGGCGATTCAATTACCCAAGGTCACGAAGGTGATTGGACTTGGCGCTACCGGCTGTGGCAATGGTTTAATGACCAAGGTGTTGAGGTATGTCCCAAACTTCCATACTCGTGGAAAAGGCACAACTGACTTGATGTTTTAGGTCGACTTCGTCGGGCCATGGAAGGGTACTAGGCCTCCCGACCCGGCCACTTCTCCGGTTCCACCTCCTTTACAAGATCCTCCAGCTTCAGACGACCCAGGGCAAATCACCACCGGAGGATACGCCGTCGGAGTAGGTAAGGATAACTAGTTCTTTAAAATCATCAATTCCCTTCCCTTAGGAAACATGTCTCGGGATCCAGGTAATCTTGAGACATTCAATGAACCCTTACCCTTCTACAGTCTACTGTAGTCTGTACGCCCGGAACTTACTAGAATAGAGAAGAGAACGCTGAGTCCCTCATCTTCTAGATCCTAACTTCGACAGCGATCACTTCGCAGCTTGGGGGCGACAATCAGCACAGGATAAAGACCTAATCCGCGGCATGGTAACGACATATAGCCCAGATTATCTTCTTGTCTTGCTCGGATTTAACGACCTGGGTTGGGGTATTAGCGACGCCGAAGGCACTTTTGAAAGCATGGAGATTTTCATCAGCGAAGCTCGCGCTGCCAAGCCTGACATTAAATTCGCTCTGGGAAACATTCCGCAACGCAGTTTCATTGGGGAACATAGTGACCTGCCTAGCAAAACGGATGTTTACAATCAAATACAAGCAGCAGCTATCCCGAGGTTGAGTATGTATTTTCTCCACTTCACTCTACAACCACTTGCCTTGAAATGGGAGCGGTCTCATGGACCATGGTTCAAATCTCAACAAGTCTCAAACACCATGGAATATTTTCACCGAGTGCTCTCCTAATAAGGCAATGCTGACGCCAAGCCGTTGAAGGTACTCCCAGTTCCCAGATTGAACTCGTCCAAATGAGAGAAAACTACGATTGCGATGTCGGTGGCTGTCCCGCCGGCTATGATGGTTTGCACCCCAACGTTCTAGGTAAGTATACTCCAAAGGGGGTTTCCGTAACCCATGACTTCGTTGCAGCAGAAGAAGAGACTTACACCAAAGCTAGGCGAGTACCAGATTGCACAAGCCTTCTCACGTACTTTAGTTAATGGCTTTGGTATTGGAACCAACGAACTGGTCATTCCTGCAAGCCTTCCAGTTCGGCCCATCTCCGTGCCTACTAATTTCCAAGCGGTGTCAAGCGTGACCGGTGTGACGGTGACTTGGGATGCTGTCTACGGCGCAATGGGCTATGAGCTCCAGAACCGTCTCGTAGGGGTTGATACCTGGAACACCTGGTCTACTACTTTCAATAGGTACGACACGTCGTGGGTCCTCGACGGCTGGGAATATGAGTTTAGGATCCGTATGAGCAACGGCGATGCGGTGAAGTCTGATTGGTCGGACATAATCTCTGCAGTGTGCCACCCACAAACGCCTCCAGCACCAACTGACATATTAACTGGAGCTACTGCCACTGGCGTGGATATTTCGTGGGCTCCGTGTGGCCATGATATCACTGAGTACGCTGTCATCCTCTACAACAGGGACACAGTCGGCTCATATGTTGAGACGATTGGCATTGAGCCTACAAGCCTTTCTGCCCACGTCGACTCACTGACTCCAGGTATCCACTATGATATTGCCGTGCAAGCTTGGAACCAATATGGTGGCGGTTTTCCGGGGGTGGGCAAGAGTGTCACTGTTGGGGCTGGGGCCCCTCCCGCCCCTACGAACTTACAGATCACCTCGATTGACGGTACTACTATCGAGATGGCCTGGTGCGGCTCTCCTGAAGCCGCTGGCTACCGTACTTGGCACCGCAACATCAACGATGGCAGCGTACTCGTTGGCGATGACTTTTCTACAGCTGAAACTAAATACGGCGTCGCTTTTCTGTTTCCAGGGGTCTGGAACTACGAGTTCTGCGTTAGTGCCATCAATGGCGAATTGGAGTCAGGGTTGTCAAACTGCGTGGTATACATATTCCCTACGCCCCTTTCTCCCCCCCTCTCAGAGTTTTCCCCTGATGCGTGAGAGATTTAAGAGTTTCAGTCGTGGGGCATCCTCCACGAGTTACTTCCAGATCGAGTAATGCTGACTCCGAAATCTTGCAGGTGTGTCCACAACCCGGAGAAGTAGCAGGTGGTCCCGTTGGCGGCGCAGATTGCTATTCTGGGGTCAACTGGTCAGCGACAGTTGTTGTCGGCAATCCAACCCTTGCTACGTTTGTTCCTGAGCAGAACGTCATGCGTCCTGGGCTGATCCCCGCTTTTCCGGGCACGGGAGCTACCTTCCCAGCAACGCAATTCCCTTTACATTTATCCTCTCCTAGCGCCCACGGATAGCTACACTCCATCCTTACCTCTGCCGACCACATTGTATAACGATCTAAACTACGGTTGCACACTCTAAGCCCTTTCAAGTAAAGATACCCTCTCTGCTGTCTATCATCGCCCTAAATATATATACGAAACCTGGGGATTGTGGATGTAAGTGTTTTCCCTATGAGCAGTGGATCTGATTAGGAATTGGAAGGACAGACGGCTTGGATGAGCGAGCATTGGCTGGAGTGTATTCCAATGTCAAATCGAAAGACCAATTTGTCATACAGAACAGCAAGATGAATCCCATGTATTAACTTTTTCAATGGCAGATTCTTAAGTAGCTCATGCGGTGTTTTGCGCCGCAAGGGCCTCCCTCCTGCTTGTGCTTAACGGATCCAAGTATGGTCTCTCGCCCAGACTTACAGCTCTCTGCCCAGTCCTCTCACCCAATCCTTGATTTAGATAATCCGGGGTCGCAGCGTGGTATACACTCCGATTATCCCAGATGGCCAAATCATTTGCATTCTGCCATCTGTGCCTCACCTGCAGGTCATGGTTATCAACCACCAATCTCACAAACCAATCCAGCAATGCCCTGGACTCCCCTTCCGTAAGCCCGTTGATTCGCTGGACATGGTGCCCCACCGCAAACACGCTCTTCCACCCGGTGACTGGGTTGGTGCGAATCACGGGATGCACGGCCTCGAGGACTTCACCCACGTTCTCTGGAGCCCCTCGTGGTTGGGAGTAGATCTTGAATCCGTTGCGGTCGGCGGCTTCGTTGAAGAGAGGTTGTGCATAGGTGGCGGTTAGGCCTTCGAGGAACTTTTGCACGGGCGCGGAGATGCGGTCGTACACTTCGTAGCCGGAAGCCCAGAGTGTATCTGGTATCAATGAGCTAGAGCTATCACAAGAAAGAAGACAGAGAAAGACTCACCTCCACCGGTTTTAGGTAGTTGGGTCAGGCGCAGTAAGGCATAATCACTTGGAATCGGCTCGAAGGTGATGTCGGAATGCCATTGCTCCTTTCCGCTTTGCTTTTTCTCGGATTGGAAGAGCAGTTTGTCGCGGTAGATTTTTTTAGCTTGCTCAGAGGAGATGACGCTGATCTCGTCGTCTTTGCCTCCGAGTTCGCGTCCTGAGTTGGACACTGGGTGGATGTGGAGCTTGGAGGTGGAGGGTTTGCCTGATAGTTCGCCAAGGCGTTGGACGAGCTCTTTCTGGAGATCGTTGGTGATGTCGTCTTGTTTGCGGAAGAACACGACGCCGCGTTGGGAGACTATTGATCCAGATGTTAGTCAATTGCTCGGGAGTTTTGACGGGAGTTACTACTTGTAATGGCCAAGTCTCGAAGAAGCTCGTCAGAGTTGGGCGCCTTAAGCCAATCTGCGAGATTAACGCCGACAAACTCCCTGCCAATCGTTGGGGTAACATCAAAGCTTTCAAAGTGATTGAGTGCACCACTGAGCTTCAGAGGCTCCTTATGCTGGGGCGCTTGAACCGGTGGTGCTGGTCCATCTTCGACCTTCACCTCGCTGTGGCCTTTTGAGCCCAGAGACACGGATGTAGCCTCCTGGTGAATCTGATCTGCAGTTTCTGATACTGCCTCGGTGACTGAAGGAGCCATTTTCGACTGTATTAAGCTCTAGAGCTGATGATTGAAATCGAGAAAGTTGCCTATAAGGATTCGAAATTTCGAATTGCTACCTGGTATTAGACAGGTGAAAAAGCAAGAAGCAGGAAAGATCGAGGGCTACCCCTCCATAAGTACAATCAATCAGGCATGCATTCATCCGCAACCCCACCCTCGTGACTTCAGCAGGATGGTATCACAATCTCCAAATTGACACCATAAGCATCTTAAGCAGAGGAATCGGAGGTATTCCCTTATCACCGGGTGGATGAAAACCCACTGACAACAAGAGCCTATGAAAGTAGGTCAATTAACGAGGAGAGTGATAAAGAATAGACGCGTGGGGGGTACCCCAGATACAGGGCAATTATGGCAGATGGTGAAGACGGCTTGAGATGCAGATATTCACCATCTTCCATGCGAGTGACGTGCGAGCGGAGACGCAATCGCGGTACGCAGGGTAAGTAACCTTGGTTGATTGACATGGTGAAACTTCTATCAGAGGAATCAAACTCGTATTTACTCATTGTCAATGACAATTGAAATGCCCATCCCAGCGAATGCTCGATGTTGATGTTGCGCCCTCTCCTGTTCTCTTGCACGAGGCATGGCGGAATCAGGGGGGTGCGGGTATATATATGCATTAAGCGAGCGGTGACTATAGAGAAGCGTGACGTTAATGTCCGTGGTGCATGTATAAAAGGTCATATTCGAACCGCTCCCCGCTGATTGTCACCTCCGCGTTGAGCCCAAGACTTGGCCCCAAGGCAATATACAGGCAAGGCATTGGCGTGCTGTCGAGAGCCTTACACCGAATCATCCCGCACGTGAAAAGAGAGCGATCCCCGTCCGTGTCCACGTCGATGACGTGACCGCCTCTGCTGAAGTCGCGATGCAATGCCCTGTCCTTGGCGACTGCAAGACGTGATGTCTCTTGATGCGAACCTCTCCTATTGACGACTTGGATATAGCCTATCTTGACATAGGTATCGGCTCTGTAGCTTCAGGATGACTGTGGGAGAGTGATCCCCATGTCGATGGAAGATTAGCCGCCGATCACGTCTCCTTCCGCTCCCCGTTCCTGCACAGCTGTCAGCTTCTATTCTCCCTTATGAATTTTGTCTTTTTATTCCAGATGGCTATATGTAATATTGTAGGACCATCTCCGTCATCTCCCTCGGTAATATTCTCGGAACCTCTTGCTACTTGGGAGAACCTTTATCGATTCGACTCTTCTCCTGGATGGACATTGGGAGAGGATCACAAGTCTACCAGGAATATTGACATCAGGATCGTGGTGATTTCATTAGTCCACTAATTCAACTTTATGGGGCTGATATTCTTGTCTTAGATACGGGACTGCGTAATGTTCGTAGCCATCAAGGTTGACCGCTCCAAGCCTCTAATATTTCTTAAGCTGTAACAGACAACTATTTGAAACACTTGCACAGGAAGACTAACGGTATGATGGTTCCATCCACTTCCTCCAGTCTCTTACTTCTCTCGCCCGCCTGTCGGCCACTTGTAGCTGACACTTGTGAAGATTTCCATCTCAGACATACGGTCTTCAAACTGGCATTTCTGCGTGCTGAAATCCCATCTCAATTCCTTTCCAAATAATTGGACCTGATTGATGATTTCTTGCCCAGATGGTGCTATAGTCCCGACTCCCTTGTTACTGCCCATCAATTCTGGCTGAGCGTTGCTCATGTTTCTTATACGTCGTACCCGCTTCGCCTGAGAGAACTGATACGGCGTTGAGAGCTCTTGATATCGGAGAAGTGGTTTGTCGAAGAGACACTACTCTGATATCGTATTGTGCCTGGTGTGCCGTATACAAGCCTGCGTCCTCGACAGTGTTCCCGCGCTGGCCCTGTGCTCGTAGAAGAATCCAGGTCGACAGCTGGGAAAAGAAGCTTAGTTGATTCGGTACTCTTACACATAGCTCCCCCGTATTTACGTTCTCGTGGTATTCAATCTTTGTATCCAAAGGGGTGTTTTGAGAGATTGCCCTTCCTATAGGTGGTACCCAGACACAGGACACCTATACATTCCTTTTTATGTCATCTATCCGACCAAGCTGATATTTACAGATCCTTTCTTCTAAAACACTCGCCACAATTCCTTACGCAGTTCCTGTTCTAGAAAATGTCCACTCATTTGATTCTTGATAGACGAATAATTCCAGAGATCGCCGTCTCAGTTACTCGCATCCTTCGCAGCCAGTTCCCTGATGATATCAATAGCTTTTGGGGTCTCGATCCATGAATCGTAAGAATATTGAAGCACCAGCTTCATATGTTCCCGAGTACCCGCACTGTATATTCCCGGGCGTTCCGTCAAGTTTGCTCCAGGCTTGAGAAGAGCTGGCCAGAAGTACTTGTTCGACTCCTTCACAAATGTATATAGCTTCTCCACCTGTGATTCTAACTTCTTGATGAGTGGGCCCTGATCCTCGCTGTCCATAATGTCCTTCCTTTTAGCGACAACCGTGCTTACGAGGTGACCACGGATCTTGTCCAAAAGCTCTTTCGGGACTTTTGCACCTACAACGGTCGAGTTCTGTAAAGACCTTACATCGAGTAACAGCCTGATTTTAATCAAAGTGACTGACACGGCGTGAGTAAGTTCGGCGAATCTCCTTGTGAAGAGACCAATCGGTTCAAAGACATCCTCGTCCTTAAGGTGAAGATATGGCAGGCTCGTGTCTCCCCAGTCGTAGTGTGAATTTTCCGCCGTGGTGGCCCACCACTTGACAAAATCATAGCATTCCTGGTCCTTGCCCAATCGCAAGTACAATGCCGGGACAAGATCACGAACCCCCATATTATCACCGCGACAGAGACGGAGCATATCCATAAGGTGGCTATGGGCTGCTTGGACTGCAAGTGTTGTCTTGATCTTGAGAAGAGCCTCCACCAAGGCGAACCGTGCTGTCATATATGGTCGGGTTTCTACGATGCCCCAGAAATGACCTGCTCCTTCTTCAAATACGTTGGCAGGGGTCATCCAATCACCAGGGTGTGCACGAAGTTTCTGCTCTTCATTGTCCAGGGCCTGTTTGCTTTTCTTGATCGCATTGCAGGCGCCTTTGTGCTCGTTTCTGTGGGCTATCTGGTGCTCTCGGCCGCAGTAGAGCGTAACATAGCAGCCTAGGCACCGAGAAAGGTTTTCCTTGCTACGGCAGACTGGGCAGCATGAGGTGAGAGTGAGGCTCATTGTTGCGAGGATGGGATTGCACCGAGAGCGTTCTTTCGAGGAGCGGGGCGGTACTAATTGTGATTCGAGATGGCCGAAAGGGGGACGATTAATTAGGGGTACATGCTAGGTGCGGCCAAGTTTTGTTGTCACCGCCTTTTTCTGCCCACTTTACTGACCACCGGCGTCGCTTAGGCGGACTCGCTAATCCGGATTAACACTATTCCGACGTCAAAGGCTTCTAGAGTTCTCAGGTACCATCCCGCGAATCTGGGTCTGGAATCTACCTTATCGATGGTGCCTTAGGTAAGGCAGAGATCGTCCCTACGGCTGGACTCGCACTGCCTATAAAGTTGATCTCGGCTCTCGGCTTTGCCCCTTTCGCAGCATCTCTATCGGGTATCATTTAGCCGAGCCGCCCTTTTCCTTGTCCATCGTCGGCTCGCTTGTGGCTGGCCGCCAGCGCCCTACGCCACACATCCCGTCTCACCAACGTGCGCCGATGTTGATAGTTCTTGCGTGATTGCCAGGGCCAGATTCCTCATGCCGCTGATATCCTCATGTCCTCCACACCGGGTAAATATTTCTCTACATCTCCAGACATGTTAAATATCAAGCATTGGGTACATGGGGTCGGTCCTCTTGCGTCCCCGTTTCCAAATCCCCTCGTCGGCTGCTGGACTCTCGTGGTATCCGCGAAAAGATGTCTTCCTCTGCTCCCTCTGCCACTGGCAAAGAGGCTGTCTCGACCATCACGACGGATCTAGAAAAGTCAGCGGCTGAATCGCCTGGACCCCAGCATGAGGCCCATCTCGATGCTGATGGCGCCCTACAAATGCTGCGAGCGGGTGGCAACATTCCTCCTGATCCAGCGAAAAATAAACGCCTCAGGCGCAAGGTCGACCTCTTCATCATGCCGCTGATCTGCATTGTCTACTTTCTTCAGTACCTCGACAAGATTGCAATCTCGTACGGCAGTGTCATGGGCTTGAAAAAGGACACAAAGCTGACTGGAAACCAGTACAACTGGGTGGCCAGTATCTTTTTCTTTGGTCAGCTAGCTTTTGAGTTTCCGACAATCCGCCTGCTGCAGATGTTCCCTCTCGCAAAATATGTGTCCGTCAATGTCGTCATTTGGGGCACCATCCTTGCGTGTTTGGCAGCCTGCAAGAACTTTGCCGGCCTGATGGTCTGTCGTGCATTCCTCGGGGTCGCAGAAGCAGCGATTGTCCCAGCTTGGGTCTTGTTTACCTCCCAATGGTACAGCAAAGAAGAGCAGGCATTCCGGGTTGGCATTTGGTTCTCTATGTGTGGCTTTGCACAGATGTTCGGCGGCTACGTTGCCTATGGAATTGCCGTCCACGTGGGACGGGACCCAAGCGCGTCTCTGGCTGGTTGGCAGATTATCTTCCTTTTCCTCGGACTTTTGACGGCCGTTGTTGGGATCATTTTCTATTTTGTGCTGCCCGATTCACCACTGACGGCCCGGTTTCTATCAGCTGAAGAAAAGGCTTTGCATGCCGAGCATCTGCGTGGAAACGAGCAAGGTATTGGCTCAAACGTTTTCAAGTGGGACCAGTTCTCTGAGGCACTTCGTGACGTTAATACTTGGCTATATGCCTTCTGGGTCTTTGCGGCAAATATTCCCAACTCGATTGCAACCAGCTTTGGCAACATCCTGGTCACTGGAATGGGATTTAGCTCAACTGACAGTCTGTTACTGGTGACACCACTGGGGGCTTATGAAGTGGTCGTCTTAATCGGTGTTACATGGCTCGCAAGTAGAACAAACCAACGGCTCTGGCTCTGCATAGCTGCCCATATTCCGTCTATCGTGGGGGCAATCCTCATGGCGACGACAGAGAAGGCAGCTGCGCTTGTGGGATACTATCTGTCCGGTGGGATTCCAATCGGATGGACGACCATCCTAGCCCTAACGAGCAGCAATGTTGCAGGTTCGACCAAGAAGGTCACTGTGGCGTGCATCGGGACGATTGCATATACGGTCGGAAACATTATCTCGCCGCAGACCTTCCAGGCAAAGGATGCGCCGAGGTATCTTCCAGCAAAAATCTCCATCGTTATCCTGTATGTCCTCATTACCATCGACTTGTGGATTATCAGGGTCCTGGCGGTAAGAGAGAATCGTCGCAGAGATCGGAGGAAGGAGGAGCTTGGAGAGGCGTATGTGGTGGAGAAGAACCATGAGTTCCTCGATTTGACCGATAGGCAAAACTTGGAATTTAGATATTCTTTGTAAATACTAAATAATTCATAATGTCGATTTAACCCTTAACATTGATTGTGTACGCCCTCTAATTGCCACGAAGTGTCATTTAATCAATTTAGAGTGTTTCAATACTGACTCGCCAGAACTACTTGCTGTGGAAGGTATACCCGGCAGTGCCCGTGGCTGACCTGCCCTTGTCAAAACCTTATCAACATGATATATATCACGAGGATGGAATAGCCTTATCTCACAACTTCATTCCAACTTCACTCCAACATCGAATGCGACGTTTGCAAATATCCCACTTTAAGGGATCTAGAGGCCAACGATAATGATAGGTCCGTCCTCAAGATGTCGAGGGCAACTCTAGATGCATCCTGCACTTATCTATTTGTGGTAGTCGGACTGGAGATCATCAGATACAAACCTTGGACGTACCTTATCTTACTTTGATATCATCCCCGTGTCACAAGTATCTCATAGGTTAGGACCCATGCACTATTTTCGTCCTCAGATGTCGTTGCGCATACATATCTCGTTGAAACCTCCTCTGCTCTCCAGAGTTCGCGCGACATTTTCGGACGTATCAGCCTCTCCTCGACACACAAAGGGGGTTTTCAATAATCCATCTCAATATGGACGACTCCGAGCATCGCCATGGTCATCTTGATACATCGGCTCTCCCTGGTACCGTCCATCTTGTTGATCTCGAGGGCACGATTCGTGCAAAGCACGCATCTGGAAGTCAACTCAAAGATGTTGTTCTCGTTCCAACACCATCCTCCGACCCAGACGATCCTCTAAACTGGTCTCGAAGGCGTAAAATTCTCAGTACCGCAAGTCTGTCAGTGTATACGCTTATGGTAGGTATTGCGTCTGCTGCAATCTACAGCGTTCTTGAACCGATTGCCGATGATACTGGATTGACATTGGGGGATCTAAATGCCGGGACTGGATACATGTTTTTGGCCTTTGGATGGGGTTGTCTCTTTTGGCAACCGATGGCATTGCAGTATGGGAAGAGACCAGTCTACCTATTCTCCATGCTTGCGACTTTGGTGAGTGATTGTTGTCTTGCAATACATGTTGCTCGTGTAGCTGATAGACGCTAGGGTATTATGATATGGGTGCCGCACGCAACTACGAATGGACAGTGGATAGGAAGTAAGATCTTGCAAGGATTCGTTGGTTCGCCCATCGAATCATTGTGTGAGATCTCTATTACGGATATCTATTTCACCCACGAGCGCGGGACTTACATGGGATTATACGCCTTCATGTTGGCTGGTAGTAACTATCTCGCCCCGGTTTTTGCGGGTTTCATCAATCATGGCCAAGGTAAGCGATCCTCTTTTATAACTAATAACAACGCTGATGGTAGATAGGCTGGAGGTGGGTCATGTACTGGTGTGCAATCTTCTTAGCCATCGGCTTTGTCTTCTGCTTCTTTTTCATGGAAGAGACAAACTACGATCGGGCACCTTTGGAGATGATATCGCCTCCAGGAGATACTGCTAGTACGACTACACCCGAAGAAGGGAATCTTCCAACTGCAACCAACCCTGAGAAGACCATAATCAGTCCTGAGAATTCTACAATCGATCCTGAGAAGACCGCTGCAATCGTAAACTCGGAGTCCAAAAACATCGACTCTGACGTCGGACAAGTCCACTACCGTCCCAAGACCTACCTCCAGAAACTTGCCCTCCTTGACAAGAAGCGAGATTTCCACCTCTTCCGCATGATGGTCAGGCCACTAATCTTTATGACATTTCCGAGCGTTGCGTATGCTGGATTTTCATATGGCAGCAACCTGGTCTGGTTTAATGTCTTGAACGGGACGGCCTCTCTTATTCTCAGCGCTGCCCCCTACAATTTCTCATCTTCCATGGTTGGTCTCTCGTACGTGTCTCCTCTGTTAGGGGTTGCAGTAGGAGCATTCTACTCGGGAGTAGTCGGAGACAGGATCGTACTCTGGCTCGCTCGCCGCAACAAAGGGGTCTCGGAAGCCGAGCATCGGCTCTGGCTCTTCTCCGTTTCCTTAATATTAGTCCCTGGCTCACTTATACTCTGGGGTGTCGGTGCTGCACATCACATACACTGGTTCGGACTTATTTTCGCTATGGGTGTAATAGCCGCTTCCAACTCTATCGGAGTCCAAATCAGCGTCTCCTATTGCATCGATTCCTACAAGGATTTGAGCGGCGAAGCAATGGCTACAGTTATTATTATCCGAAACACCATGTCCTTCGCAATCGGCTACGGACTCACCCCATGGGTCACGGATATGGGATATCAGAATGCTTTTATTCTAGCAGCGTTTGCTGGTTTGGCACAGGTCCTGACATTCTTGGCTGTAGTGAAGTGGGGAAAGAGCTGGAGGAACGCGAGCAAGGCGAGATACTATAGATACGTAAAGGAAAGCGAGAATCTGGGAGTCACTCATTAGGCAAGAGAAGTATTTGGCAGCATATCACGCATATAGAGACTAGTTAGAAGAGTCTTTGATCCTTTTCACGCGATGACTCATCGTTCTGCATGTTAAACATCTGGACGCAATCTACCTCACTTGCAATGGCTTAGTAGTTACTGTTTTCTCAGCAGATACTATCATGCTTCTATATTTATCTAAGGTAAGAGGGTCTTTAATCCAAACTCTTTAGGGCCAGCAATATAATTAGTGGCCGCAGAAGTCAAGCTGTATAAGAAAATCAAAGATATGTGTCATATCTAGGTCGCTCCTATATACACCAACTCAACCATTCTAGAGATTTCATGATATGCGATAGCCGCTTCAACACATTCGTTGTAACTCGGTATACCAGAGTATCCTCATTACTTCAAACGCGCCTCAACCGCCGCATAGTTAGTTCCTAGGGCGTGATACACCTTCTCCAGCTGCAGCCCAGACAAGTCCAATAGATTCTTCCACTGGGCCTCGGTTCGCTCGCAGCCGGAACACGTTATCATGGTCAGGTCCATCCAACCCGCTTCCACATCTGCTCCGGTTTCTGGGAGCACGATTTCGGAGATGAGGAGGCGCGACACGCCGGGTTTCATAGCGCCGGCAATCTGCTTGAGGATGCGGACACAGTCGGCGTCTGACCAATCGTGGAGACAACGGCGGATGTAGTAGATCAAAGCACCTGTAGGCGAGTTGTTAGACACCTACTTACCTGGACAGGGGTACGGCAAGTACTTGCCTTCTATAGGCTGAGGTGTAAAGAAATCATATTCCATGGTGATGATCCCAGGTAAAGAGTCCACAAGATCAGCAAGGGCTTCTGGACGCTCTTGTAGCACCAGTTTTCCTTGAATGCCCTCAGTCAGAGCTTGGATCTGCTTGGTGGCATGCCCTTTACCCCCTCCAATATCGACTACCAATACAGTCTCCTCATTAGTCTCCACCTTGCTAAGTTCTTCTTTAAATGGGAATATTCCAACGGTCCACTTCGCAGCCTCGCTTTGGGCCATCATCGCCAGGTTGAGATTACGTAGTCTCTCGGCATCACTACCAATATGCTCCCACATGGTCTTGTCACCGGTTTGATGGGCGAAACAATACGGGTTAATGTAGTTTGAGTCCGGATTCTTGTAACCATGTTCCCGGAAGTACGCATACATCTTGGCGTTCGCGAGGTTGTACTCGTCAAACCTAGTAATAGTATGTCAGACATGGAGACGCTTGGAAAAGGGCTGAGGTGGGAGCTATGGCATGATGCTGACATCAATTTGAAGATCCCCCGAATCTCTGGGACCAAATAGACCCGAGAATATGGTGTATGGCTGTATTCTTCCGGGCCAACTTCCGCAAAGGGGCCAACAGGGGTAAGGACTCGCATAAATCGAACTGCGATAGAGATTGTCGTTAGGGATGATTGGTATGGCGGGTTCAGCTGAAGCTCTCACCAAGGAGATCTTTCTCTACACCAAGCTTTTCGGACAATGCTGCAGCAGTGGCAGGCGACCCATCCTGGGGCAGGGCGTCAAAGACTCCCATCTCCAATACAACACGCAATGCGCCTGAATGCGCCGACTGTAGAGGCAACCATGAGCACCTGAGTATTTGCGAGGCCTACCGCCCACAATCACGGAGGTTTATCTTGCTCGACTCACATTCTCGAAGTTTGAAAAGACCATGTCCAGAGGCCCTCGAACGGTTCTGAGAAGCTGGGAGGTTTCCATGAAGAGAGCTGTATGTTTCTCGCTGACCTCCCCCGGGCCAGAGCTGCTCTTCTGGCCTACATTCTTGGTCGCGGCTTCAGCATAGACATCGACCGCGGCCTCGACTCTGCTCAACAGCTGCTTAATGGTCGCAATCTCCTGCGCCAGGGATTCTGCCGTTTTGCTCATGATGAGAAAGAACCGTGAGGGTAACTGTCGACACTGTGTAACGGGGAACCAAACCACCGGTATTCAGGACAGGACGTGTTGTCGGGACAGAAACAAGCAAATAACAGAGGAGGGTGTGTACTGGACGGAGTAGAGTGGGATCGATGACACCTCGATCAATTGCCCCTCGATCATTCGATGATTGAGGTGGCATTGAGGCTCAATACCACCTCGAAGGGGGTTTGTATGTACGTTCACCTCCAATAGGTATATGAATGACGGCTCGACAACCGAGGTGGATTAAACTGGTCTAGCCCGGTTTAGCCCGCTTCCGGGTCCCCATCCGATAGGCCTCTGCGGAGGACTTTTGTTTTCCCGGAGCGGCGCGGCTACTCCCGACCTCCCGACCTTCCTAACTCGGCCCATTCCCCGCCGCGGCCCCACCTTCCGCTCTCGCCTAAGCCTTGACACTAGGCTCCGTTCTTCTCCGCAGCTTCGGCTCCCTTACCGCCCCGCTCCCTGCGTCTCCATTATTACCTTATAACTTAAGCACCGGGGCTCCGCGATACGTTTTCGTTACATCCACCCCCACTGCCGGTGCGATGGAGCAGAATCCAAACCAGCTTGAGGATACCCATGTGGAAGTCGTACGTCCACCCCATGCCCATGATCAATCATCAGGATGTTGAAGACCGTTGACCAATCTTCTTCTCATAGGATTCTGAGCCTGCCAGCGACGGGGACTCGACCTATGGAGGCGGCAGCTCTGGAACCTCGTCCGCCTCCCTCTCATCCTCGGTCCTCAATTACACCTATGAAAACGGCCGCCGATACCACGCATATCGAGCCGGGGAGTATATAATGCCCAACGACGAGGAAGAGCAACATCGTCTTGATCTGAAGCACCACGTGTTCAAGTTGCTTCTTGGAGGAAAGCTATTTCACGCCCCGATCCCACCAAATCCACAACGCATACTTGACGTCGGCACGGGCACGGGCATCTGGGCAATTGAAGCTGCTGATGAATACCCAAGTGCAGAGGTTATTGGTATTGATCTGAGTCCAATTCAACCTACATGGGTGCCTCCGAACTGTAAATTCATAGTCGACAACGCGGAAGACGAGTGGCCCTATACGCCCAGCGCGTCGTTTGATCTGATTCACTGGCGCGTCTTGGCTGGGTCTATAAGGGATTGGCCGCGCCTGTACGAGCAAGCTTATAAGCATCTGCGGCCTGGAGGGTGGATTGAGGCGCAAGAGCACGACGTCCGGGTATCCTCTGACGATGACACGGTCGAAAATGCAAAAGAACTTGTTCGGTTTTTCAAACAAGTGGACGAAGCAAGTGAGAAGACTGGGAAGAAGATGGATGTCGTGGCTGAGAGCCAGAAGCAGTGGATGATCGATGCAGGATTTGTTGACGTGCATGACGTGGTTTATAAAGTACGTGTCCATCGATGATTTCGTCTCTAACTACGTGACTTTGGCCAGATATTAATACTAGTGAATAAACACAGGTACCGATAGGATCGTGGCCTAAAGACAAAAGACTCAAGGAAATCGGCCTGTATTACCAAGCGCAGTGCCTGCATGCTATTGAGTCCATCAGCATGGCTCTCTTTACTCGCGTGCTAGGATACAGCTACGAGGAAGCGCATCTCATGATGATAGGCCCTCGAAAAGACATGAAAAATCGGGACCTTCACCTGTATATGAAGTTTCATTTTGTGTACAGCAGAAAGCCATTGCCAGGTGAAATTTCACAAGGACAATGAGGCTATTATAGGAGATTTTAGTGCAGGAGATGATAAAGTAAGGTACCTACTGACCTCTGTCGTCTCGATGAGTCGGGCTCGCGATCCACGCCCGCCCCATTGTTATGCGGCACCCCCCTCCCAGCAGAAGTTCTGCTAGTATCTACTTTGCGTATTACCCTACCTAATGTCTAGTACGTATTGTCTGTATAAGGTAGTTAGTGTCACGGTCAAGGATTCTGTTAGACTGGATTAACGTTGTTCCAGGCTCTAGCATTAAGGGTTAAATTATAGCTTAGCTAGTAGTTACTACAAAGTAACACAAGTAGGTAAGTACCTACAGGCTATGCCTATATACTAATGTAACCTTACTCGGCTGCGCAGAGAGCTATAGGTCTCTAATCGACGTTTCGAAACGTAGTGCTGCAGTTTTGCTGCAGACTTATGACAGCTGGAGCAAGTAGACAGGTAGGATATTGAATGGAAGGCGGGCCAGAACGATGCTTTTAACCACTTTAGGGGTTTTTAATCTTCAGGGCGCTACTAGAATGGTCTCATTGGCCAATTTTACGTGAAGAAATCACAGTGCGAGTGACATAGCGTCGGAAGGATTCTATCTTCTGTTCTATAACTTCGTAACGCATTGGATAGCATTCTATTTCTCCCTTAACAACGGGCCTCTCTTGAACTGCTCGATCACCTTGAATTCCAAGGTAGGCGGAATCGCATCCTGATTCCAATACACAGTCCCATGCCTCAACCAATGCGCATACGTCCCCGGCACATCATCCGAACCCTCATGCTTCCTCCACAACGACCCCAGAGTATCTCCAAAAACCCTTAAGATCATCCCATGGGCCAGCTTGAACCCAAAACTCTTCTGCAGGCACGCCTCGACGATCTGCCTTGCCTGCTTCTGCTCTGCGCTTTCCACCTCGCCTTCTTTCGGAAGCGAAAGCGACATCAGATCGAACGCCTTCCGCCCGTCCCACGCAGTCATATCGTTGATGAGCTGCGAACCCACCATGAATTCGATGCCGTACACGTGCTCAGCGACGTACTTTGGTCCGTCCCAGCCGTCCTCTTCGTCGACAAGTCCCATGACCATCGTCATCACCTGTCCCTGAATGATATAATCCGTCAACATCCTACTCACCTCCTCGGCCCCGATCTTCCTCCCCTCCTCCTCAATCGTGAATGAGCCGCCCATCAGCGGAACCCCCTTCAACAAGGGACTGCTGTGCATTCCCTCGGTACTCGTCTTGCCGCCGTCCGCGGCCCACAACCGCAGCAAAAGCTGGTGACACCGCGCAAAGAACGGATTATTCCGACCAGCCGCAAGGAAGTAATTCGTCAAACTGCGTTCCTCGACGCCGCCGGCATTATACGAGAGGACTTCGAACCGCGAAGCGGGATTCCCAACCGTCTCGCGCCACAGCCGGTCCAAGTCTCCGATCTGCATCAGCCCTACGTCGGCGTACACGCCGCCGTACTTGAGCAGGAGCGGCCAGCGCACGAGGTCGGACGTGTGCTGGGGCGCGTAGTCGCCGCCGATAGTGCCATCGACGAAGGCACGGGGGAAGGTTTCCGGGTCCGTGATATCGAGGAAATTGGCGACGTTGAGGGGCGACGAGGGCACGCGGTCGAGGACCCGGATCGTCCAGCCTCGTGGGGAGAGGCGTCGGTGCCAGGCGCGGATGTTGCGTCGTGTGTAGGCATGCATGTGCGCGTACCCGGAGTGCCAGAAGAACCAGATGTTCTTCTCGTCGGAGACGGGCTTGGGATGAAGTAGATCGTGGTCGACTTCAGCATCTGGACGCAGATCGAGAAGATGAGCGGGGATGGCGTGGAGCCCTGCTGGAAGTGGGTAGATGTGAGAGTCCATTGTGTGTTGAGGTTGGTCTGAAGACGTGTGATTGGGGAGTAGTGACATCAAAAGCAGCACCTCCAATGGCTTGGGTAGAGAGGATATGAACGAGCGATCTTATTCGCGATGAAGCCTTGAAGGACTCTAGAAGAGGCTGCTATTGAGACTGATTACTTGGGCGACTGGAATCTCATATTTATTTATCCTCTCGGGCTACGTCTTTTGTAATATACGATGCGATTACTTGATTGGGCCAAGACTGAAGCTGTCTGTGGAGTGAGAGAAGACTCATTATGATGATGATGATAGTGAGGCTGACTGCAGAGTAAGATCTTTTCATTATGGCGGAGTAAGATAAGACTCGATATGACTGTTTGTGGCTGTGGCTTTTTTTTTTCACGTGCAGCTAAACCATGATCAAATAAGGAAGGTCTATCGTATCCAGTATCGCTCCCTCGCTTGGGTATCCTTGTTATATCTTGCAACTCATTCAGATGAATCATCTATGTTTACCTTGCTCATCTAATTGATACGACAGGGTATATACAAGGATATACGCAGCTGTATTCATCCAACTTTTTTTGAAGTTCGAGTCAGAAATACGCTTCTAACAACCACGGGAAAGGAAGGAGACGAAGCATAATCACTTTGTCTAAGCCCTTTTTTGCCCGATCCCCTCCATCACGTACCACGCGCCATGCTCTCCCCCTCCTTTTCTCTAGTTTCTTCCTGTCCAGCTCCAGATATTTTGCTCCCACAGTCTTAGCTCCTTTCGACATCTTCCTTCACCTTTTCCTCATCTTCCTTCACCTTTTCCTCATCTTCCTTCACCTTTTCCTCATCTTCCTTCCCTTTTTCCTCATCTTCCTTGACTTTTTTCTCGTGCTTGATCTCAATCTGTGGCATCAAGACCGCTGCGAGTAGTACCGACAATGCGGCCAACGCTGCCCCCACAATAAATACAATGCGGAATCCCCGCTGGTAGGCTGCGAGAACGGTGGCGGACACGTCAACGCGGTGCGCGGCGCTGTTGGAGGAGAGTACGCTGCCGCTGAATGAAGGGTCGTTGAGGATCGCGTTGATTTCGGAGGGTGAGAGACCGAGTGCCGGCGAGGAGATGGCGTTGAGGATGCAGGAGTTACTGTGTATTTACACGTGAGCTTTTGAGGATTGGAGTGCGCAGCTTGAGATAATGGAATATAGACAACTGGAGAGGAGGACCCACATGATCGTGCCAGCGACAGCAAGGCCAAAGGTGCCGCCAAGATTGCGGATGAAGCTGCATAAATGAATTGGGTTAGCCAGCTAGTTATAGGTAGGTAGCTATACAGCAGGAGTAGTGCATGGTGGCTAAAAGCACTTTCAAGGGAACCGGGAATCTGTACTTCCTCGTAGCAGTAACTACAGCCATATCCTCTTTCCTGACGCCTGCTTGAATAGCAATAAGAGACCTGGAGAAGAAGTCAGTATGCCTCGGTTTCCTTGACAAATTTATCCCGCTGTAGCAGACAAAAAACAGCCCTACGGACATGCCGCGGACTAGCAGGAGGACTTACGGTTGGAGTGTTTGTCCAACACCGAAACCCGTCAAAATGAGATAACCGATCTGCTTGCCAAGATTTGAATGCTTGTCTAGCGTTGAGAAGAGACCCAGTCCAACTGCCCATAGGACCCAACCGAGTAATATACTTTCCTGTCAGGATGGAGTCAGACTGGTTTATCCCAACTTGGTGGATGGACAGAGCACAGCTGCCGGTAGAGTGATAGTTAGAAAGAGGGATAGATGAATAACTCACTCTGTAGCGGCCACGCCAAGACACAATCAAACCGGAGAGAGTACTGCTAAAAGCTGTTCCAGCATCCAATGTTAGCAAAAGAGGTGTTCGCAAGAGAAAACCTGCAACAAGCTTACTCTGAACAAGAGTTAGCGGCAGCAACAAAGCTCCCGCTTTGATGGCCGAGTATCCATATGCAAGTTGAAAGAAAGTCGGGATGTAGTAAATCTGTGTCAAGAATAACCAGCCGTTAATGGCCATGGTGAGGCATGCGCCATTGACCATGCGGAATTTGAAAATGTGCACTGTGACATAGAAGGGGGCGAAAAATGTCAGCCTGTATTCGCTAATGTTGTGTTGCTTGTTTTCCACATATCCAATGATAGTTTCGTGCTTCTGGTGATATAGAGCTCTTTGTAGAAATAGACACATGATGGACTTACTAGGTACTAAGGGGTGCTTTGTCCCTTTCCATTCCCAGACGATAAAGGCAATGGAAAAGACGAAGCCGAGTGTTAGAGAAGAGATCACGACTGGTGCGTTCCATGATCGGTGACTTCCGCCCCAGATTAGACCGAGCTGTGTCGAAGAGGTAATTAGTTGGAGCGGTAGCAATAGCAAAGAGCAAGAAAGAGATAAGAATATGATATTATAGTCTTGTATCGAAGACAATATAGTATAAGGAGCAGTGAGAAATCTCCTACTTACAATCAGGAGGGTTGAGCCGATGAGCGCAAAACCCACACCGCAGAAATCAACAGCCTTTAATTTCCTAACACCACAAAACAGAAGAAAGAGTCAGCCTATACTCTCGGTCATAATGTAGTGACAGCACTGACTCTTTCCAATGTCCCCGAGTCTTTCGCAAGGGCATGAAGAAATGGCAACAGGTCGTTGTGAAAGCTGCTGTGAAGAGATTAAGGCGGAAGATCCATCGCCTAAGAATACATTAGCCGCTGATAACCTTTTTCCTAATTTCTTGTTATGAGGAGAACATAACAGGAGGTGGGCAAGATTCGCACTTCGGACCTACCAGCCATCCTGAGAAGTTGAAGCGAGTGCGGCTCCTATCAAGGGGCCTATGCCGTTCGAGATGGCTACTACTGCACCCTTTTCGGAGGCAATGGAACTTCATTAGTATAAACATTCGCAAGAATAAGTGCACAGGAGAAGAAGCATGCCTAGCACAAAAATATTGGAAGACTCACTAGAATCCCCTGGTACCGGCCCCTCTCCCTCAAACTAACAACGTCCGAGACAATGATCTGTGCAACCGTCATCAGTCCACCACCACCGATACCCGTAATAGCACGGAACACTATCAACTGGATAACAGAGGTGCTTAACGAGGACGCGAGAGAACCGATGAAGAAGATTGCGAGGCCAGTATAGAGGACATATTTACGAGACCAGATATCTGATAGCCGGCCGTAGAGGAGTTGAAAAGAAGTGGATGTTCTGTAACAGCAGAGTAGCATCAGCACAATAGGCATTATTTGTAGTGCAGCTTTTTCTACTTCCTTGCTTTCTTTCCTGACCAGCTGGGGTCAAACTTAACCACCAGCCACCACAACCACCACCACCCAGCAAGCCAGAGCTTGTTGGAAGTAGAGAATTAGGAAGGGAGGTTCGTGCCAGAGACGTACATGAAATACCCCGAGGCGATCCAACTAGTCTGGCTACTAGAATGTAGAGCACTCCCGATTGTAGAAAGCGCCACAGCGAGCGTCGTTTGATCAATGAGTGCTACGAAGTCGACCGTGGCACATGCAAGGAAGATCTGTGGTAAAGACTTTTGTAAGACCGTATGAAGACGAAACGGATGGCAAAGTAAAGAAGCAGAAGACAACAGTGGTTTCTCAAAGCCCTCGTAAGACCAACAGTACCCCTTCTGGTCCCCCCTTATGCGAGGTCCATGGCGCACACGTGACTTCAGAGCACTCAACTCGGGACATTTTCTGGACGAAAAGAGAGACCAGAACTAACCGTAATAATCTTCCTCCGTGGCAGTCGACTACTCTGGTCCCCAAACTGAGCCTGCAGTGACCGACCTCTTTCCTGCTGGATGTCATTATCAGAATTCACCGTTGCCACTGCAGCGTGATCCACCACAGCATTGTTGCTATTGCCATTGCTGCTGCTGTTGCTGACGCTGGTGGCATCGATGGCAGCCATCTCCACGGATAGGTGAATCGAAACAAAAGGACAGGCTGGGTATTAATGGAATACCGAACTCGAAAACATAGCAATACCTGAGATTCTTTTAATCGACTTTGAGGTGTTCGCGAGTCTGCAACTTGCCAAGGATCGGCAAGGATAGAATGGGTGGAACTTGCTCAAACATACGCACCAGGGTTAATAGAAAAGGTGATGGGTCAATTGCTGTATATACAAACCTGGACAGGAGAAAACCCCGAGGATAGGACAGGACGGGTGACAAGTCGCAGGCGTCGAAGGAATTGGCGCAGGACGCAGCTTTTGTACGGTGGAGCCCAGCATGTCTATCACGTTCAGAGGTTTCGAACTTTCGAGTCTCCTGTCCTGTCAGTTATCCTTTACCCCTCTATTTCACCAGTCTCCACTTGGAGGGGTTGGGCACTTGGGTATTTATTTCTGAGGATGGATTTTCATTACCTAAGGTAATGAATGATACAGCGACTTGTCGTTATTCTTTGTTCTTTGTTGTTTGCTCCTTGCCGAGCAAATTAGAGCACATTTGCCTTGCGTCCAAATTGGTGTGTCACGTGACCCGTTCTCCAGAACTTTTCCATGCATCTAAGGTTTGATCTACCCGCTACTACTGACCTATCCAACCATCATTCCGCTGATATATCACGCAAGCGCGAGGATCTGCCCTCCCCTTGCTGCATGCTGATTGTGCTTGCTCCGGCACTCAGAGGTGAAAAGTGAGCAAGTTTGAGAAGCTCAAGGGGTGAGGATCAATGTCGACTGGCCGGTTGTCAGCATGGATTCTTACCCAAACAATGCTTGGTGATTGGTTTTGCGTTTATGGGCTATAGTGTATATAACAATGGGCGTGTTTCTTTGCTGAAGGTCAATGAAAAGACTTGCCAGCTTGATTTGCCCAGCAACGACGCCTCGCCCAAGTATATGCTGTCCCTCAACCTCTTGAACTCTTCCCTCCAACACTTTGAAGCAGACCCATCTCAACCAGCAGATAAATAAATTAAGCCGGATCAAACCAACCTACAGATACCAGAGGAATGTCTGCACAATCACGCCCACATCTCAACGTTTACACTGGCCCAGACAGCATCCGGAATTACTTCGACCCAGACCAACAGCCTCCTCTACCACTCGTCGAAGTCCCCCTATCGCTCAACCCCTTCCACCAAGATGGGGTGCGCATCTACGCAAAGATGATGTCTACACTCCCAGCAAACAATGTCAAATCTCTCCCAGGTACGTTGTGCCGAGTGTAGTGCAGAAAAAACCTCAAGGCTACAACGCCACACTACCATTCTCCTCAGCTTATCCTATCGCGCAATGACTTAGTTTATTTTCTGACTTGGGCTTCCTCGCCTTTTTGAAATAGCATTGAATATGTTACAAAATGGCCAAGTGAAGCCAGGCAAAACTACGACGATAGTTGAGTATAGCTCAGGCTCGACGGTCGTGTCTATGAGTATGATCGCGAGGATTTTGTATGGGATAAAAGATACGAGGGCCTATTTGAGCAATAAGACGTCGCATACGAAGTTGCAGATGATGCGGTTTTTTGGGTTGAATATGTAAGTTACATGTTATTGTATTCATTATATAGTCCTTTCCGGGTCCCCAGGTAATCATTGTCGTAGATGGGTGTTCCTTGTGCTGACCCATAGTCAATAGATCTGTCTTTGGTGGGCCATCACAGCCCGAGCCCACGGATCAAAGAGGCGGCATCTATCGCGCCCATCAGTTGGCGCAAGAGAGAGATGACACGTGTAATCCGAATCAATATTACAATGATTTGGTGCGTCTAGGCCGAAATGTTTTCCTTTTACCCCCTTTTCTCTTTTCCACCTTTCATGTGATTCCTCACGGCACGAAGGATTCCTCACGTAAACATCGAATATGTCACTAATCCATTTAAACCTAGTAGAACTGGGCTGCACATATGAAATGGACTGGGCCACAGATTATGGCCCAACTACCACAGATCAACGTGTTCTGTGCCGGCCTAGGAACGGCAGGTACCATGACGGGGATTGGCACGTATCTCAAACAAGTCAAGCCGTCCATCACAAGAGTTGGGTAAGCATTTGCTTTGTTATTAACACCTACTTGTTGTGTAGATCTTTGTGTAGATCTTTGGGTATACTGACACAGTCCTATTATACAGTGTCTGTACCACACCTGGCGATCGCGTTCCCGGGCCCCGATCCCACGCTCTGCTTGCGCCCGTTGATTTTCCCTGGAAACAAGCCGTCGATTACATGGAGGAGTGCGGATCTCATGATGCGTATCGGCTCAGTATGCAGTTGTCGAGAGAGGGGCTCATCTGTGGGCCGAGCTCTGGGTTTAATTTACAAGGTGAGTTTGCTACTTTTTGAGCAGAATCTCTTCCATGGGAGGAAATTTGCACCGTGAACTCGATATGGTGTAGGAAGGATGCACGACCCTTGTGACTCATGTTGTCCTTTATTTCTCCTCCACCTATTCGTCCTGTGAGATGTGTTGTTCTCAATATCTTTACTGAGAAAATTGAGATAGGCCTCTACAACTTTCTCCAAAAACGAAAAGATGCTGGAACGCTAAAGGACCTGGCTCAGGAGGACGGTGAGATACACTGCGTGTTTGTATGCTGTGATCTCCCCTACCAGTATCTTGATGACTATTTTGTGAAACTGGGCGAAGATTACTTTCACCCCATCCAGAACAGCGTAAGTCCCAGTCCGGCATACTCCCAGTGTTGAATATCTTGACCACCCTCCCTCCACAAATGCTAAACCAATTCACAGAATCTTCTTAACGTAGACCTCTACCGCTACGACGAAGCATGGGAGCTCGACCCCCCGATTGCTTTGTCAAAGCTTTATTCGACAACGGTGCCAATCCAATGCCGCCCAGAATGGCTCCTCATAGACCTACGCAATACCACTGATTTTGAAGCTGGCCATCTACCAGGTGCGTTCAATTGGCCACTTCAATCTCTTGTCGCGGGCGGGAAGAGTCCATTCTTCGATAGTCAGGTCCTGGAGACTCAATGGCTGGAGCTAGAATCGTTATTCGGATCGAAGAACAAGGATTCCGAGATCCTGAAGGAGCTGGAAAGCCCAGGTCGCTCCGTCATGCTCTTTTGCTACGATGGCGATACAGCGCGGGTTGCTACGAGTGTGCTACGAGCGAAGGGCTTCAACGCCTGTAGTGTTAGGGGAGGGATGCTTGGTTATGAGTTTGGGCATTTGCTTGTCCCAGCGATGAAAGCGGGGGTGTGTGAACAGCAACAACCTCAGCCGCAACAAATTGCTATAATTTGAGGGGTTCCGTGTAAGGTCCTTGATTATGTGTGTGACAGTGTAGAATTCAGAATGCTGTCACTATAAGCTATATACATGATGCGGGGTCACATGTCGGTGCCCTGATATTTCGCGAATGCCAAAGAAGAGGGTTGCCACAAAGCGGATTGCCCGAAAACGGGCGGGGTAAATGTAGCTGAAGAGTGTGGGATAGAGTGGCTAGGTGCCTCTCCAGGCAGAGGGTTGTTTACACAGGATATGGGGGAGTATTTTAAGCTCTCTTACAAAGCCTCATCCAAAACGGAACACTGATATTTTGTCTGTGCTTCTACATTTGTTTAGGGTCATTCTAGTATTTTCCCCTTATACCCTTACTTGGCTTTGAAGGAGTGCTATCAACAGGTATCGAGGGTATAGTAAAACGATGTAGATCTTTGTGGCCACCACAGTTCTCATTTCCATCTTTTACTCCTGTGCTCGAGGATGGAAAGAATTGCCAGCCCCTTTTTAAAGGGCGTAAGAGTTTATCCAGATCGAGGGTCGGCGGATTTGGGAAAAGAGCGTCATATGTCGTAATATCGTCCTCGTCCAGCTTGTCCCAAGCGCTCTCCGGATCCTTCCAGCCTTTAAAGAGGATAGGTTCTAAGTCATTCCAGAATTGTACTTGAGACTTTGGTTTTGACGGTGCTGACGGTTCTTGCACTGTAATTGCTTGGTTGGCAGGAGTCTGGGGAGGCGGTTTAGAAAATCCCTTGGTATTTCCCCCCTTCTGGAGAGTCGATGGTGGTACGGTATTTACCCCCCCACGCTTTGATGATTCCATAGCCTTTGTCTCCCAATGTTTGTTCCCTTTGTTCTCAAACAAGTCAGTAAAACTAGCCCTTTCTTTCTTGACTGTGCCCTTTTTCGGTCTATTGGGCAAAGTATAGTTAGTCGGTTTGTCTGACGAGAGTTCACCTGATGACCTTTTCCGAGCTTCTAGCAGGATCTTGTCCATGTCGTCCATACTAGGAAGATAAAGGCCAAGGAATTGCCGCCCGTCACTTTCACATTCTGATTCGGACGATTCCCAGTCATATGCCCAGTCTAATGTTTGTCTATGATTATACAAGTAAGTACAAGGAGAAGCGAGTTAGTCTTGCTAGAGGAACTACTTACAAGGCGCCGTAGTTAAAGACATCTATTATAAATGCTTCCTGCGGGTAGTCTCTGCTATGTCGACCTTTTGGTGTCTTATCTGACTTGGAGTCTTTTGGCTGTATTCCTCGTTTCTGTATTGCCCCGGCCCATCTAGGACCAGAACCTAGATTCGATCTCGTTAATACCTCTCTGGAAGTTCTTGAAAGCAATTGAGCCACTCTTATTTTCTCTGACTTCACGCATCGAAAGGCTTGGCTACGTCCGACGCCAGGTAGTAGTTTTGTTTGTCCGATATACCCATCTTCTGGTACATAAAGGCCCCCCTCTTCCATGAATGCCATATGCATCTCTTCTAGAGAATTTTTGTTATCGCCCTGCTGATAGAAGTAGTTTGTTTTCTGGCCTTTGTTTCTGTTGCTGCATGGCCCATCAGTATCGTCAAAATAACCACCCTGTTTCCTCCTTATGTTGTTTGACCTCACTGCTCCTCTATGAAGTATGGGATAACCTGGAGCTCCACCCGATTTTTGAACAAGTCTCTTCATGGTAGGGTCGCAGTGCCTAATCTTTATTTAGCAAGTTGTGGATCGTTAAGGTAAGAGTTAAAACTTGCCTCAGCCATAAGTAGTTCCTGCAGATATCATAATAATCCCCTTTGTAGGTACCGGTTGTGTACGAGTTTGTACAATCCAATTGTATCAAGGGGTACCACTTGCCCTGAATTTGGAATTCGAAGGTCGGCCTACCATCAGGGCTGATGTGATTCACCGTGCCTTTTGCCCCTCCTCTTTGAGCTTCCCAATGCTGAAATAAAATTGGTGGCATTGATTCGCTTTCCGATGTAGACCGGCCTGTAGTATGTTGTGACAGTGCGTTGGTGGTAGTGGTATTACCTTCTTCCTCATTCAACAGTAATGGCTCATAATTGCGAATGGGGTTGCAAAGACTGAGGAAAGGCGCTAGGCCCAAGGCGCAAAGGACGTTTTCTGACCGCATTTTTTGTTACAAAAAAGCTCTTTTGGTTGAAGATAAGGGTCGTTGGGTCTGTGATAATAAAAAGAATAGTTTGATGATTTACGCATGGCCTATATGTTAGGAGACTTGAGCTTAAATATGTGTATCTTGAATGAAGTCACAGAAATGCAAACACATAGATAACCACTATAATTAGAGACAGTAGCATTTGGAAACATGTAGGGTGAGTGATGGAGCGGCATGCATGAAGTTGGATTTAAATCATAACTTATAAGTCGCTGGTATGCGTAAGACGTACAAGAAATGGGCTGAAGGGGCAGGGTCATGTATAGAAATAGAAGCAACGAGTCCTCGGAGGAAGTAGCAGAAGTAGAACTGGGCAAGTTAGACGAATAAAACTTCTTGCACAACACATTCAGTCCTCTTTCTTAGGCCCCCGAGCCACCGCCATAGTGAAAGCCTGTTCCACGAAGATGGGGTAATGGTCCTAATGGATTTACGGACGAGGCTTGATGTATGCATGGATCTGGAGATATTTGTAAGTCTTCCGTGGTGTTACCGCGGAAAGAGTGTTTGAATGCCTTGGACACTTGCCACGCATCTTCTAGAGGGATTCTCTGTAAACCAACAAGTACTATTCCTGGGGTTGTTGGATGTCAGATGTTTTCGGGGTTCTTGTCGCGTAGCGGGTAAACCTTGCTCCATCTTCGCTTCAGCCACCAACACCAACACCAACATCCCCAAAAAAAGAACAGCAAGTTGTCAAACCTGAGTCTTAACTTAAATAAAATCTGCAAAGCTGCTTTATTGACAATATTGAGTAAGTTAAGATGAGTAAGGGTGAGGCTAAGTTGCGAAGCAGGTGAGCAACAAATTACAATTCAACTTCTTTCTCATCTTCCATCTCATTGATACCCATTTCATCCCCAGAGCATAGAGCATTCCTTCAGCAATTTGCGAATATATTTCTTCATACTCAAGCACCTCGGGCGGTGGGTACTCACAACCCAAACGAACTTTTGAACATCCTGCTAAACATACATTAAAAGCCAGTACAACGAAGATGCCATCATGCCATTCTCGATTCTGACCATCCCAAGCCGTGCTATCGTTACGAGTCGTCCTCCTCCGCCTTTTTACAACCTGCCTTTAGAGATCCGATTGAAGATCCTCCACTGGGCAATAATCGCGCATGCGTTTATACACCAGGAATGGATGGGTGATACCCCCTACAATTCCTCCTGGGCCTTTCCTAAAGGGAAGATCGACTTAGAGCCAGCATATCCCCCATGGCTCCCCGATACCCGAGTGAGGTGCGCGGAACACTGGGGGACGAAACGCATGCACATGATTTTCCCAGTCTGCCGCCAGTGGTACGATGAGATACAAGTGGCGTTCTATTCTATGTTCAGGTTTCATCTACATTACACTGAGGTTATTGAAACGTGGAAACCACATGCCTTCGCATTTCTGCCACGACAAGCACTCCCCCTCATTCGAGATTTAGACCTCGAAATATGGGAGGATTGGACCCGGCTCGTTATCGGAAATAGACAGGCAGATCGAATCCGGAGCTATGAAAATATAGCTGCTTCCCTGCCTGGTCTGGCGAAAATGAAGCTTACCTTCTGTTATTGGTCATGCAGCCCCTGGCCCTACGGTTTGGAGGATGTTACTCCAGAAATAGAAGCGAAAGTCCGCGACACGATTGTTGCCATGTGCCGTCCTTTCAAACGCATCCCTAGTTTTAGGATGGAACAGCACTATTTGCGTGGACGTGAAGGTCCTACGGCTTATTCGTTATATCAACAGCTGATCCTCGAGACGATTGAGGTTGTGGAGGAGCAGATGAAGTTAGAGAAGCAGGACAAGTCGGGCGGTTATCTCCCTCAACAGGGGCAAGAGATCACCGGTACCTCGACTTAGGAATTGTTATCACAGCGTGGGTGCAATCAATGACCATCTGATGTTTCGGGAAGACTAGACGGCCTTCAAATCCTCGAGGATGCGTTCTAGGGAAGGCGCGGGGAAATTGGATAGGGAAGGACAAGTGAATAGAAAGTTTGTTTGGACGGTGTTGACATTGGGGAGTTTCTGTTGATTCTTCTTATCCTGGTGGTATTATGTCTATAGAGGGCGTGATGAGGTGTGCCTTAGTAAGTGTCCTTTCGGACCCCCAAGTTGCAACATACCTTGCCTTACCTTACCTTACCTTACCTTACCTTACCTTACCGCGATTGCCCCGCCCCCCGCTTATCAGCCGTCGGCTTTGTTGTGGCGCGCTCGACCACTGACGTTGCCCCTTTAGACTCCGGCTCCGGGCCGCGTGCGCCGCGTCACGGATGCCGGCCGAGCTGGGGCTTAGGTAAGCCTTGATGCCGGAGCAGCGTTAATCCGGGCTTATGTAATCCTCCCCCAGGTCAAAGCAGTGCAGTACTATACTGCACTCACTTGTATAGATCAATCATTAGGTCGGTGATCACTCAAGGGTCCTGACTCCTGCGTCAAAGCCGATTCCCGACCGGACCCTTGAGGAGTTTAAAAAGAGGCTCGAGGGTAAAGATACGGACCCCTTTTCTTTGTTTTCTTTTTCCGCACTTTCTGCGGAGCTTTCTGCAGAACTTTCTGCGGAAAAACTTTCTGCGGAAAAAGAGGTCGAACAACCACAACTTGACATCTGGACCCGGCCACTGTGAGTTCGTCGACAGAGTGCTCGATCGCTTTGTAATTACGGAGCATTTGGGTCATGACTTTTACGCAGCTATCTCTAAGCAAATCACTACCTTACTGCGTATGCTGTACGGGATCTGGAGCTGGGGACTTCTCACCGACTACCATCGGATTTATCTTACCCACCCACCTTACCCTAAGGCTTACAAGTTACGGAGTCGTCCATGCACTAAGGGATGGCACTAATGCCCTACCGGAAAAGTTTCTTTTTCATCTGAATCAGAAGCAATGACGGACATAGAACATGATGTGTTTCCGTCACCCCGAAAAGCCTATTATTTCGACCTTTGGAATTGGCCACGTGCTTTGTAAGGCAATATTCTAAGTATCTTCATGACGTACCCATCTTCAATGAGGCAACTGATGATACCTTACAGTACGCCTATGTACGCACTGCCCGGTAAATTTTGGTCGGCCCGTCAGCCGCTTTTATGTTGAATATTGAGAGTTGCTGTATTGGAAGTTCGGACTGTCAAGGGTTCTTTCCCCAGTCTTATCTCGGATGGCTTTGAGAAGTCCGGTTGAGCTGGCCATGCAATACTTTGCAATAATACGATGCGATGCGATGCGAGGCTGTCTAGTTGACCGGTCTGCTACACAATTGGCCGCTCGGATTTACGCGTGTCGCTTTGATTTGCTTCTCTCCACGGGCTGATCTGAGCTGGGGCGACTTCTTCACCGGCATATGCGCAATGTGGGGCAATTTTTCTATTGCGGAGCGAAGCCATCGGACGTCCCTAACAGAGCCAGAAAGCCATACTCCGTACATCATCACTTGGCTTTCGTCGCGGTTACGATGGGGTGGAATCCATATTTAGGTAGGTTTCCCACCGAAGTATTTTGCAGAGGTACAGTACGAAGAATCCCCTCACAGTTCCTGCATTCTTCTTGTCGCAAGCATGCAGCTGTTCGCAGTCCTTCTTTTCGGCTTCTGCCAACTTGCTCTTGCTAAGACTGTCGTTTACGACTGGAACATCGGATGGGTTTCGGTTGCTCCTGATGGGTTTGTCCGGCCCGCTATTGGCATCAATGGCCAATGGCCTTGCCCTCAGGTCGATGTAGACCTGGGCGATCGTGTAATTGTGAACGTTTACAATGGCCTTGGAAATCAATCGACTAGTATTCATTGGCACGGATTTCATCAGAATGGTACATCAGAGATGGATGGTGCTGTTGGATTCTCTCAGTGCCCGATTCCTCCGGGACATTCATTCACATACGATTTCAATGTGAGCTTTACCTGCCATATTCACTGTCTCCTTAGCTGATTTTGTACAGGCAAGTCAAGCTGGCACTTACTGGTACCATTCGCACGATATGGGACAGTACCCAGACGGGCTTTGGGGACCTCTCATCGTTCATGATCCTAATCCGCCATTTCATTTCGACGAGGAAATCACGTTGACGCTGTCTGACTGGTACCACGAGCAAATGCCAGACCTTATCTACACCTACCAGTCCGCCGCTGGCGAAGCTGCAAACGGAACACCAATACCATCGGGTGGCGCTCTTATGAATTCCGGAAAAGACGTCAAAATCTACGTGAAGCCTAACAAAACCTATCTCGTACACGTGATCTGCCCCGCCAATTATCCCGGACACGCGTGGTTCTTCGACCAGCATCAAATGACCACAGTTGAAGTGGACGGAGTATATGTCGAGCCTGTCAATGTCAATGCTGGACTCAACGGGACGATGAAAACTCGTGTCGCGCCAGGGCAGAGAATGGGTGTCCTTATTAACACGAAGAATGATACGAGCACGAACTATGCGATTCTTGATATAATGGATGTCAACCAGCTGTTCATAAATAATGGCATTGTTCCGCCGCCTTCTGACTACAATACTAATGTTACTGGATACCTCATCTACAATGATAGCGCACCTCTTCCGCCGACACCAGTGCTCTACTCGTTGGACGATTCGGAATTCTTTGATGATCTCGACTATGTTCCATTGGATCGTGAGCCTGTGTTAGAGCCGGTTGACCACCAAATCATCCTTAACACAAATAGCGCGAACATCAGCGGTATTTCTCGGTATGTCTTCCTCTTGTGTGTCCCGCATGTCCTGACTTTTGCGGCCTAGCTTCGTAATCAATAACTCCACATACCTAGAACAAAACGTTCCGTCCCTCTACACGGCTGGGACAGTCGGCGACAACTACTCCTCCAATCCGCTAGTCTACGGCCATGTTAACCCCTTTGTTGTGAAGCACAATGAGGTCGTCGAGATCATCATCAACAATCTCAACACCAACCTTCATCCATGGCATCTCCACGGCCATCAGTTCCAGGTTCTCGAACGTACCCAACCGAAAGGGGGTAGTTGGCCCGGAACTTACGGAAACTACTCGAAATACCCTGCGAGACGTGACACAATAATGCTGGAAAACGAGGGGTATGCTGTTATTAGGTTTAGGGCAGATAATCCTGATAAGTCCCCCCTCTCGAAACGAAGAAGTATGGGTAAGCTAACATAAGCTACGGGTGTGGCCATTGCATTGCCATATTGAATTCCATACCGTTTCTGGGTTCGTGGCGACCATTATCGAAGCACCCGAATTGCTCTCCGATCTCCAGATCCCGCAAGATCATATCGATGCTTGCAAGGCTTATCCGATGGGCTATGTGGGTAATGCTGGGGGTGATCTCGTCAACCCGCTTGATCTGTCGAATGCCGTCACGATCGTTCCAACTGCTGATCATGGGTATGCTCTAGACTGATCTTTTTGCAGAAATATGGACCGCATACTAATGCGTTCTTTTAGGGCTATGTACCCCCCGAATGGCTCAAACGCGACATCTACAGTACCTGCGACGTCTACAACCCCTGCGACGTCGACGACTCCTGCGACTTCGACAACTCCAGCGACGAATTGGACGTCAACTTCTAATAAATTGAAGCGGCGTCGTCCGGTCGCAAGGACTGTTCTACTACCCTGAGATGTTGATGACAGTGTACATTTCTCGTACAGCATATATTATCCTGTTACAGGGATTTATGACTTTAATGTTTGATAAAAGTAATTTATAAATCTTATAGATCAAAACCTATGAGGACTTGGCTAGCAAATGTCAAGACTTAGAGTAATGTTCCAAGGCTTCAATTTTCCCAGTATCCCATGGTCTAAAGGGAGTAAGTATTTACAATGTTAGCCTCGCCGATTCGACAAAATATAACAGGTTGAACCCGAAACAGATCGCCAGCAAAATGTTATCTTACACAAGCAAATGATGTATTCGGGAGTAAAGTACATACGGGATATTCTAAGATGATACTCCACTCAAGCGGCCATGCTCTTTCGCGTAGAAAAAGATATCCTCTATCAGTCTAGATGTATCTTCGTCACGAGTAATCAGAGCGAATCGATAACACTGTGTTGTCAAAACAGCTTCCTCGACTCCGGTACACCACACAACGATAATACGTTAGCCAACTGCGACGTGGAAGATGACAACTAAGCTGCTGTCCTCTATCAAACTGGCGACGATATTGATATACACAGAAATCTCAGGTCGCTTCCATCGACGAAGACAGTTCCCTGGCCAGGGTACGACCGTACGAGCCATTTTGCACACACCTCCCTGCCTGCAAGTCGCAAAGGAGCGCGATAATTCTAGGATCCAAGGTATGCGAGAAGAAAGTGGCAGGCCAATCCGAATGCGACCAAGACGACCCATCCGACGATGAAGGGTTTCAAATTCGGCGTCGGGAATCTATCACAAGTGGCGACGACCCTCGTCGCCGATAAATTCCACGCCACTACAATGGAAAGCGAAATAAATGGATGTGGGCAGTTACGAACATTCGAACGGGACGCCATGTGGAACTTTGGGAACCCCAAGGCCGGTCGATATATGGCTAACCTGAGGCTCTGTCCGTATCTTAATCCCAAACTAGATGTTCGGAACGATCTCGCCTGTGTGGAGAACCTGGCCCAGATGCAATCGCTCCGAGTTGCCCATCCCACCCTAAGTCGTACAACTCCCTATTGAGAAAGATTAGGGAAAGGAATATATTAATCTTGGCATCCAGCAACCATGAGCAGCCTCAATACCTCCAGCAAAAGAAAAAAGAAAAAGGAAAATATCTCAACATGGGCAAGAAAGTTCAAATCGGCTATGGCGTCGACGTCGATGCTGTGTCTGGCTGGATCGGCTCCTATGGCGGCGAAGACTCCATCAGCGACATTTCCCGTGGTCTGCAAGCCGGCGAGCAAAATGTCCATCGTCTCCTGAAAATGTTCAAGAAGTACAATATGACGCAGACTTTCTATATCCCCGGCCACTCACTCGAGACATTCCCCAAAGAATGCCAGGCAATTCGAGATGTAAGCTCTACGAATCTCTCCCCAGATACCCATGACTGCAAAGGAGCTGAACAAGGAATATAGGCTGGCCATGAAATGTGAGTCGTTTCTGGGAGAAGAGAAGAAGAACTTCTCTGACATGTCTATTAGTGGGCTTCATGGCTACACGCACGAAGAGCCGAACAAGCTCTCGGAAAAGCAGAACAGGGATATATTCGAGTACACCTACGAATTACTCACCAAGTTCGTTGGCGAGCCTCCGAAAGGCATTGTCACGCCGATGTGTCAGATCTCAGCTGCCTCGTCCCAGCTTTTGGTCGACAAGGGAATCGAGTACGACCATTCTGCAATGCATAGAGATTGTTTACCTTACTATCTCCGTGTTGATGACAAGTAAGTCCCCATTTACCTTGTTTTTCCTTGGACGTATCCAGGTATCCTTTTCTGATATCTTGAGGTTGAAGATGGGAAAAAGTAAATCCAAATGCAGAAGCCGCATCGTGGATGAAGCCCCTTGTCCGCGGCAAGGTTACAGATCTCGTTGAGATACCGATGAACTGGTATCAAGATGGTAAGTAACGTTTCTCTATTATTTCCACGTCTAACCATCATGGCTCACAACAAAGATATGATTCCCTTGACATTCATTCAAAACATGCCGAACTGCGGCGGCTGGATGGATCCCGACGTCCTCCTGAAGATCTGGAAAGACCGCTTCGAATACTTCTATCGTGAATACGATTACTTTATCTTTCCCATGTGGTGAGTTGAGGCTCCGAGAGTTGAACTCGCGAGAGCTACCGAGCTGATATTGTTGGAGTATACATCCTGACACGAGTGGCCACCCACATGTCATACTTATGCATGAGAAATTCATTGAGTGGGTAAATACACATGAGGGCGTTGAGTGGGTGCCCATCTATCAGATGGCGAGGACGTTCAAAGAGAAATACCCAACGAAGGAACTCTGGCTTCAGGCGGAGGAGGCAAATGGAACTACAATTTGAAAAAAGATGTTCTTGGAATTACAATCTCTTGGCTTATTAGAGGATGAATTGCATTATCTTAGGGTATTGTTAGTGATATGATGCCAAACAAGTTAAACGTTTAATAGTGGACAGAACCAATTCAAGGTAATTCTTTTTATGCAGATTTCCAATTGTCGAAAATTGGATTCATTCAACTACCTAGAAACTTGGGGCTGTATTACATGATCCTAGCGTAGCCTATCTTTCCGGGCCCGTACTCGGACTCCCTACAATGAATAGCTTATAGCTCTACTTCTTTCTAGACGCATCAACGCAGAACACAGTACATTCAAACTGCAGATGTAGAATCTGTTACACCACCCAGGCTTACATTGAACACATAGTAAGGATTCCTAACACCTAGCGCCACAATATACAGCCAATTGGGAAACCTGAGATCATAAAAGACGGATTCAATTACTCTCTCCTACGCTACTATTTCCAAAACCCCAAAACCAACTCAAACTTCTCTTTTCGACGTATTTGATACACCATGGGCCATCTACATCCAATCTACCTCATGTTCTTGGTTCTCAGATTCTTGAAACCCGCCTCCTCAAGATCCGTCTGCAGTTGTCCTGGCAAACCGACGTGGTGAAGGACCACCTCCTTACAATTCTTCTCCATCTCCTTGGCTGATGGTGGCGTCCATGTTCCCCTCAAGATCTGATTGATGCACTGCGCTAAGAACGACGCATTCTCCGTGTAAGCCATGAAGCCATTAGCCATCGAGATATAGAAGATTCCAGGGTGATCCTGATCGTAGAACCGCAGATAGAGCGGCTTGGGGATATCTGCCGCTGCCAGAGAGTCGTATTCTCCCGCTTTCTGGCCACCAGGGAGGAAGGAAGAATCAGTAGACCAACCAGTAGCGGCGATGATCATCTTAGGATAGAGAACGGTGCCGTCATCAAGAGTCACTTTGCTACCTTGAATGCGCTTGATTTGGCAATCATTGTGGATCTTAAACTGGCCTCTCTTGTAAGGTGGAACGAGATGTGTACGCAGAATATAGGCCACTTTCATAGACACGGCATCCTCTGTGGTCAATTGTTAGCGCGGCTTGATGATTGACGGATTTCACACGCACTCTTAGGGGGGTACCACTCCGGAATCCCATGAACCCATGCCCAGATCACATTCAGGTAATACAAAAGTGCGTCAACAACAAAAATCGGAAGAAGTCGATAAAGGACTCGGAGAAGATGAAGTTCAGACCATCCGAACTGCCACAACCACGGCCACCACATATCCGGGGCGCCCCTATACTCCGTTAGTTCGGCTCCACGGGCAAGAATAAAGAGACCAACCAATGGGCAATGCGAGCTACCACGTGGACATTCGTTGCATTTCGTGTGATACAGGCTTCCTGGACCATGTCCATGGCGGATGGACCAGCACCAATGATGATGACATCTGATGTTGGGATCTCACTGGCCTCCCGGATTTCGTTATTGTGTCTGATTGGAAAGGTTGCAGTTTCCTCTCCAGGAAACTTGGGGACATATTTATGGATATTGTGTCCGCTGAATATCATTAGTTTCTTGCCTTAAGAATATACCTAGAGGTGATGCTCACGTGCAGACAAGTACACTTCGCGTGAAGACGGTTGTGGTCACTGGCTCGTCCAAACCTTCGACGAACGGTTTAATCATAACCTTATGTAGCATAGGCTTGACCATCTCAACTTTCGCAACATCGTGCTGCCATAAGACGTGTTCTTTGAGACCAAATTCCGTATGGTAGGCTTCACAAAACTCCGCAACTTGGTCGCGTGGTGCACGCCTTGGAGGCTCGGCTTGAGGAAACTTAACGCCATGCACCTGGTATTCGATTTTGAGATCTTGTAGCGTGGAATAGGCGGGGATATGTCCGGTCCAGATTCCTCCCGGGCCCTTCTGACGGTCGACGGCCATCACAGACAGAGGAGGATCGTCTCGGAGGAGGGTTCTCAATGCTACCATTCCTATCACAATTCATGAGCATATTGTTTATATCTTTGACGCTCAATCATGTTACGCACCTGAAGGGCCAGCACCAATGACAACGGCATCAATCGGACTCTCTGGCGTTGTCCCAGCTGCGCCAGAACGCACCTTCTGGACAGTGGAGACATCGGCATCAAGAAGTTTGAGATTCATCTTTGCGATTACAGTGGTGGATAGAGAGCTCTTTCACTGAAGCCAGAGGCTCACGTTACCCTTTTATTTTGAATCTGAGGCCATCTGTCTGTTCCGATCCAGCAAAGCCTTGCCATTCTCGGCACAACCCGATATGAAGTTTCCACGTCTCCTCTCATTGTTTAGTATCCTCCTAATCTTGAAATCGTGATCGAGATGCAAGGCCTCTCGGGTATCGATGCTTGGGGAGGTTCAGTGCGGAAATGTCGGGTCTTTTGAAGTCTTTTCCTGATGCGGTAATTGAGAGCGATCGCGATGGCCCCACATTTTATTGCTGTTTTTGGCATGGCAGGAAGATGTCGTGGAAGCTGTAATGTGCCTGCGGCAACAAGTAACTGTGCCCTGTGTAATCAATAGCAATGCAAGTGAAGCGGTGGTGTAATAAGGTACGAAGAAGATAGGGGGGATGGGGTACATGTATCAGCCCCTGATGCTCCTTTATCAACAGCTACAGACTTCGATTGCTGACTCTATTATTACTGTGCTCTACAATGGTGAACTTTACTCCCATGATAATTGCTGATAATCCGCCGAGTTAACATCAACATACGTTTGCAGCCGATTTCTTGTTATTGATCCGTTGCCCTTGGCGGAATTAACTTTCTCTGTGCCCACGTCTGCGGGTATAATAAAAAGGGTCAAAGGAGCGACCCGAAGAGAACCATGTAGTCTGATGTAGATCTATCAGCATACACAGACCACATCAGCTTTCCTTATCATCGCGGCCTACCCAAGGGCTCTATAATCGATAGCATTGATTGGCGATAGTGGGGGAGAAGCGAAACCGATCTCTTGGATCCTGATCGCTTTCTCGGAATAGGACATCTATGCGATCCCTAGTCCCAATATGCATACACAACGATTTGAGGAGAAAGTGCGCCTAGGAGTAGGTAGGTGGGGTTGCTACTGATTGAATAATTCGAAGTTGAAGAAACATATAACAAGCAAATATGGCACCAAGTGCCTAAGTGAAGCTTCGAGCACAAAGAAGGGATTCCATGATTATCACAAACGAATCGCGAACTTGACAATGGCATCTTACGTTTTCACTTCTGTCCTGTCTCTTGCAACGGCCATGAGTCCAGCTGGCACAGGAACAAGAACCCGTTTTGACAAAGCGGCTCTCGTCCTCGTTTCCGCTCTTTCGCTCGCGGCTTTGTTCACCCCCGCCGCAGCAAAAGTCAATGTCGGCACGGGCTTCGGATATGAGATCGAAGGCAAGTATTCATCTGATAATGTAACTTTCGTTCTTCAAATCTAAAAGCAAAGTCCACTCTAATCTCAAAGCTGGGTATTCATTCAAACAGATCTCGATTACGACCTCCCCTTTTCCAATATCGTAACCTACGCCCACCTACCCTGGGAGCGCTGCTTCAATCTCGCGCACAACAACCCCTTCGACATCGCCATCGTCGGCTTCCCCTTCGACACTACCGTTAGTGTAAAGCCTGGTGCACGTTACGGACCCCGCGGTATCCGCGCCGGCAGCACGAAAGAGAAGCCCGGCCGTACGTATAATGTCAACTATGGGCTTGATTGGGCGACCAACTGGGCGAAGATTATAGACTGTGGGGATGTGCCTGTCACGCCTTATGATAATGCCCGTAAGGCTGCTCCCATCCCATCTCTGTAATCTGGAAATGAGAGAGATCGAAAAACGAAAAAGAAACTGACTGACAGGTGGGTAATAGATGCCTTCATTCAGATGGAGCAAGGGTATCGCCAGCTGCTGCACAAAGATGTCGTGACCCCGGCCCTCGCACCGCCCTCGCTCGACAAAACCACCCATCCCCGTCTCATCTCTCTAGGCGGCGACCACAGTATTATGTTGCCGATTCTGCGCTCACTCAAATCTGTCTACGGACCTATCTCCGTCATTCATTTCGATTCCCATCTCGACTCAGTGAACCCGACCAAGGGATATAGCGGGGTTGTCTCGGAGCAGTCGAAATTCACGCACGGGACCTTCTTCTGGCATGCGGCACAAGAAGGGTGTATTGCCAACTCTTCCGTGCATGCGGGGCTGAGAACGAAGCTGTTCGGTCTGGGCGATTATGAAAATGATCAAGAAGTTGGATTCTCCATTATTCACGCCCGGGATATTGATGATATTGGCGTTCAGGGGATCATTGACAAGATCGTTGCGGCCGTCGGTGATAAGATGGCTTATATATCTGTTGATATTGATGTTCTCGACCCTGGGGCTGCGCCTGCGACTGGGGCTCCAGAGGCCGGGGGCTGGTCGACCCGGGAGTTCAAGCGGATTCTCGAGGGTCTGCAGGATCTGAACATTGTTGGAGCGGATGTCGTCGAGGTGGCGCCTGATTACGACACTAATGCTGAGATCACATCTATCGCAGCGGCGGATATGATTATCGACATCATCTCGGCAATGGTTAAGAAAGGGCCTCTTGGCGGGTTCAAGTCCAAGAGCAGCAAGGATGAGCTTTAGATCAGGAATCTTGATTTCGTCAGAATAGTGCGAGGTCCCAACCACGCTCATCTATGAATTCATCCCATCGTTTGTCGCCTCCTGATTCCCAGTATTCTACCATTGCCCTGCGTGCACGATCCACATTCCCCATCCCAAATAAACCCATCTTCTTCATCCGTTCCTCGATGATACACCGCTGATGGGGGTCTTCAGCCTCGCAGCCTGCAGAGAATAGAGGCCACAGAAGTAAAATATTGGTTGTGGAATTATCTGGAAGCCTTTGCAGATTCTCGATAATCATGTATACTGCGTGGATGACTTTGGGGTGGTGTCTCGGCAAGTCCTGCACTCGGCGGTAAAGATGGAGGAGGGCGGCATAGACGAACAATCGATGCGTGTTCCGCATCTCTTGACCTACAGCAGGGTTATGTGCCCCTCCTGAGGTCGCAGTACGTTCGAAAAGCCCTTGGAGCTGGCTTTCAATGTCCCAGACTTCCTTCAACGCATCAGCACGCATCTCTAAGTGCACCTCTTCGTCTTCCGAGTCGATGGATGCCGAAGCAACTTTGCGGCGCTTCTGTTCAACTCGTGCCATCCGTCCTATCCGCGCCAAGATTGGCATCAGCTCTAGTGAATATCCCATAAATTCGTCCACGAAGCCTCGAGTGGGATCCAGAGTTGTCTCGACAGACCAGTACCGGCCATCTGGAATGGTACCTTTGCCAAGACCAGACACCCCTGCGGGGACATCAAGAGCTGCGAACCATTTCACGAGAAAGAGCTGCGTAGGGTCTGATATAGTAAGTTGTTTTCCCGCTTTGCCAACTGCTGAGAATAGGAGGTCTTTGATGCCTCGTAAATGCGTCCTCCACATCTGGAGATCACCCGAAATAACATCGCTCGTGCACAGGGCGAGCGCAGTAGATATAGTTTGCATCGTGTGGGTTTGCCCTTCAGTATTCATGGCCGTCCGCAGACCGGCCATCCCGTGATTTGTGAATTTGAAGATTGTGCTGGCGGTCTGGGCCGATGTGTCTCCACGAAGGCGAGCATAGTGACTACATGCGGACGCGAGAAGTGCGGATAGGAGATGCGGCGTCGAGAGTGCAGCTGAGAGAAGCGTGTCGCGAAGTGGATTGCACGGTGGTGAGAGTGGGAAGATGACAGAGGAGGTATGGGTATAATAGTGATGGAGGTAGAAACGAGACTCGGGGGAGTTCAGTAAATCACAGGGTATATAAGTCAGCGATGGCAGCAGAGTTGAAGCTATCAGTGTAAGCAGGATGACATGTACAAGAGGCGGCGTTGAACTTACGGGCTCCGTGAAGAGCGTCTTGCATCCATGTCACTCGATCGTCGAGTGTATCTTCTAATGGCGTTTGCTCTGCGTAACCCGCATCGCTACTGAGCATCATCTGGTGAACGAGATCAAAGGGGGAAGGAGACAGCTGCTCCTCAGCTCCGTCGTCAGCCTCTAACATCAAATTCGTATCAATCGTATCTATTACATCGACTACATCGATGTTTGCCTTGGGGGATATTGCATCATTTGGAGGGCTCCGAGATTTCGTCAAAGCTGGCTCTCTATGCGCTCCGGTGTCAATTGCCTGATTGCCATTGACTACGAAGGTATGGGTGTATGTTGCAGGCGGTGCACCGAAGCTCCCCGGCCTGGCTTTCCTTGCTTTTTTGAATGGCCTTCCGTCGGTCCAGGAGAGCTTCAGCTCATACCTGCAAATATGGGGATATCGTCTACATCGCGAGCAGACGGGCTTCTTCTCATCACACTGCGAGCTACGTCAAATTCAATGAAATTAAGTAAATGCCGGAAAGAAGGCAAACCCACTTTGATCTTTTTCCTCTTGCATTCTACACAGCCTGTTCGGCTTTTAGTAAAGGGCTCTTTCTCGGCCGTCGGGACGTGCTGTAGATTGTCCATTCGTGTATCATGAGAAGAATGAGGAATTGAGAGAGAAGAGTCCCGATGACCTTATAAATGATTGGTTTCGGGGTGGAAGATAAGAGGCGATAAGAGATACAGCTATACAGAGTAGGGAAATACTCCGTATGTACCTTACGTGGGGTGTCCCTCAATCCTCCGTATCATAACGGTCGGCACGGGGATCTATCGCCCTACTCCGCACTGTAATACGCGGCATCCCGCCTCGAACCGCTCAATGGTCAACGAGAGACAGGAACCTTTGGACACCGTGCTTGATAGCGCCTTGTGCAAAACATACCAGTTGGGAATCTCGGCCGGGATGTTTGACGAGGAGCACACAATACGACTCGAGATCGAATGGCTTGGCGCTGCTGACCTTCGTGAGGCTTGACCTCGATGTCGGAATGGAAAGGCTCGGGGAGTCGTAGGCTCTCCAGACGAAGCTGAAGTTTCATAACTAGAGATGTTCAATTCACTGGTGCTTCTCGAGCTCTTAAAGCTTTTGCTCTGTGGAATTCAGGCGTTGGCTTGTCCACAAATTCAGTGCTGTCAGTATGAGCAGAGCATCTTCCTCCACCGCCATGCCAGACCTTCTGATCTTCTACCCTTTTGTAAGTCTCGTTCCTCCATGATAAGTCTCCATCAACCGCCCCCATGACTTCCTGGTTCGAAATCGCAGTATTTGTATATATGGCCCTCATGGTTCCGCCAACAATACTCTACCTGTCTCATTTGTCATTGGGAAACTGAAACTGCGAAGAAGCTACAAGCCTACAGGTGGTATTCTGGCAGGGAAGGTCGTCTTTCTGAAGGGATTTTCCGAAGGAGCCGCTTCCAGTCCTGTGGTGTCAAAAGAGAATCAAACTCGAACCGGGAATACTCCTGCTGCTCGAACGCAGCGCAGATAGAGCCTCGTTCAAAATTCACCGGGACTTGGGATGTCCTTCCATCCACACGTACATGACTGGCCCATCTCGGATCCAGAGGTGACCGACCTTCACCCAAATCCATCCACCTTGTGACGAACATCGCAGTGCGGTGTCTTCCACACTTTTTGAAGTCGATCCGGAATTCGGTCAGGCAATACCTGCATTGCATCATTCCTTCCCACTTCGGGAAGTCCTTCGATGCATCCCAATGTTCTACTTGAATGGTGTGTTCTCTATATCTATCAATATGATCCTCTGAGGGGAATAGAAAATGAGGACAGATGGTGAAATGTGTGACCCAAGGAACTGGGATGGATCGGGTAGGCGGTATTATGAATATTATTTGCTGGCGCATAAGCAGTGAGCCAGCCACAATTCGAGCCGAAGCCATGCGCTGCTCAACGTAGCCACGCGACCCATGCCATACAAGAGTCGTTGTTCTATAAGACAAGAGCTTGAAAATCTTGGAGCAATCGAGGCCTTGGCGATAAACCTTCATTGCCATCTGGAAAACGGTGAAGGAGAATCTGTCGTGGATGTAGTAACTGCTGCCATCCTCAACCGTGAGAGGTAGGTGGCACCTCCTCCCGGTTGCATAGGCAGCATAGCGCTTAGCTTTGTTGATTGCATGGAGCTTCTTGCAATAATAACAGGCAACGTGGTTATGGAGTTCTCGTTCTAGGAGCATCAAGAACTTATAGCGATCTAACTGCTCGGTCTCTTCTAAAGCTTTGAGGTATTGCGTTCCGAGTGTGAAATAGATAGGCCGACAGCAGAGAGAGAATGACGAGGCTGCGTCAGGTGGTAGAAAGCGGACAATGTGGAATATGAGCTCGGGTGGAAGCTTGCTGAGCGCCGATGATTCGAGGGCGATAGGCCGAGGACGATGAGGGCCATGAGGCACACCAAGCAGGGAAAGTACGGATTTGAAGAAGTCCATTTGAGAAAATCAATGTTCGGAGGAGTCGGTAGGTCTGCTAAGTAATCGAGGCGGTTTTGGAGGAGAAAGAAATACTGTTTGTGTGAAAGATATGAAAGTACCCAAGGTACCTGCTTTTAAGAGAAACGGGAAGGGCAAAGCTACCGGCAATTCTGCACTTATAGTCGGTTCCAAGCCATATCTGGGTCATTAAAGGGTGATGCCTAGGTAGGCTACACCTGGCATTAAGAAGTGAACTCCCTGAGCCATGAAACCTTCCGTAGGGGACCCGACAAGGTGATTATGTAGAGAAGCGGCCAGACTTAATACCACCTACCCGACCTTATCGTCATATGCCGCCAAAGACTTCTTCGTCATCAACAGCGGACATAGTCACTTCCTTGGGGGCTTTTGGCTCACTAAAGCACATCGACAAGGACGACGAGAAAGCATCAAATCATGCTCCTCAAACTAGAATCAGTTTTGGACGCCCGGCTAAAGAAAGATAAGAAGTATGATATATCTTTGGAGTTTAGGAAATTGACGGCAGACAATATTTTTTCGATACGGCGACTATTATAGAGGGAGCCTGCAAGAGCTGAAGAAGCATGCTTTGACGATGGAGAGCGAGGTTGCGGATCGGAAGGCTCTTGTTCGAATGCGTTGGAAGCAGATCTTCTAGGCAGTGGAGGCACATGATGGAGGTAAGATTCATCAATACCTTAGACTGGAGGAAGAGGAAAAAGTAAAGGGGAAATGCTTATCACGTGATGCTAATCGCATCGCCATCAAACCCCCCGGTGAACACTTTCAAGCTTGTCGTCGTTGCGACGTGCAACAAACCTTCTCACGACCTGCCATATCACGAGCTTACATCACGTGATGCTAATCGCATCGCATCAAACCCCCCGTTGAACACACTCGAGCTTGTCATCAGTGCGACGTGCAACAAACCAAGGTTCTCTCGACCTCCCATATCACGAGCTAACATCAGGTGATGCTAATCGCATCGCCATCAAACCCCCGTTGAACACACTCGAGCTTGTCGTCGGTGCGATGTGCAACAAACCTTCTCTCGATTTCCCTCCCATATGACGGTCTGAATCAGGTGATGCTAATCGCACTGCGATCAAAACCAAGGTCGCTAATGCGATGTGCAACGAAACTTCCGTTAACGACACAGCCACGCACAGCCACCAGCCACGCACACTAAAGACACCTCCACAGCCACTAAGGGCGCAAATGACGTATCCCCCCTGGGGTACCTCGAAGATCGAAGCTGAAGTCGGACAAGGCCAAATGGGATTCCCACTTCTTCCCACTTTATTTTGAATATCGTTTCCCCATCTCCGTTGATAGTCGCCAATGAGCATTTGCCCAAGACACCCACGACGCGTGCCAAAGGCATCAGTTAAGTTCTGGTATCCACATGACTCCCGGTATACAGAGCAGTCTTCGTATACAGAGGAGTTCCTCAGTCTTCAGTCTTCAGTCCTCAGCCCATCGGACCTTCCGCTAGGCTGGGCGTAGCTCATTGGCGCTCTGCGGTGACAGGGCAAGGCGAGGAGCGATGAACGCCCAAGATGATGTGATGTTATGTTGTGTTATGTATGTTCTGGCTGGACTGTAGGGGGCGGTGCTATTGTGCTCGGCGGTGAAAGTGATCGTCCCTATGCCTGCTTCCATTAACTCATAGCACCACTTTAACTGTCGACAGAGTAGCAGAGCATATAACAAGAACATCGATACTCCCCTCTCAACTCTTCTCCCCAGTTTCCATATCTCGGAAAGACAAGCAAAACCCCCATCCCCATCTCCCCATACAAGAACCACCAGCATGGGTTTTGCGAGCCTCGCCCTCAAGTCCTTCTCCTGGTTCCTCAGGATTATCGAGTTTTGCTCCGCGGCCATCATCCTCGGAATCTTCTCCTATTACCTCGCCGTCCTCGCAAACCATGACCTGCACATCGACACTTACCTCAGGGCCGTCGAAGGCATTTCTGGCGCCGCCGTCCTGTACACACTCTTTGCTTTAGCCTTCGTCTTCTGCCTTGGAGGAGTCGCCTTCTTCTCTGCCATCGGCATGCTGCTCGACCTCGCTTTCACCGGCGCCTTCATCTACATCGCCTATGCAACCCGACATGGGAGTGATTCCTGCACAGGCTTCGTCCAGACTCCTCTAGGGGACGGCGACACCAACACCGAGAACACCATCCCGTCTGGAAAGAATGGCTTCACACGTCTTCCATCGCTGCACACCGCCTGCAAGCTGAACACCGCTTCCTTTGCCGTGTCTATCGTTGGCGCGTAAGTTACCCTGGATCTTTGACCGAGAGCCGTGCTAATATACACCTCAGCGTCTTCTTCTTCTTCTCGATCTTCATCGAGTTGGCCCTGATCCGCCAACGGAGACGCGAGAAAGCCTTCAAGCCTTCTCCCAACCACGGCTATACCGCCGGTCGTCCCAAGCGCAGGTTCTGGCAGCGCAGACCAAACCGTGATATGGAGTACATGGCCGGAGGATTGGCCGGGGAGAAACATCCCGATTCGCTGCCTGTACATGCCGCTCCCACCGATGTGAGGACATCGTACGCAACCGACACCACCGCAGTTGGCCAGGATCAACCCGTGTACAACAAGTATGGCTACACGACTCCAGTCGGCCAGCAGACTGGATATACAAGACCGAACCCGTATAAGAATTAAAAGCCTGCTGAAATACGGTAATGCCGGTGGAGTCTGGGTATGAGAGATTTTGAAACTTGCAATGCGAACCCCACAACTACCTTATGAGCGTTTTGGGTCGGTAGTATGATACCAAAGGATAGGATGATACCAAAGAGGCTTTCCCTTCTGAGCTGGAAGGTCATACGGAGTACATAGTCTGTCGTTATAAACATTACGAAGTAGTACCTAATTAATACCACCACATACCTAATGAGTTCTAATCCTTTCTGTAAATCTGCCACGGGTTCCGAGGGATCTCGTGACCGAAAAATCCAGCTGGATGTCAGGAACGACAAAAGGGGCTCCCCAGAAAGCCCCGCAAATAAAAAATTCCAGCTCCCCCTAAGAAAAAAAAAAGTAAAATGAACACCTCAAAAACCAAGAAATTTAGATCGAGAATTTCGAAATTTTCACCCCTAAAAACCCGGCTCCCGGAAAATAAACAAAAAAAAAAAAATAAATCCAAATGATCACTACGAGGGTCGAACTCGCGACCTTGGCGTCAACAACAATAATCATATACAAGACAAGATCCCACATATGAAAATATTCATATTAGCACCACGCTCTAACCAACTGAGCTAAGCGATCTGAAGTTGGATGATGGGGAAATTCTGTTATTTTGTTTTGTTAGTTGGGCAAATTTGGGGATTGAAGGGGGGGGATTTTATTCAGGGGTGGGGGATAATTTTTGGAAGAGGGGGGAGGGGTGGGAGGGGAGGGCTTGGAGGGGAGGGAGGGGAGTGGAATGGAGCTGGAACTGGAACTGGGAAGGGGGAGGGGAATTTCTCTTGGGCTGTGAATGATGATGATGATGATGACGTTGTGAAGAGGGAGAAGAGAGAGAAATAGAAGAGCTGGGTTTGTGATCTGTGGAATTGAAGGAAGGGGGGGGGGGGGGTGTATAAGGGATAAGAGTAAATAGGTAGTTTGCCTTGTTCAACGTCTGCAGAAACCCTGAATTCGCCAGATCCCTCTTAAACAAGGACAGAGATTTTTCCAAGTCATGATATTTTATTGTACAATTGATTTAATTTACATATAGAGTGGTCTATTTTTTGACTACAAAATTAATCGTCTTTCCCCCATGTACAACGATGATCTTCTTAGCCTCCGTGATGTGAAGCTTCTGCTCCAGCTTCTTCCCTTCATCGGTGGCCAGCAGCTCCCCAGTTAGCCACTTATTGAGCTCTTCACCCCCTAAGCCCTTCTCGGGGATAGGCAGTTCCACAACAGCTTTCAGTTTCCCGTTGACCTGCACGGCGCACGGCTGCGTTGTCGGGGGAAACCATTCTATTGTCCCATCCATTTCTGGGAATTCCGAATCAAAGACTGAGTGTTGCCATGACTCTGGTTCCGCAGGACTGAGACCTTCTTTGGATGGGGATGACGCCTGGCCTTTGCGGTCGGAGTGCTGGAGAAGCTCCCAGCATTCTTCGGAGAAGGCAGGGGTAATAGGCGCCATCATTTGGATGAGCGCTTTCGTTGCCCATTTGTTGACTTGTAGAGTTGATGAGATATCGCTGTTGCCATTGTTGATTTCAAAAGTCGAGGAGATCTCGGCGTTCACTCTGTCCGGACCCTTGTGATTCCTGGTCAGATCTCCATGCTCGATTATGGCATTGGTCAGAGTCATTAGATCGGACACCACAGTATTGAGGGAGTATGTTTCGCTGTATGACCGAGTCACGTTTTGAATCGTTGTTTGGACGAGGCGCCATAGAGCCTTGTCCCTCTCAAGGAGTTGAATCCTGAATTTGAGATCTGACAAGCCGTCCAGTATTCCCTCCTTGCTTATATCTTTCGGACCGGGTCGATTCTCGAACTCACGAGCCAAGCTTTCCGTGTACTTCAACATTTCCTGCCCCCCTTCCGCAGCTTGTCCAAATTCTATAAAATAGGCCTTCGGAGTGATTTCATTCAGGCCTATCCACACATCTTGCAGAGAAGCAATATGTTCGTGGACTCGTCGAAGCCATCGAGTGATTCCAGATATCTTCTCTTCGTGCCATTCAAGCACCTCGTTGACTGGAGCCTGGAAAAGAATATGTGCCCTCGTAACATCAGCGCCGTACTTCGACATACATTCGCTAGGATCAACGCCATTGTACTTGGATTTGGACATCTTCTCGAAGCTCACATTGGCCTGTTCACCAGTTGCAACAACAATGGGTTTCGAGCTTACGCTCAAGTCTACTTCGTCGGGCTTGAGGAAACGTCCGTTCGAAGGATCTGAGTATGTTTTGCCGTGGACCATACCTTGAGTTAAAACCTTCTTGAAAGGCTCACCAAAGTTCTTTGAGTTCCACAGACCAGTTCTTGCGATGAATTTCGAAATGAATCGAGCGTAAAGTAGATGCAAAATTGCGTGCTCAACGCCTCCAATGTAGATATCGACAGGTAAGGAATCGTCGGCCTTCTTGGGATTGAAGAGCATATTTTCGTTCTTGACATCTATGTATCGCATGTAGTACCAACTCGAGTCCACAAACGTATCCATAGTATCTGTATCTCTCTTTGCTGGACCATGGCATTTAGGGCAAGATGTATTAACCCAATCATGAGCATCGTCAAGAGGGTTCCCTGCCTTTCCTTTCATCCAATGCCCTTCTACGGTAGGTAGCTCAACAGGAAGCTGATCTTCTGGTACAGGAACAGGTCCACATGAGTTGCAGTGTATGATTGGAATTGGTGTTCCCCAATAACGTTGCCGGCTTACGAGCCAATCTCTAAGTCGCCAAGTTTCTGCAGTTGATCCCATTTTTTTCGATTCCAGGACTTCGATGATTTTCTTGGTTGCTTGAGCCGTGGTCAGACCAGCGTAAGTACCGCAGTGCGATGTAAGATGTCCATGATGGATGAACGGTCCGTCAGAGATGGGAATAATAGATCCATCTGCGGAGGGAGCGATGACCATCCGGATTGGCTCATCGAAGCGGTTGTTTTTCCAGAAAGCATGATCACGAGTGTCATGACCTGGTACTCCCATAACAGCACCATCTCCATAATCCCCCAAAACATACGGAGCAACGTAAATTGGCAGTTCATCTTTCGCAGCAGCAGGAGTCGACTCATCATACGCAAGGGGGTTCATAGCTCGCACGTGGGGAAGAAGGTAGCCCACCTTCGAGTCTGCGGGAAGGGTTGGAATTGTATCAAGAAAGGCTTGGAGCTCCGGATCTGTCTTGGCGAGCGCTTGAACAATTGGGTGCGTAGATGCCAGTGCAACGTACTGGACCCCAAAGAGCGTGTCCGGTCGAGTTGTGAATACTTCTATATCCGAATGGGTCGATTGATCGTAGGCAACCACCGGGAATTTGATTCGAGCTCCTATCGATTTCCCAAGCCAATTTTTCTGCATTGCAAGTACTCGTTCGGGCCACGCTCCACCTTTAGCTAGAAAGTCAAGATCCTTCAGCAAATCATCCCTGAATTCAGATATTTTCAAGAACCACTGCTTCAGCCTCCTCTTTTCCACCTTCGCCCCGGATCTCCAAGAACAGCCATTCGCGTCCACCTGCTCATTTGCCAAGACTGTCTTATCCACAGGATCATAATTAACCAGTGACTCCGCTTGATATGCCAGCCCGCTTTGGTGGAGGAGGAGGAATAGCCGTTGCGTGTGTTTGTAGAAGCTCGGATCGCAAGTCGCAAATTCCTGTCCTCAGTGTAAGTGCCAATGTCAAGACGAGACCAGGCTTTGAAGTAGACGCACTCTATCCCAGTCCCATTGTCCATTCATAGCCTGCAACTGCGATTTCATGCGCCGAATATTCGTCTTGGTCCATGTTGCAGGATCGATCCCTCTCTCGATTGCCGCGTTTTCAGCTGGCAAACCGAAAGCATCCCAGCCAATTGGGTGCAGGACCTTGTGACCTTGCATTCGTCGGAACCGTGACAATACATCAGATATCGTGTAAACTCGTAGGTGGCCTAGATGAAGGTCCCCAGACGGGTAAGGGAACATGGGCAGGATATACATCTTTTCCTTCGAACCACTATTTTTCCCTTGAACACCCGGCTGCCTCAGTTCCCACTTCTGTCGCCATTTACTGTCAAGCAGTGTGAAGTCCAATTCCTGACGCATATTGCGCGCGCTGCGAGTGAAGGTGCGGCTGCCACCAAGCCATCCCGGCCAAAGCCTGCCCCGGCTTCTGGCAATTGACGACCACATGGTGTCCCAATCTCCATGAAAATCAAAGGCGTCTAGAACCACTCGTTAGAACAAGGCAATAGGAGAGATGCGAGAGGGCTCGCAAGCTCCATGCTGCGGTGTTGATCGTGCAGGTGAGGGACAGTCTCGCAATGGGGTAATGGAAGGAAATAAAAATAGGGATCTAGGTAAATATCGAAATACGGAATATTACAGGATAAGGTAATTAAGGCATATATTAAGGTACGGAATACGGAGTACTTGCAGGCACGGATTTTTATTTACCCTTTCCGGACATTCAACTGATCCATTGCCTGGCAGGGACAAGAGTATCTCAAGCAACACGTTCCTCCACCGTTTTTTCCTCTGGACGCGCTTTTGTCGAATACATACACATCTCCTGCCTCGCCCTCCAAAATAGATCCGTATATGCCCAGGATTCATGACTGATATGATACAAACGGCCAGATAAACGCCCCGTCCATAAACCACCAAGCTCTAAGGCATGTGCTGTTGAACAGGAGGCACGATGCCCTACTCAAGTCTTCAACCGCATGCGCGCGACTCTCTAGAACTAGCAAGTCTAGCTTCAAGTTCACCTGAACACCGAAATTCAACGTCCTCGACCTCCTCACGGTCTGGTATATCATCCTCCCGCAAACTCTCCCTTGAAGCAGACGACCCCCTCGATGGGCGAAATCCCGCAGCCAATGGCCGCGCAGGCGCCCATGGTCGGACCTTTTCTATGTCCTCTGCGTTCGATTTTGCTTCCAATATATACCCCTTATCCTCAACCAACGAGAACGGTTACGCGCCTATTGGACATACCCCTATAACGCCTTCCAGTGGGCAGACAGGACTAGGGGCCAGCAGTCTGGAGAAGCACAAGACGTTAACATACTTGAACGGGCTGTCGTTGATTGTGGGAATTATAATTGGGAGTGGAATCTTTTCCAGTCCGAGCCAGGTCAATGCGAATGCTGGATCGCCAGGCGCGTCATTGATAGTATGGGGAATCGCTGGAATCCTCGCGTGGACTGGGGCGTCAAGTTACGCAGAACTGGGAGGGGCCATCCCGTTAAACGGAGGGGCACAGGTTTACCTATCAAAGATATTTGGGGAACTGTTTGGGTTTCTATTCACGTGGTGTGCAGTGATGGTGTTGAAGCCAGGATCAACGGCCATCATCTCGATTATCATGGGGGAGTATTTGGTTCGAGCATTTATCGGAGCAGAGGCCGAGAATGTTAGTTCTTGGATCAACAAGAGCGTGGCATTGGTTGGGTTATTCGCCGTCACATTGCTTAATTGCATATCAACGAAGTTAGGCACCAGAATGGGGGACATGTTTATGTTCATGAAGTTCATAGCATTGCTTGGGGTTACGGTTATTGGCATTGTCGTTGCGCTCACTGGGTTTTCAGCATCGGGGAAGGCAAATCAGGATTGGAAAACTAAGGGATGGTTCGAGGGCACGAGTACCAGCGCTAGTTCTTGGGCTGTTGCTCTATACGCGGGGCTGTGGGCGTTCGACGGTTGGGACAATGTGAGTATTCGCCCAGTTCGTGGAGTTCTTCTAACAGTTTTAGACCAACTACGTTGTAGGGGAATTTCGGCATCCCACTCGTGATCTTCCACGAGTCATCCACACGGCAATGCCCCTTGTGATCCTATCATACATCCTCGCCAACATGGCTTACTTCTTCGTGCTACCTCTCTCCGCCCTCGACTCCTCGAATACCGTAGCCGTCATGTTTGGTAATAAAGTCTTTGGACCAGTTGGCTCTCTTATCCTGGCTTTAATTGTCAGCGCCAGCTGCTTCGGTGCCTTGAACGCCGTGACATTCACAAGCGGACGGCTAGTCTATGTAGCTGGAAAAGAAGGGTACCTCCCAGCTTTGTTTGGGAAGATTGGAGTAGGAAATGGTGCCGAGCCATCTCACACGGAACTACGAACGCGCAATTGGCTGTCGCAGCGGATGGCGAGGCTGTTCGGGGATGAAGACACCGGTCTTTTCTTCACGCCTGTCAATGCCATGATCCTCAATACAGTGCTCACTGTATGCTATGTCCTTGTTGGCGAATTCGAGACACTCGTCACATTCTACGGAGTGGCTGGATATACATTCTACTTTTTGACCGTCCTAGGACTTATCGTCCTCCGAGTCAAAGAGCCGCATCTCGAGCGGCCCTACAAGACGTGGATCACGACGCCCGTTATTTTCTGCTGTGTGAGCCTGTTCTTGCTCAGCAGAGCCGTCTTCGCAGAGCCGCTACAAACGCTCATCGTGGTCGGGTTCATCGCGGCTGGCGTGCCGTTGTATTACTGGCGGATACGGGGACGGGACAAAGTCACGAAGAGGTCGAGGAGTAGCAGTAATGCTGGCCATGGATGGAAATTCTGGAAACGGTTCCAAAGTTAGAAAAAACGGAAGGGCACATAGACTTATTGTAATTGATCGATACGCGTTTAATAACCACCTACTCGTGTTTCTGACCGAGATAGGGAAACTGAACCACTTATAAATGATACCACTACCTTACATTACTGATATCGGGAATTATATGCAGCAGCGAGTTCTCGAGGATTTCCGTTGCATTTTATCACAGTTTTCCATTCATCACTCTTATCCTTTTCAAATTCCGTTCAGTGATGAGCAACCACACCAGGAGACTCACCCAGAACAGATGTAAAACACTCGACGTTCTTATATACTAGAGTCCCCAGATCCTAGAAAGGGAGGCTCTTAAGCGCGACGAGAAAGAAAGAAACCTTCAACCGAATATCGTCGCAGCTGAGCTAGTCGGGAGCGGTGAAGCCTCTCGTGAACCAGGGCATTGAATGAAGAGAAGGCTGCGTATCACGAAGATACCATGCCTTTGTGAAATGAAGCGGACTATAACTATGAAGGGCTGAGGGAAGGCTATACAAACTTTGAATAGAGGTCAGTTGAGGAATAATAATAGGTGGCCTGAGACTCTGTGAGCCAAGTGTGGAAAATTCAGCCAACAAAGACAGGATTGATGCAACTGTGTTCTATTATCTCCCAACAGGAATATCTTATGCAAGCCAATCTTCACGTAAGCTTGAAGTTGTATCGCCCCCGTGTATTTGCAAAATGCCAGACAAACGCCGTCGCTATGCAGAATTTCCTCCAACTCCACTCAAGAAATGCATTCATATCATGCTTTGATAGCGATCCTCATCGAACAGGTATCTCCCACGCAGCAGCATCCTCATCATCACTATCCCACTCAACTTGGTCTTCCTCGTCCACTAGTGCCATCTGAACGAATCTCTGCAGCCACTGTTGATGCGCCGCCTCCTGCGCCTGAGCCGCAGCCACATCGCGAGCCTGCCCTCTTCCAGCTGGCTGCTGTGGTCGTAAACCCCGTCCTCGTCCACCAGGTGGTCCTGCTTGTCTGACGTCCGCGGGTCGATGATCGATTCGACGATTTGGGTTCCCCCGGCGCTGCTGTCGATGACGCTGAGCGGGCTGAGCGGGCTGAGCGGGCTGTGGGGGATCAGGGACAGCAGCGACAGTGGGTGCGGGTTGTGGTACGGCATTGATCCGGAGTACAAGAGGGCCTTCACGTTGTAGCTGTTGCGCGGGTGGCTCCGGAACTGGTGCCGGTTGATTGTTATCACCGACAACACGTTCGACACCTTCGTTGTGCAATGCCTCCGCCGGGGGTGCCCGTCCATCTCTGACATCGCCCGCCCCATTCAGCAATTCGGGACCCCGAGGACCAACATCTGCAAGCCCTCCTTCCAGATCATCAAGTTCATCGTCTGAGACAATCTCAATAATATCCTCTGGTTCTGGTGCCTGAGCCCCTCCTGCGTAACCAATCCCCACATCATCTCCATCTCCAGCCTCCAGCTCCCAAAGACGCATGTAGCAACCAGTGTTAACCTCGTTGTAATGCTTGTAGGGATTCGACGGTTCAAGCCATGCAGAGCAGAGATAACAAAAGTGCGTGTTACACTTAAAGCAGATCATATGGTTGCAGCCATGAGTCTTCTGAGCTGGAGCAGCGCATGTCGGGCAAGGTGTCGTATGTAACTTGAGGTACTCCAATGAAGCCTTGTCCTCTTCCGTAAGCTCGCCGTTGTTCGCTCTCGGTGCGCAGAGCGTGAACTCGCCATGCCAACCCTGGTAGCATCTACTGCAGAAAGCAAAAGAACAATCCTCGCACACAGAGAGCAGATCTCTCCCTGCACGGAACTTCTTGCTATCCTCCTCCGCATCTGACTCATCATCTGACTCGATCACCTCGAACCCGTCTGGCTTTCGATGCTTCTTCGATCGGGCAGCACCCTGGCACCACTTCCGCGGGCAATAGACGGTATTCTTGTCGGACTCCAGATCTGCTTTGTGCTTCAATTTGACGTATCGTGTGACCATCTCATGTTCCAGTGGAATCTGTAGTAATTCACTCGGGCTGAGAGTCTTCGGCTTTCGAGACTTCTTCGACGGCTGTGCTTCAGCGCGCTTCTTCGCGCAGTCTGGCGCCAGACACCGTACCGAGACGAGGTCACCCTCCGTAATCGCGTTATTGTAAAAGTCCTGCAGGCACTGAACACAGAATACATGACCACAGTCAATCATCCGGTGGCAAACCGAACCCTTCTTTGGATCTGGAAAATAGTTAGCCAAGTGCATTCACTGAGCAGATGTTATCTTACCAAGACAGACGCCGCAATCAAAGGTTTCCTTATCAAAAGCGGCCTGCGTGGCCTTGATATCGTAGTCCAGCAGAGCAATCTTGAATTCCTGGGGGATCTCCAAGACCTTCCCCTCCACGTAACCAAACGCATTTTCAGCAGCTTGTTGGAGCGAGTCGATATATTCATAGACCACCTCGGTATGCCCTACCTCCTCCCACATTTGTTCTCCCTTGGCCTGAAGCTCGTCGAGATAAGCTCTCGACAGCCACTCTGGCTCCGTAGAGAGTTCGAATCGCGGTGGCGAAGTCGCAGGATATCCTTCCGGTAGAACAATATGCAGTTGAAGTGACGGAAGATACGACAGATCGTGAGACTCGACATTGTTCGCAGGGTTGGGGGTAGCCTGGCCGTCGGAACTCGAATTGTCGGACTGTGGCGGGGTAGGCGTATCAGGAACGAAGCCCTGAGCAGAAGCTGGGAAGACAACCTTGACTGGATTCCCCGGGTGCACTGGAAGTTCCAGAGAAGCAGAGAAGGAATCTTGGGGCCCCAAAACGAGCTCGGGAAAGATGGCTGCGATACAGCCCAGCTCGACTTCACGTTGGTCCTCCATAGTCGGCAGAATGTCACCGGCCGATCCGCGACAAAGGGACGACTTCTGCTTCGGAGGACGAGTCTACTGTCATAGGCGATGGGTTAATATATGTTTGCCAACGAGCGAAGAAACTGAGAGCAAGAGGATGTTGAATCGGCGAGGACTCACATGCGGCTTAGGCAATGGTGGGGACCTGGTGTTGACAGGGAAGGTGATAAATTATTTGGGAGAGCCGCTTTATGGATGGGGGCCCGCCGCCTTATGTGGGGAACGTGGCTGCCTTATGCCAGACTCCGGTGCTGCTTTAAGGAACGTTCTATCCACCGCTTTGCGACGCCAAGCGACATCAATCAGTTCTAGACCGGCACTTCGAAGGCACCACAAGGTAATGGAGCTCCTACAATAATTCACAGCTCTTTGAAAGATTGAGCCGGTGATGCTGAACCTTCCACCATCTTCTCCACCTCCAGATTCATCGTCCCTCTCTACCAACCATGGCAGACCCGACTCCCCTGGCTTCTCTCTCCCTGACCCACGTCCACTATGTGAGTATTGAGCTACCTCCCCTATTGCAAAGTACCCTCCTAACCCCCTCTCCCCAGGATCCCAACGACCCCATATCCTATCTTTGCGCGTGGCTCGCGCTCGTTCCCCAAGGCCTCTGCGTCGTCTACGCAACCCTGATATGGTCGACGCGCGAGATCGAGATCCTGCTCATGTTCGCCGGGCAGCTGGCCTGCGAAGCCTTAAACTTCGCGCTGAAGCGTATCCTGAAGGAGGAGCGCCCGCGGCAGATGCATGGAAAGGGCTACGGGATGCCCAGCTCGCACGCCCAGTTCGTGGCCTTCTTCTCCGTGTCCCTGGCGCTGTTCTTGCTTTTCAGACATGTGCCCAAGAGCCCCGCACCGTCGCATACCCCGCTGTCAATGGGCGCGAGGCTTGGGTTGAGTGGGTTGGCGTTGGTGGGAGCGGGGCTGGTAGCATGGAGTAGGGTTTATCTGAGTTATCATACACCGAAGCAGGTGTTGGTCGGTTGCTTGGCGGGGGTGATCACTGCTGTGGCATGGTTCCTGGCTACGACTGCAGCTAGGCAGGTTGGGCTGGTTAGATGGGCACTCGATCTTTGCATTGTGAGACTCTTCAGGATGAGAGACCTGGTGGTGGAAGAGGATTTATGCCAGGCAGGGTGGGAGAAATGGGAAGTGAAGAGGACAGCATCTGCTAATACAAAGAAGCGGTGATATTGTAGATACCATCAGTGTAAATGTTTATATATGCAATCTGGGGAGACATCTCGACCTCCATCAAAAGCTGTGACGGTGGACGCTATAGACAGTACCTTATCTGTAAGCACCGGCCAAAGCCCCTCAAACCTTAAGGTACCTTACGTCCTCATTGGCTAACTTAAAACAGCGGCGAACAGGGTACAATGCCTTAGCCCTCATCATATATCATCCATCCATCCCAGAGACTCAAGTCGCAGGCCTCGAGGTTTGATCTTCACAGCTGGGGCCTCTGGAACCGCCTGGGGCCATCAGGGATTGCTTTGCCATAATTCTACCATCTCTCATCAGCAATGGCCCCTGCCGAGGCGCGAACAGGATCATCACCGCCCTTCGTCGAAGAGGCTCCTACTCGCGGGAAACGCCCCGAATGCTTCAAATCGACGCTCCAAGAGTGTCTGTTTGTCTTGACGGCCACGATGTCGATTGGGATGTCGTCCTTTCTGAATGGCATATGTACTGTGATCACTGCTCCCATCGGTCGAAGTCTTCACATGACATCTGCTCAGATCACGTGGATCACCGCTTCTTCCTCGTGCGTCCTCTCTACCTTACATATTGAAAGGAGTTGCTTTCTCATACCGTTATAGTCTGAGCTCCGGTGCGCTTCTTCTCTTTTTCGCCAAGGTGGCCGACACCTTTGGTCGCCGGTCTCTGCTCATCTTGAGCATGGGAGCGTTTGCGGTCTCGAGTCTCGTCACTGGTTTCGCTACAAATGCCATGTATCTTGACATTCTGGCTGGCATATTAGGCCTCTGGTCAGCCGCTGCCGTCCCTCCCGCCGTGGGCATTCTGGGCGCAGCATATGAGCAACCGTCGAAAAGGAAGAACATGGCGTTTGCATGTTTCAGTGCGGGCAATCCTGTTGGTTTCGTGATGGGCACCATCTTCTCCGGTGTCGCGGCGCATATATTTAGCTGGAGATCGTCATTCTATCTACTGGCAATCATATACGTGGTGTTTTTTGTTGCTGCTATTTGGACGGTCCCGGGGACGCAGGCTCAGACTGAAAAATTCACACTTGGAACGATAAAGAGGTTCGATTTGTTTGGAATTCTTCTGAGTATGGCCGGTATTGCGCTATTCTGCTCTTCCTTGACGTAGGTTATCTTGCCCGACCCTGGCGATCCATCCACTGACTGGGACAGAATCGCAGGCGATGCTCCAAGTGGATGGAAAACCTCGTACGTGATTGTACTACTCCTCGTAGGTGTAGCTCTGATTGGCACTTTCATCGGATGGGAGTCATTCGTAAAGCATCCCCTGATGCCCTTGCGAATATGGCAAGATAGAAACTTTTCCCTGGTAAGCTGAGATGCCCGCAATGTTGCCTAGGTACTTGTTAATCAACATTTCAGATCAACACAATTGTGCTTCTGGGCTATATGAGCTTTACTACGAGTTCTTTCTGGCTATCTCTCTATATGCAGAATGTCCTCAAGTTCTCCTCCCTTGGAGTAGCGGTGCATCTTCTCCCCACAGCAATAGGGGGGATTTTGGTGAACATCGTCGCAGGATTAATCTTGCACCGCGTCAGCAACAAGCTCCTGACAGGGATTGGCGCGCTTTCGTACCTGCTTGCCGCGATCCTCCTTGCCACCATGAAGGAAGATAGTTCTTATTGGGCGTTTATCTTCCCGTCATTAATTTTCTGCGTTATCGGAGCCGATCTTCAATTTAACGTGGCGAATGTAAGCTCCTCCCACCCTCCTCCACATCTGACCCTTGCTGACGATATCTAGATGTATGTGATGTCTTCTCTGCCTCCTGCACAGCAATCGCTCGCGGGTGGCATCTTCAACACGGTTAACAGGCTTTGCGCCGCGATCGGTCTGGGGATCTCTACTAGTATCTACAATGCGGAATCTGCGGGTACTGCTGCATTACAGACGGCGGTCAGGCCGTACAAGATGGTGTTCTGGTTTACTGTTGCGGCGGCTGCTGCAGGGTTAGTCTTCGTTCCATTCCTGACGATTGGGACACAGGGGCATACCTCTAGGCCCACTTCTGTGGTGAGCTTGGATAGAAAAGCTGCTGATCAAGCTGGTGGGGGTGATGGGAACTTTGATAGAAAAGCTGCTGTGAGAACTGAGGAGGTCTCTGTGCCACCGACTGACTACAGGGAGAAGGGAGAGCAATTGATGGTTGAAAATCGGGTCTAGACAGCGACAGTAAAGGCCTTAAATCATACTTATCTATTGGCTGTGTTAAAACTGCGGCAAACAGAACATGTAAAACGATTAGATACCACGGCATGGTATGTTGAACTTTTGGTCTCCATTGCGAGTCGCTATCAAAGCCAGCTCCAGCCCTTATTACTGAGGTTGAGTTGCGGAGGAGACGCATCCGGCAAATCACAAACAGCAGGAAACGTTCGAGACTTGAACACTGGGTTCTCCGGACCACAGTACATGTGTAGGCTTTGCCTACGCTGCCTCTACTCGGCCAAATCCAATTGAACAGCGAGACGATCGAACAACTCGAACTCCATCCTCTCAGCAGCCTTTGGGCCCCTGAGAATACTACCAACTATATCAGAGCCAGGTGGAAAATCGTGCTCGAACACGGGCTCCCCAGCACCCTTCATATTAACAAGCACGGCTTGTCGGAAGTGCCACCGCAAAAGCTCGTCTGGTGGCCTTTGCGGATTATCGAGAAATGTTTGGTCAAGATGCCTTCCAGCATTACCCTTAAGAATACGCCCAAAATCCACAATCTTGTAATTATCCTAAAAGGATTAGCTGCTGTATCTTTACAAAGATTATATATACATACATCAGGGTTTATGGAGAAAAAATACCCGTCGAAGTGCTGGTGTATATCGGCGCGAAGCAGTAGTCCATTTTGTACGGAGTTGATAGAACCTCCTGTAGTTGAGGGGACGGTTATCCAGCGGCCATAATTTTGATTGACCCAGTGAGTCTGATGAGCCAACGGGAAGATATGCGCTGCCTCAAAACCGGACCAATTAGGATCAGGAGTATAAGGGACTTCTTCTTGTGTGACAATACATCGATTGTCTCGCAAACGGACGGCATTTCCAAATGCTGGGATACGAGTTCCACTACCTTGAGACTGAACACGGAATAGCGGCACTTCGTTATTGATTTGCAGGGGATCTACTAGTGGGTTAGCTAGAGAAAGGTGCTGTGAATAAAGACGTACGAGTAGAATGTATATAATATTTGCCAGGCTGGAGTTGAGAGCCGTCCTTCTGTATTGTAACACCATTTTCGTTTGAAATCGTATATTCCCCATCCAAGAATACCCAAACCTCTATCATACTATAAAGATTCATATTCGTAATACCAGTCGTGCATTTGAGACCCCCAATCTCAGTTTCCCGATCGCTCGCGTCGAATATCTGTACGGTGCGCCCGTTGGAGCGCTCCATGTGTAACTCGACCAGTTCTTCGGACTGCGACAGAGAGAAGATGTTTTCAGGCCGTGGAATAGAGTCGTCAGGGGCTTTCAGAGTGTTTTTGGGTGGGACAGAATATTCAAGGGTGTCTGGGTAGGAGTGTGCAGAATGGCTGTGGCGAGCAGAAGAAGAGAACGAGGACGGGGACGAGGACGAGGATAAGGACGACATCGTGAAGAAATGGCGGGCGTGTAGTAGAGCGTGAGGATAGCAGATTATTCCAGATGATCAGGACGGATCTAGAGACGCAAACGAATAGGTGAGAGGCCGGAGTGTCCTAGAATTTAGGACTAGATCGGTAGGGCTGCGAGCAGCCACGAGACCCAGGGAGAAAGCGAGGTCACTCATACCAGAATGGCTACTGGTCTGAGGGAGAGAGCTGAACATTGGCATTGATCGTAACAATGGTATCGCTATCATGTAGTATACGCATGCGGGTCACGACGAGATGGATTCTTGGATGGAATCGATATCGCTGATCTCATTGTGGGGGCTGACTAAGATACCCCGGTCTAATGAGTGGCTGCCAGTCAGTGCCTCAGGCTTCTAATACCACAACAAAATTGCTGATACAAGGCAGATATCTGGCTTGACGAAATGGCTCTTTATGACCAGCGCAATGATTTCATAAGTTATAACAATAGCTGCTTTGTACCCTGAGGGAATGGAGGTTAATATAGTAGTAGAGGGATAAAGGAGAAAATAAGAAGAGGCGCTCCTTCGGGACGAGCCGCCGCTATGATCCATGCACGGGCCAAGTGCACAGACTGGACGACATGTCTCGTCGACTTCATGGCAATATATATGCGTATACAACCAGAATTCATAATGAGATGTCGTTTTGATGATACTCTGCGATCTTGCTCAGGTGTGAAAGAGACTTCAAGTGTGGTTTTCACCAGTGCACCTGCCCGTTTGATATCTGTGGTAAAAGACAAAGGGTGCTGAGCTGGTAATGATCATGGCGAAAATTTTAACCAAATCCGACACCAGCATACAGCTCTGCTCCATCAAGGATGGGTGGAAGACATTATAGTTTTCTATGTTTAATATTTGCTAGGATATCATGGATTGTCTACCTAATCCCATTCCTCCTAATGAAGGGATACAGCAGAAATCCACAGACAGAACGCAGTGGCAGCAAAGAACCAGGAAGATAAGGCTCAAGCTGGGCCTCTTTTCTGGATTGATGTTGAATTATGCATGAATCTTAGGGAATTCTCTACTCTAAACGTCAATCTAGCCTTAATCGCATCAGCCCCCAGAGTCATTCGACATAACTCCCAAGTTGGATGCATAGCGTACTGACCTTGGAGACTTAAATATGATCCTTGAACCTGAACCCATATATCAAAGTCTCTGTGTCTTCATATCTTTAAACTTTTTTGCTTCGTTGTTCGAGATCGAAACCCCAGCGTTAGGTAGACCCCGCGGTGTAGGTTCAGTCGAGCCTTGCTATTGGATACGGATGGTTCACGATGGTAGTTTCGAGCATCACCTCTCCTAATTCTTACTATAAATAAGTTCTGTTGTTAGCTCTCCTCCTCTTCTTTCTTCCTTCATTTTTCATCCTGCTCGACCACAACTTACGTTGTGTTCAGCACCTCACAAACCATCACCACTGCCTCTTCCCATCAACACAAGACAAGTATTTGATCATATCTCACTCGGTTAATTTTCGCTAATTCAAGCAGGATGTCTGAAGCACCTGGTGAGAACGAGGCTCCTGGAGCTAGTAAGTATAAACATCCCATCCAGCTTGTGCGATCTGACTCCCTCAGCTATCAACAGACTCCCATCACCCACCCCAACTGCCAGCACGATGCAGTCCAGCATCACCCTCAAGCCGCTCAAGTCCGAGGGCACTACCTCTCATGGCAGTGCGCCTGGAAGCCCAACTGAGGTTGGAACCCCAACTGCATCTGGAACCCCGACTGGACCTGGAACCCCAGTTGATATTGAGAATATCTCCGCCTACTACGCTTCCCAGAAGCTCAAGCAAGCCCAGCAGGAAAATGAGGCAGGCCCGTCTGATGAAACCAAGTCTGCTGCGGCCAAGCCTGTTGCAGCCAAGTCCGGTGACGGCAATGCAGGTGGAAAGAATCGCAAGAAAGCCAAGACCTTCGAGCCATACGATGTCACCGAGCCCATGGAGCCCGAGTTGTGTTTCCCCATGTACGGCATCTTGACAAACATCACCGAAGACGCCGAGAACTGGTACCATCAAGTCCGCGTCATCCTCTCCTACGGTATCGAGGACATGAACTTCGCTGGTGGCAGATTCAAGGTCAGTATCCCTATCTCTTTCCTCTCATCTTGAATCGCGTCTTCCTGATCAACAACCATACTTCATTCACTTTTACCTATAATTTTATCTAGAGATCCAGCTATTAACTACCTACATCCACAGGGCATGATCACCGGCACGTACCCTCTCCGCGACTCCCTCAACAAGATAATGCTGTCTGACGTCGTCACTCCCGCCGAGAGGGCCACGCTCATACGCTTCGGCCGCATCTACGCCAAGACCCAAGGCGACTCGCGCGACGGCGTGGTCATCGACGACGACTACATCCAGGCGTGCGGTCTCGCCGGTCTCCGTTCAGCGCTGGCCGTCATCTTCAACAGCGAGGCCGAGCGCCGCAAGTACGCCCCCCAGCCAGCCACGGACGCCGAGAAGCTCAAGGCTATCCAGGACACGATTGCGCGTCTGGAGCTCAACAACAGCGCCTCTTCCACTACGGGGTCGGGTGACAAGTCGGTCGAGCAGTCCTCTCATAGATCCGCTGATGCTTAGCTTGGCTTCCTCATCGGCGCGGCGTTCTTCTGGAGTCCACAGAGTTGCGGTTTCGTTCATTCAAGGTCTTGATTCTTCTTTTCTTTGGACCCTAAACATGCATGGATTTCACGAGGCGTATGGAGCAAGGAAGCATGAGGCATCTAGGACTTTTGATACCCCAGCATCGCTGCTTAGTCGTCACCTTGCATTGCGTTGCATTACGTTACATAAGAAAGCTATCAATCAGATGAAATGAAATGATTGATTCTCAACATAAACTTACCAGCCTGGCTAACCCACTGAAACTGCGATATATATCCGTCTCGGTATTGTAAGGTATCTATAATCGATCAACCAATCATTTATCTATTCATTCATTCATTCATTCATTCATTCATTGATATATTCATTTATTCATATATTCATAATCTACACAACGAGCCTCTAAGCCCATTCATTCATTTTTCATTCCCATTTCCGCCATTCCTCCTCCACGCGCCGCATTTCCATATTCGCCAGCTGCGGATCAAGCATGCCGAGACTAGCCTGCCTCTTCAGATTCTCCATATTCGCTTTATATGCCATCTCGACAGTTTTGCGCTCTCTCGCTTTCGCAGCCAGTAGTTTAAAGTCGTCTGCGTCGACGGCGGCGCGGAAGAGGGCACGCATGCGCGGTGAGTAGAGCTGGCAGGAGGCTTTAGGGAGACGCTGGAGCGCTTTGTTGAACATCATGGGAATGGCCTTTTCGTCTTCGAGTTCGGGCCAGACCACGTCGTCGAAGCATTCTTCGCAGACGGTGAACTCGGGGAGTTGGGTCATGATGTTCCACGGTCGGTCGGTCAGGTCGCGGTCGCGCTGGCATTCGGGGACTAGGGCCATTCGCTTTGCGAGGCTCACGAGGGCGCGCGTGTCGGGAGGGGCGTCTTGCTCGTCTGCTCGGTCGGCTGTGAGCTCGAGCGTGTCGAAGTATTGGATGAAGCGCTTGCTGTCAAACCGGAGATCGCAGACGCGTGCGGGGCCCATTGGTCTGTTTGGATCCCTCATGAAGATTCCCCTGATAGGCGGCAATAGGATCTCTATACTCTTGACGCAACTGGAGCAGACGTTGAAATTATGAATCGGGGTCCTGGTCTTCGGATCCACGAGGAAATGCCATTGCCGCACTGCTTCATGCTTTCCAAGACATTGGGGAGCAGTCGCGGCGACATTTGCTAGCCCATAGAAGAGATTCAGGTCTCGCCTACGCTCCTTACGCGTTAAGAGCCAGGCAATTCGATACCATGGTGAGCTACCAAAATCACATATGACTTCTGCTTCTGGTGGTCGAGGCGGGGCTTGGATAAAGAAGCGGCGGAATTCCGTGGGCGCTATTGTCGAGTCAAAGCAAGAAGGGCAGATATCAAAGGATGGGCATTGAGGTAATGTCAGCCAGTCATTACGTCCACGAGTAAATGTAGTCCGGGGACAGGTAGGAAGTGGCGCGATGCTGCCACTCTCAAGGTCCTCCGATAATCGACGATATGAACCAACTGGATTGTCCGTCTTTGACGGAGGCGGTTGAAAGGGAGGAGGTTGCCAATATGGAGATGGAGGTGCTGGTCTTGCGCTTGTGTTTCTCGTATCATCATATTGAGTAAGTGGCACTGTTCGGCGATTTTCGATTGGGGTATAAGGGTCAGTTCTCGGTGGTGTAGCCACTGGAAGAGATTCTGGTGGTGGTGGGTATGTCTTTGCGCCGGGTATGGGAATTGGATTTGCCTGCCGCGATCTTGGTCGAGCGATTGGGGAATCCGTTGGGTTCAGTCGATCGGCCGAGGACCGTGGTGTATCAGGGGCAAAGGAAAAGGGGGACACGGGTCCATCGACAGGGCTTCGACTACCACTCCTTTGTGGAAATGTCTCTGCTCTCTCTCGGTCGACCCTAGGCAACTGGATTGGAGATGCTTTAGGAGAAGGCAGCGGAGAAGAGTATTTCCTGCTAGCAGGTTTGAATTCGCCAGACGATCTGTTGGACCTGGATCCTCGATATCGGTCATCCTCCTCCGCTTGAAGTTCCCGGTGTCTGTGATGCTGATGAGGACGGTGACGACGTCTACGACTCCTCTCCGAATCACTATCCCCGGTGTCCGAGTCACTGCTATAGTAATGTCGGCCGGAGCGTGATAGGGATCTACCAGAACGTCGGCGGTCTGTATCTACCGACAGCTTGCTCGAATGTGGAGATGAACGCCTGTCTCTGCGACGACCATAGTCCTCCTCCGATAATTGCTGCAATCTTGTTAACTTATCGTTGGAATCCCGCCTCAATCTGCTGCCGGTTTCATAACTGCTACTACTGCGTTTCTCTTGCAGAGGGGTCCCGCTGGCTCGTTTGGCGCTGGACGGAGTGGCTGATCTGCCTCCAAAACTTTCCACATGCTGTCGTGGACTAGAAGCCGGGAAAGAATCCTTCGGAAACCTCTGCACATCTGGTGAAAGCAACTCGCCGTGTGTTCGAGAGTACGAGGTTGCTTTTGGTGTCAGGTCGCGGTCTCCAGAACCAACCGATTGAGCTGATGAGCTTCTCCGGAACTGCGGTGGTATATCCCGCGGGACTTTCGTCTGCAGAGCCGGCAGATCTTGTCTGCTACGTCGCCGATGGAGGCTCTCCTTCAATGGCTCTGGTTGTTTTGTCGGTCGGCTCGCGCCCTTTGGAACGTTCGCATCCTTACGATCCGACGTGTTGTCGGTTTTTGGAAGCAGCACGAAGCGCCGTTCCGGGTTGTCGTCCTCCTTTGCACATGGAGGCGATGCGTGTAATCTTGTGGCCTCCGCTGATGTGACGTCCGCCTCGAGAATGATCGGGTGCTGGTCGATGGTGCCCCGCAGCGGAGGATCGTTGGATGTAACGGCGGGGCGACCCGACTCTCTCGCCAGCGAGACAGCCTCGTCTTCGACTGTTGGTCGTGGCGGTGGTCGTCCACGAGGTCCTCGACTCGGGCTCCGGACTCGAGGAGGGATGGCATATTCAGTAGGTCTCAGTAAGGACGGCGAGCTGGTAGAGGCCGACTGGGGGGTAGAGCTGTACGATGGTTAGCTGCGATGATACAAAGTTATAAATATACTGCGGTTCGCGCCGCGGACGACTGACCACGAGGGACTCCTTCCTCTGGCTGTCTTGAAGTATCCATTGACCAGAAGCTCATTCACATCTCGTCTCTGAGTGGTCTCCATGATGGAGACCGATCTAGTGGAGGTGGGAAGCAATCCAGTGGCAAGGGCAGGCCATAGAATCGAAGAATAAAACGCACAAAATTCTGGAAGCGTGTGTCTGATGCGCCGTTCACATTATTATAGGGAAAGATGGATAAGAACGCAGCTCGCACGGCGCGATTGTTGGCTGAGAAGAGATGGTGTTTGGAGTTGGAAGTTTAGAGGTGCAGGATTCCCCTTGTGAGGAGACGGGATTGAGGCGCAAGCTTGTTGGATGGAGGGATGCGATGCCGTTGGATTGATGCCCCTCACGACTCCACAGTGACATCTGATCGGGACATTTAACGAACAGAATGGAGAGGCTGAGAGGGTGAGAGAGATGGGGTTTAGATCCGATTCGATCTAATTCACACAATTCGACGAATGCGAGAAAAGAGCGATCAAAGAGCGGTGGGGAAGGGAACGCCGTCTGCGTGAGACGGGATAGCTGATATGTATGTATGGCACTGTAAGCTGTGGCTATGTTATGGTCTGGTCTATGATACAATACCGGGGCGCATATCTGCATGATGGTCTGCATGTCCTCCCGCAAAGTCGATATATATTCCGAATTGTCCCAGCGAATTACCTGGTGTCTGTTCCTGGGGAGATGGATGATCTCAAGCCTTGTCTTGCCAGCTCCCACGTCTGCTTGGCTTCTCCCACACGATTGCTTGCTCTCGGGCAGTTCTTATGAGGAATCCAAGGTGTGGTGGTCTTGATATTATTGTAGGAATCAGGATGGTTTTGTTTCATCTCTCACAGGCATAGAGCTGGGACTGCAGACCAATCACGTCGACGGCTCGAGACACAACTCTCCGACCTGAGGGTTCCAACCGCGTCCTGTATTATGTATGTATGTGTAGGTGGTATACAACTATGTGTACAATGATCTTCTTCCCCCCAGATCTTATTCATCCATCCCTCTCTCCCCCATCAACCATCGGCATCACCATCCATCCTCCCCTTCCTTATAATCCACCAAGCGCTCCAAGATATCCTTGTCCCCGGGCCCGAACGACGGGTCCTCCAAGACTTTGGCCTCCTGCTCCTCGATCTTCTTCAACATCTGCCTCTGCCTCTTGCGCGCCTTCTTCCCCCACTCGGCGCCCGACGTCGTCTTGTCCGCCTCCTGCTCCTCTTCATCCTCGCCGCTCTCCTGCTCGTCCGCCGGGTCCTCGAGCCCCCTCAGCGCATTCGGGCTGATCTTCGCCTTCGCCGCGACGCCCGCCGCGTCGGCCGCGCGCTGCTTCGCGAGCTGCCGGTCCTGGATCTTCTTCCCGATCTTCACGAAAAGGGGCCGGATGAGGAAGTACGCGCAGACGACCGTCACGAGCCGGATCCAGCGGTACGAGTTCATGTTGGTGAAGGCGTGCGTGACATTGTAGATGAATCGCTTGAGGAAGTACACCACGTAGTCCTCGATGATGTCGACCATCTTTGATAGAGAGGAGAGTGAGTAGGCGGATGAATGGATAGAATAGATAGATAGGTGGCTTAATGAGGCGTAATGTGGCAGATTCGGATTCTTTATTTCCTTTCCTTTTCTTCTTTTCTCCCTTTCCTTCTAAACAATCGATTTCCCAGCCGCACCGATAATCCGTAATTCGAACCTCAAGAAATTCCGCGTTGGTGAAGAGAGGAAGTAGTAGGTAGGGAAATTGCTTTCTTTCTTCACTCTAGGGAATTTTCCGACTTCTTTTCATAAGGCTGAATAGGCCAGAAATTAATTACTGAGACCACCGGGCCGTTCGGTTGAACCTCGGGAAGCGCGTCACCCTCTGCAAACAACGCGTTCTCTCCAACTCCTGGGGTGAAGCAAAAGAACAACACCATTTATTTATCCAGTAAATAAATCAGCAAGAAAGGAAAAGAAGAATGGCAGATCAAATGGATGATGCACTTCGCGATGTACGTTTTATTACCCCTCCCCCCTTTTTTCTCCCCCCAACACATCGCAGCACAGCACATTGAACTAACCCCCACTGTGACCTCACAGCGACTCAAAGCCTCCCTCTGGTTCTCAGTCGGCAAGATCGTCGATGAAGAATCATTGCGTTTAAACACAAATGCTACGCCTCAGTTCATCGGTGCTTTGACTGAGATGGTATGGATGCAGATCGGTACCTCCCCTCTTATCCCCCTTTCCCCTCTTCCCCCCCTTCTTTCCCAAACAAACCGCTTCTCCAACACTAACACTAACTAACACACACCTCCCCCATCTAGAAAACATAGCGACAGATCTCGAAACCTTCGCCGCGCACGCAGGACGCAGCACGATCACAACAGCTGATGTGTTGCTTATAACACGTAGAAATGAGGCTTTGCAGGGTATGATTAGGGAGTTTATAGATAGGGAGAAGATGAAGAATGGAAGGGGAAGGGGGAGGGGAAGGGGGAGGGGGTGAGTTGGGAGGGGGGTGTGGAGAGGGAGAGGGATGGGTTATTGGATTATGGATTGGTTTGGATTGGTATGTGAATAGAGGAGAGGAAAGTCGGGATGGGATGGCTGAAGATGATGATTTAGGGGGTAGAGGAGGGGAGGGGAGGGAAAGGGGGGGAAGTGATGGGAGGGGCTGGGGAGGCTGAATGCAGATGGCCAGAGGATGGATGAATACCTTAGACAAGGGGATATGTTGTTAAGGGCGAGCGATGATGGAGTGATAGTAGTGAGAAGTTGAGAATCATACGACAGAGGCCTCAGATATTACGAGGCAGCCAGCATCTCAGTCTCATTCAGACAGGGAGAGTGCTTCAATTCAAGAACACTATATGCAATTCAATCAATCAAATCAATTCATCATAACAAAGCTGTCGATTTCAAACTTTTTACATGTAGTTTCATCATCAAAACATATATATATGGCGCGGGGCTTGAACCTGCCATCATTGCGCCCCCCCCCCCAAAGAGAAAACAAAAAATAGCCTCCAATACCCATCAAATCCATCCATCCATTCATCCATCCATCCATACGCCAAGCCCCGGACCACCAAGACCTATCCAAGATTCCCAAGCCCCCTATTTACCAACCCAAATCCCAACCCTCCTTCCTTGCTTACGCGAGAGGTCTCGCCTCTGTCGACGCGTTATTGCCAAACAGGTCCTGCCCATCGGGCTGCACCACCTCGGGCAGCGGGCTATTCAACCTGCTCCAGCCGGGCGCCTGATCAATCCAGGTCATGTCGCCCATGAAGCCGCCGCTCTCGCCGTGGGCGCCCTCCTCGAGCGGGACGTTCCACAGCTCGTTGCCGTTGTCGAAGGTGAGGAAGTCGTTGAGGTCGACATCGCCCGTGAGGGAGTTGCCCATGGTCGGGAACTCCATGCCGTTCATGTTGCTGTTGCCGAACTGGTCGCCTGAGACGGCGTTCTCGCTGTCGGGCGTGCGCGCCGAGATGGCGTTGTGGAGGTTGTCGGGCCGGCCCACGGGGATGCCAATGTCGACCATGCCGCTGCTCTGGAGATCGATGTCGATACCGTGCTCGTCGCTAGGAGGTGTTGTCCTGCGCGCCGCTCGGGAGCGGTGCTGCATCTCGGTGGCTTTGGCATTGTCGTGTCGCATCCTGTGGTTCGAATTCCTCATCATGACATCGATGTCTGCTTTCCGGATTGCCGCCTCGAGGAACTGGGTAGCGAAATCTGCCGACGCGTAGTTATCCCGTAACTTCTCGAGTACGAGCATGCACTGACAGAAACCATCCATGGCAGCTTGGCGGGCGTCATCGTTACAAGACTTAATGTCCAGGAGATGGATAATGATAGCCGGGAGAAGGACAGTGACCCCGGTCGTAGGCAGGTACCGCTCGAGGCCACGAGCGTGCAGATCCTGGGAGACGCGGGTGATTTCTCGTGAGGCTTCGCGGACCTTTTTCCTCGAGCTATCTTGCAATTCCCGGCTGCCCTCAGGTTGAGAGATCGCGGCCGAAGGTAGAACTTGAGGTCGGTGTAATGCGGATAGCGTGGTGAAGTATACCATATGCAACAGGGCTCTTTGTACGAAGACAGGGGCGGCGCTGTTTCCAACGCCCATCTCATTGGTATATTGACAGCAAGCAGGAAGCTCGTTGACCCACTGGGTCAGTTCGTCATCACAGCGCTCGACCTCATCCGTCTGATCCAATTTCTTGGGGAAGAGCATCACGCTGGAGCGAGTACTGCCTTCCTGACCTTGCATCCCTTGACACCGGACCAAGACCGAGTATTGGGCGCCCAAGACGTGACTGATGCACAAACAGAGCTTTGCTTTTGCAATGCACATGTGTGCCAATTCCCTCTGTGCGTCCACATCTCTGATCAGTGTGCAATCCGACGGGATTATGGTGATGCTATCAGAAAGCGGAGCGATCTCGAAATCGTCCTCCGTGAGCATTGGCACATCGTAATCCTCGTCCTTTATTCTCGTTGGGCGCCGCATGCCCAGTGCGACCAGACGATCCCGCATGAAACACGACCACCAGATCCGTTTCCACAGCTTCTTCTTATTCGGCTCCATGTTGGAGTTTTCCGGATTCCTGTGCAGCCCGATCGTGTGTGCCAGTGAGATCGCAACACCCATCCAATGCCATGTGTCTTTCTGGTCATCCGGGGTCTCGTACCAATATGTCATGAGGAGGAGTGACTGGACGAGGGAAACGCGGTCGATCTCGTAGTCAAAGTCGTAGAGAACCTACTGAAGTTAGCCAAGAGACTGTAGACGGCACTTCCACAGTACGCACCCTAGCTTTCTGGAAAAACGCTTTCCTCGCAGCTTTTCGATTCGTGTAGCCCGCAGCCCTCAAGAAGTCCATATCTACGAAGGCTGTGCCCACGAACATGATGGCCTGGAACAACAGCAGACTGATCTTCTCGGGCTCGCCAGTCCCATCGTCGATGATCTGGAGGAGCTCGTGGATCTCGACCAAGGGCATATATGGATGTACGTATTCGATGTAGGCCCGAAGGAGCGCATTTCGAATCGGGATGTCGGGGATAGAGAGGGCGCCCTTCGCGTAGAGGTAATCGATGTCGGCGGAGGTCATCCGCTGCGGGAGAGGTTTGAGATAGTCCGGCAGGATGTGCTTGAGCACGGGCGCGGGAGGCATGGACGGTGATGCCAATCGCGTCGCGGTCCTGTCGCCATGGAAGGAGGCCAACTTGAGCAGCCCGTAGGTCGGATCCGAGTCGTAGGGCGAGGAGATAAAACTCTGACGCCGCCGGATCTCGCCCTTGTTGATCTGCTGGTTCACGTTTTGGTCTGGTGGTCAGCATGCACAGATTCCTGCTCGTGCTTCGTGCTTACAGATTGAGTGAGGCACATGCTGGGAAGCATTGAGGTCGCTGCCTCCGATGTCATTCGACAGGGGGATCGATCCGCTGCCTCTGCGCGCCTCAGCACCGACGATGTCTGAGGGGTTGACGATGCCCTTCTGCCAGGTCTGCGCGCCTCCCTCCGCGGTGGGAGTCTGGCCAGCGGTGGAGGTTGGAGCTGGGGCAGCATTGAGATGCTTCCTGGGTTCGCCGCGGGTCAGTATTTTCAGCCCACGCACTCGGGGACTTCGCACCGGTACTCACTTCCGCCGTTTGCTCTCCTCGATCACGCACTTGATGCCGTCCATCGCACAGTTCGTACAGGTGACCTCACCGTCCGCCGTGACATGATACCTCTGGGTCACATCGCACCGCACCTTGCGGGCTCTGCACCCAGCGCAGGCCTTGGCGGCTCTCCTCTTGACGGGCTTGGGATTGCCATTGCTGTCGAGCCCGGCAGCGGTGCTCGTTCGTTTTTTCGACGCGGACGAGGTCGAGGGCGGTGATTGAGGGTCCTGGGCGTCCTTCCCCTCGATCGGGGTGCTCCTGTCGGGGCTCATGATGGGGTAGAGGGCGAGCCGGTCAGGTCGAGGCGAATATCATAGGAGGACGAACCAGAGGATGGGCAGCATGTGATGTGAAGGGCGCCAAAGGGTCAAGCGAGAAAAAAAGGAGCAACGCCGGATGCTGGCCCAGACAGGACAGACAGATGAACAACAGATGCAATCCGAGAAGTGAACAGACGGAGTTACGGAAGAGGTCGATGAGGAAGGGGAGAGCAACTGGCTGTCCAGAAGACGGGAGAGTCTGAGCCTTCAAAGAACAAGCAAGCCGGAAAAGGGTCGCCGGTGGGGTGGGGGGGCTCTGGTGCTTAAGTACTGTGTAGGCCGTGGGCAAGGCAGAGAGGACTGGGACGGGAAACGGGTAAGGTACACAAGGACGGATGGACTACTACGGTGTCTGGCCTATGAGTTTGGGACTATAACGTATGGAACTATGGAGCACTGGAGATAGCAAATTGTGGAGTATGAGGAACTAAACTGGTTGTGAGCAAGGAGGCAAGGAGAGGGCCTCCCTAGTCACGGCACGGGGGGGGGATCCTCAACCTTCGAGCCTCGACGATTACTACTTATTTACTACTCTGGGGCACGCCGCATTGCCTCTTACAGTTACGGGGCGAGGGGTAGTTGGGTTGCTAACTTACCACTGTGGTATTCTGCGTGGTATTATTGGGTCCTGATGACTATTCCTAGGGTCGAGTTCCTTGTAATGAAGACAAGGAGTCTAGAGGAGAGGAGAGGAGAGGAGAGGAGAGGAGAGACGGCGGACAAGCGGAAATGCGGACGGATTATTCCCAGCAATTGCTCCGTACATACATGAACAATACTGCTCAGCATGGCCATCCAGCATTTCCCACGCAGCAGGCTCAACCAGAGATGCTCCGTCGAAGGGATGAGATCGAGTGCCACCACCGCCGCCCGCCCCCCCAACGCGCGCCCATTAACCATTAATAAACATGGAGCTGGAGCTAAGCCCGTCGACATGGACCAGGGCGCTGGACGAATCGCAGGGCGCGTAAAGAAAATACTATCTACTTAACAAGTTAACGCAGGCTACGCAGCAGAAAAAAAGGAGTCGGCCTTCTAGCCCGGACTCTGCTTAGTCGAGTCGCCCCTGGGCCCAGCGGCGGGTCACGGGGGGTTTGGATTTCTGGGTATTCTCCACTACGTCTGCGGTACTAGGGATTTGACAATCGTGCTGGGCCAATACCGGGGGAACTTACCAAGGGCCGCCGTGCAAAGTAATCATTTAATGCCTCTTCTAGTGACCGACTTGCGGGCTCTGACGAGTCGGCGCCATCGAGGCCCGGATTTGTGATGCGTCGCGCAGAGTCAGGAGTCAGGACACGATGGCTTCTGCGGAAATTGATTTCCAGAGACGTGAATCGTGATGGACGGCTGGCTCCCAGGGGGAGGGCGAAGAGCGAGAGAAGGAGAAGTGAGCGAAGATCGGAAAGAGAGGCCAAGGAGGAGGCATGAGGGGAGAAATCCGTGGAAATCCAGAATAAATGAGAATAAAAATAAAAATAAATAAAAATAAAAATACAAATAAAAATAACCAAAAAGAGAATTAGATAATTAAACAACGGCGTCATGTGGGCGCCAGCAGGGGTGCAGCCCACCTTTGCCCAGAGCCCACTTCTCCAGCTTTCTGGAGTACTTACGGAGTACTTAGTGTTAGTGGTGTTGAGAGAGGCGTGGTGCGGACGAGAACGGAGTAGCGGGCTGTGGAGAAGAAGGGAGGGAAGGGATTCAAGGGAAGAGACATCCTGAACCTGGCCGCAGCTGACAGGCACACACACATGGCCAATGAATTGCCTTCTTCCCCCGCCGACGTCGACGTCCTGGTTTCCGGGAATAATCGCTGCGTGTTGTGTTGTGTCGTGTGTGAGTGAGGAGGGAGAGAAGTAAGAAATTGAGAAGCCATTGAGCCACACAGCCCACGATGGGACAAGACAGGGAAGAGAAGAGCAGCCCGCAACGCAGACGACCGGGTCTTCGGCCACGCATCCCTCTCTTGTCTGGCTGGTTCTCCTGTCCTTCGTCTCTCTCTTGGTCGGGTCTGGGTCTCTCGGTTGGGGCCGGTCGAAGCGGTATCGAGGGAAATGCGTCATGATCGTCGAGAACTCTCCAACGTCGAACACGGAGCACGCGCGTGTTGCGGAACCGCGTATACAACTATAGCCAGGTTAGGATAAATAGTAGATACTAGATAGATATCTGCACGCATCCGCATCCGCATCCGCACCTGATCCAGCCAAGGGCGCGCGCGCGTGGGATTGCGGAGAAGAGAGACAGACCTCCAGACCTCCAAGACTTCCAGACTTTCCAGAACCCATCCCGCATTATCTCCCCTCGTCCAGAGAAGATACCCAATGCATCGTAGTTCGCTCGTCAAAGGCGTCTCGTTTCGCAAAATATCGCGCAGAGGCTTTGATTGCCACCACAAGAGAGATGGGTGGGTCGGGATCGTTTTCCCGGTATTTGCCGTCCAGCTGCAATAACCGAACATAGCCGAAGAAAACGGCCGTGCGTTGGATGGGCCATGTACAAGAGCACAAGGTACCTAATAGGGGATGGAAATGGATGTCACTGTAGTAAGGTATCGACTTGCACAGGAATCAGTTGCCGGTAAGGAGTAAAGGTAAAGAAAGATGCATCGTCAGCTTCATGTTCACGTGTTGATCATGGTCTAACGGTATGTCCTTGCCTTATGATACAATGCTACGCACGTACTGCAAGGCACTCCCACAGTCGTGTGTCCTTCGCCTACAAGTACCCAAAAGAAGACGCTGCACCAGAGAGAGAACAGAGAGAACAGACTCCTTCACATGTGATTCCGCTCGTGCGAGACAGACGCTGTGATGAGGATGGAGGTTCCAGAATCCGGGACCTGCAAAGCCCGGCATGGGGATATGTTATGTGATATAAAGTATGTCAAGTGACGATACGATCGGGTCGCATCTGGTAGACCTCTTCCCATCGGTGGCCAAGTAGTCACGGCCATGAGCACTCGAGCTGTGTCCGCTTTGTATAAGTATATACCTACCTACACGGCAACATATTTGTATGTCCCGTTTCCATCACTCATTGGCACCTCTCAGTCAGAGCCCGTTGCCATCGTCTGTCTCCATGAGAAGAGCAACTCCACTGTCAAGCCATGCAGTTGAGGATCGGGTCCCAAACTTCCTTGCCACGTCGTCTGCGCGTCGAATATGGCATCCTGACAGGGCTGACTCTGCCATCCCGAATCTCTGTTTCTTTCCTCATCACTTCCCCCTTCTCAAAAACCCCCTTTTCCTTACGGACCTTATCATCTTCAAACGGTATCGTCACGTGATCTTATCTTCACCTCCAGAGAAGTCCTACTTCACTTGAAGCCCAGAGCCCAACACTCGCCACACCACACCCCATCTCCTTCATGCATCATCATCACAAGTCTTGAAAACAATAGACCCTGGCGGACACGCTGGATTGACGAGCACCGACGCCATGAAAGTTCGTATTCGCAGTAACTTCACTGGCAAGATCTGGACTTGTTTGCTTTGAGTCAATATTTGATACCTACCTACCTTACCTACCTACCTTACCTACCTACCTTACCTATATTGAAATGACCATACCACCCCCTCAAAAGAAGCCCCTTTTTTCATATAAATATCTTCGCCTTCGAAAACCCATCCACAAGATCATCAACCAACCCCCTCCCGCTCCGCTCTTCCCTAGTCCACCAAGACAGACCAATATCCCGAATCCCCTATTTTATGCACCCCCACCCCATCAATCCCATCATCTTCACACAAACAAATAAAAAGTAGACAAGTAAGGTAAAGTAAGGTAAGGTAAAGTAAGGTAAGGTAAGGAAACGACTTCAGCCAGCAAAGGGACATACATCATGTTCCCCTTCCCCCCTTTCCCCCCCAAAAGAAATCTCCGACTATTCCCCCCATTCCCACTGTACCTACCTTACCTACTCTCCTACATGCACTTGCCTTCTTCCTCCCACCTTCCTTCCACCTCACCCCCCACAAAAAGAAAAGCCCTCTCAGAATAATGCGCCGCACAGCATGAAACTTCATTTCTTCTGAAGGGGGGGGGGGGTGAGGAGGGTTGGGGTTAGGATTGGGGAAAAGTGAGGAAGTTAGAAGTTATAAAAGGTGATAATGAGGAGTTGAAGTTTGATGTTTGAAGTTTGAAGGTAGAGGGGTAGGATGAGGAGGGGGTAGGGTAGGGTATTAGGTAGGTAGGTAAGTAAGGTAGGTAAGGAGGTAGGTAGGTAGATGGATTGGACAGGAGAGGAAAGGGAAGGTAAATATTTATAGATAAAACACAACTATCATCTTTCTCCGCGGTAAATGGAAGGAAGCGATCCCCACTTGTGGATAACCTCGGGATTCCAGACTAAAAGCTGGTAAGTAGAATAGTAATCTACTCTCTCTCTCTGTATATATATACATACCTCTATTCGAAACTCTTTCGAAATTCTTCACATCTATATCAGAAGACTTTCTTTTTTTTGTATTTTTTGGATTCAATCAACGGCTAGCGATATCTATATACAAGGAGCACACCTATATACAGTTCATATATAGACCAAGGCTAGACCGCGACGCCACCCGTCGTAAAACCGATGCCATCCCATGCCAAATCCCATATCCCGAGCCTCCTGTGTACACACGTTCAATCGTTTCGTCAAGGTTGAGGGTGTCATTGTCGCGTTGCGGGCATTTAGGCGTTGATCTTCTCGCGCTGTCCGTAGGAGCGGGTGGCGTAGTCTCCCTTGTAGACGATGAGGTCCTGGGGACGGTAGTCGTGTCTGCCGGAGAGGTAGCTGTCGAGGATGGCAAGGGTACCGTCGGCGTAGCGCTTCTGGGCGTCGAGGGAGGTACCGGACATGTGGGGCACCATGGCGTTTCCACCACCGAAGGGGTTCTTGGCGTAGCGCAGAGGGTGGTCCTTGGGGGCGGGTTGAGGGAACCAGACATCACCACCGTATCCACGGAGGTGGCCGGACTTGAGGGCGGCGGCGACATCCTCCTTGACGACGATGGCACCACGGGCGGTGTTGACGAGCCAAGATCCTGGGGGTGGGGGTTAGCAAGTGCGGGGCGGGAAGGAGTGTGGGGTTAGGCGACGACATACCAGGCTTCATCTTGGCGATCAGGTCCTTGTTGAACAGACCGCGGGTCTTCTCGTGGAGAGGGCAGTTGATGGTAACGACATCGCACTGGGCCAACATCTCCTCGAGGGTGTCGACTCTGCGGCAGCCAATCTCCTTCTCAACCTCAGGCTTAAGAGGCTGGTAGTCGAAGTAGAGGAGCTCCTTGCAGTCGAAGGGCTTGAGACGGCGGAGGACACGCTCACCGATACGGCCGACAGCGACGGTACCGACGACCTTGCCCTCGAGGTCGAACTCGTTCTTGGCGGCAGCGGCAACGTTCCAGTCACCAGCCTGGATCTGCTCGTGGGCAGGGACGAAGTTGCGGACCAAGACGAGGATGGTCATGAGGACGTGCTCAGCGACGGAGACGACGTTGGAGCCAGTGACCTCAGCGACGGTGATACCGCCGTTGGTCTTGTTGGCAGCGTTCAGGTCGACGTGGTCAGATCCGATACCAGCGGTGATGGCAATCTTGAGCTTCTTGGCCTTGGCAAGACGCTCAGCGGTGAGGTAACCGGGGTGGAATCTAGGGGTGTGTTAGAGGTGGTCGAGTGGAGAGGAGCGGAGCGGGAGGGAGCGGGCGGGAAGCATACGGGGTGGTGATGATGATCTCAGCATCGACGAGCTCCTTCTCGAAGACGGAGTTGGGGCCCTCCTTGTCGGAGGTGGTGACGAGGGTGTGTCCTCTGTCCTCGAGCCACTTGCGGATACCAAGCTCGTTCTCGGTGGTACCGAGGAGAGCTGGGACATCACGGGCGTGCTCACCGCCGTCGTACAGGCAAAGAAGAACCTTGACCTTTTCACGTTTGTCCGTTAGCATTCTGATATCCCCAAGACGATTGTGACGGAGGGCCGCGGCGCCGCTGGACAGGAGACTGGGCCTCTTTGCTGGGGTCCTGGCGGCAGCTGTGTACAGCGAGCGGGCGGCCGAGCCTGTTGCCAGGCGGCAGAGAGGGCGAGTGAGGAATACCATTTTGATTGATTGACTGGACCTTTGATTCTAAAGGTGTTGTGCGAGAGGTTATATCTTCCGGGAGAATGGAAGACTTATTGCGATGCGAGTTGGTAGGGATTTCAGGAGTGACGTCTATGTTTGGAGCGCACGTCAGTAAAACAGGTCTCTTGGAGGGGGGTCCAGGCCGGTGATTGGTATAGCGAGTACGTCAGGCAGTGGGTAAATCCAATACAACAGACGTCAAGCTCGCAGGTCCAGCCGCCCGGGCGGGAACTGGGAGACGATCCGCTGTGAATTGGAGGGGTAAAGGGGAGGGGAGAGCAGGGCAGAGGAGGGAGGAGGAGCGGGAGGGAGGGCGGAGGGGAGCGGGAAGCCGGAGCAGAGAGGGGAATCTCAAAGAGAGAAGAGAGAAGGCAGCGTACCTGTTGGACTATCAGATCCTGTGTAAGATGGAAGTGAAGATGATGATGATGATGTTGTTGTTGTAGAGAACAGAAGCGATTCAGGTCGAGGGAGGTCGTCCTTTTATACTGCGACGACTCTCTCGACAACAGCACCGAGTTGCCCCTCTCTCAGGCCCCTCGCGGTTTCGCACGTCGCAGCGATGACTGTGGTTGCCGTCTCCACTCCGACCATACAGTAATCAACCAGCGTTCGCCCAGCAGAGAGCCAGCCTCACGCGGCGACGTGCGCGCATTGCCCCTCCACTGAGCTTCTCTTCCTCACCATCTGCGAACAATCCGTCCTCGCCATTCGGAGGGGTCTCGGAGGGTCGGCATTGGCAGGGCGCCCCGCCAAAGCTGTGTTGTCGAAGGAACTCACGGCGGAAGCTCTGTTTTCGTTGTTTTCGTGCTCCAGTTTTCAATCTGTCCTCTTTGTGATTCTCTGTTCTGATGCTCTTCTATCCATCCATCCATCCATTCATCCATTGCAATCTCCCTCTCTCCCTGTCCCATCTGCCCATCGACTGTGGCCACGACTCGTACGGTAAGACACGCGACGTTCGGAGGCGGGGTATCCCGTATCTCGTATCCCCCTATCACGTTGCGTCATCGGCCTCGCTTCGACGGGTACCCCTCAGGGTCGTCGCATTATCGATAGCCGGCCATGTCTCGGGGACTGTTCGGCATCCACGTTCAACTCACAGCTCCCCCACATTTTCAGGCTCGGAGCTGGTTCGGTGTCCTCAACAACAACACCGCGCCCTCCACTTTATTCTATGCCTCAGCCTGGAATCTTACTTCATCAATCATCGAGCGGTGTTGTGTTTCCGGATGGCAACATCATGACTGTCTGTCCTCTTCTTTTTTTCGGTGGCGCTGGCTTCAAGGTTCATTCTTTGGTTCTGCGTCTTCGTGAAGATGGACGTGAGGAAGCGCAGGACGCATGGGCAAGCATTATTCGTTGGGCACAGTGCGATTGCGGGGTAGCGCAAAAGTGGGGTTGTCTATCACATTAACTGTAAACAACGATCCATGCCAATTATTCTCCCTTCCACCCAATAATCCCCCTTTTCCAGCCACAACCCATCATGAATAACCATAACCCTCTTTAGCCGAAACAACCCCCTTTTCCAATACAACGCAGCCAAAAGTCTCCGAAAGAAACATCGCAAAGAGGCAAAAAAGAGGAGCCTTCCTCTCAAAGCCAGAAACTATTAACAGAAACAGCAAAGTTACTAATACTCAGTCAGCAGGGCCGAAACCAGGTCGCTCCACCGCGCCGTCCGGATTCGTCGGTTCGGACGGGGGAGGGAGTTAGTTCGGGATGCGGGGCGCCTATCTGCCGCCGCCTGCTTCTCTCTAGCCTGGGTTCGTGGTGGGCACGTGTGGCGTCGCCAGGGAGAAGCGTCTGTGGGTTGTTGAGTTGATGTCAGGACCCGAGGTTGTCTCAGGAGAGAAGCTTGTGTTGCTTGGAATCGTCTGGATGATGTGAAGGATGCAGTTCTGTGTTGTGATATGATCTTATTTTTTTATCTTTCCCTTTTCTAGAGAAATTGCTGGGTTTGATATTGCTCGCCCTTCTAGCCCTCTCATGAAACAGATCTGGATCAAGAGACACGATTCGATGGCAGATCCCTCTATTCCTGTGAACCCGTCCCAGGTTTCAGATCTCACTCTTCCAATAATACCTTCCTCCTCCCTGTCTGCCCCCGCTCACCAGCCACATCCATCTCCGTCCGTCTGCTTCTAGGGAGATAGATGCACTTCCAACCACTAACCGGATGAGGATGAGGATGAGGAAGGGGAGGGTCATGGGTATATTCCGTTACCGCGGCTCATGGGGATGATAAGGAGGGTCAAGGGATAGATCAGATAGAAGGATGAAGGGATCATCGTGACTGCTGAGAGCCTGAGACCAAGGGTAACCATCTCTCCATCCAAATATTCATTCCAATACCTCTTCTGGAACACTTGAACAGAAGAGAAGGTTGGTAGTTTCATCATCCAGCACTCGCCGTCCCAAAACCACCATCATGATGCTAGGTTCTATACTCCTCAATGACTAGATCTGTGAAGTTCAAGAGAGATGTCTTCTGATTCAACCGCGCCTCATCTCCGGTCCCATCTAGAAGAAAGAGCTCACAAGACTCCATCTCCAAGCAACATAGCAACATAGCAACCAGCTCAATCTCGTCCGATCCGTTCGTCCATCTCTCCCTCTCTCTGTTGTTCCGCGCCACCAGACAACAACAAATAAACATCGGACCAGACCCAGCCATGGCTCCGGGTCGAGCCTCGACGACAAGAAGAATAAAGAATAATGGCTCACTCGGGAATCGGGGGCGCGCGAGGGTCGTCCGTAAGGCGCGGGAGGTCCCCACTGGGTTCCACCGCCCAGCGCTCGACGTAGACCGTAAAGAGTCCAGACTCCAGGGCCAGCACGCCTCCCCCTGGCACCAGGGGCGTTGAGGCTCGCGCAACGTCATTATGGGGACGACCGCCCCCGGGCGCCTTCGATCATGACTCTCGTCCCTAAGCAGCGTCCGCGCCGCTGATCCCGAAGCCGGTTGGGGCTCGGCGACTTCAGGGGAGAGGTCGCTTCTGGCATCGGAGCGTTTTTCCCCCCTTTCCTGCGCCGCCGATGCTGCTTAGAATACTTATAATCCAGATGCCGCGGCCGTCTCCCCTGCTCCTGTCCCCGGGGGCGAAAAGCTAGAAGGCGAACGGAAAGAAAGGCGAAAGGAAAGGCGAAAGGCGAACGGCGAAAGTTTCAGAAGGAAGAGAGAGAAGTTCCATGATGGATCGCTCATCACGCTCGAGTACGGCGAGTGCGTTGTCGAGCACATCGAGCACGCCGAGTACGAATGCCGAGTCGACAACACCAGCGACGGCGACGGCGACGACGACAACAAAGCCGCGCAGGAGTAGCAGAACCGCTGCAGATGCTGATGCAGATGCTGACTACGAGAAAGAGAAGGTGAAGCCAAAACCGGGCCCAGCCGCGCGCTCTACTCGGCAGAAGCTGCCGCCGGAAGAGAGGATCAATGTACGTGAGCATCTCACTCATCTCATCTCATCTCATCTCATCTCATATCCCATCTCATCTCATCTCATCCATCCCAATCTTCATATTCGTCTCATCTCATCAATCCGAACATCTCCCTCTATCTCGGCCATCCATCGCCGTCAAACCATCTCCTCAAGCACTCACCTCACCTCACCTCAACTCATCCACCTCATCCATCTCAGCCCTCCCTCCCCCAGCCCTCTCTCGTAGCAACTCTCATCGTAGATCTTCCTCTTTCTCTTTCCCCAACTAACAAACCCTCCCAGAAACGCCGCGACCAGAACCGCGTCTCCCAGCGCGCATTCCGCCAACGCAAAGAGAAGCACGCCCGCGAGCTCGAAGCCCGCGTCGCCGAGCTCGAAGGCCTCCTCGAGACGGCCACCCGCGAGAGCTGCATCGTGGCCTCCAAGATGTCCCGCATGGAAGGCGAGCTGCTCTACTACCGCAAACTGCTCTTCTCGCGTCCCAACGCCAGCGGTCTGCGTCTCTCCTCATCCAACACCCCCAATGCTCACCCTGCCGCCGCCCCTCCATCCTCATCATCCATCAATCAATTCCCCGACCTGGGCTCCTTCGGCGCCGCGCCCTCCCTCGCCACAGCCTCCCCATCCATGGCGACGTTCCCGTTCCGCAGCAACAACAACAACGCCGCTGCGACCGACATGTTGCGCATCGGCGACGCGCTGCAGCTCGGCGACGTCGCCCAGCCGCCGCAGATGGCGCAGAGTAACGATAGCTGCAGCACGCGCGCGCCCTCTCCAGCGTCACCGCAGATGTTCGACGCGCGCGAGCCGCAGGGCAAGAATCTCGACACGTCGCTGTGGGCGTACCTCCAATTCAACACGTCGGAGCCCGTCGTCGATGCTTGGTGAGGTGGGGGATGGAGTTTCGGCGTTTCTGTTTTTCCCCTTCCCGAGAGGGGATTTCGGGATTCATTCTCATTGCATTGCTTCTTATCAATAGTTAGTTTTGTTTTTTTCGAGATAATCGATGTTTCCCTGTTTATTTTTCTATTTTTCTTCTTGATTTTTTTTTATGGGAAGGGGGAAGTGGGAGTGGGGGAAAATGCGGCGATATAGGCGCGTCTTGAATGAAGCTCAAAAAGCTTGGAAAGGATTGGATGGATGGATGGAGTCGAGAAACCGTGTGGGAATGATGAATTCTTTTTTTCCCCCCCGCCCGGCCGGAAATAGAGAAAAAACAAAATATCCCATGTACGAATACTAGACGACACGAATAATGAATAATGACGGCGCCGAAACGATGTTTACCTACTTCTATACACCTTATATATGTATTTTTTGTATTGTGTTTGTATATATCTAGAGTGGAGAATTCAAATATTTATTTTTATTTTTATTTGTTGGGGAGGGAGTGAAAAAGGAGGGTTGTTTATGTTGGGGATGGAGGAGAATTCAAATATTTATTTTTATTTTTTGGCGAGGGAGTGAAAAGGGGGGGGGGGGGGGGGGGGGGTTGGGA